ATCCTCTAGGAGCTAGAGGCCTGTGAATGGTCGAAAATTCATGCTTGTATCGTTCGTATATTCTTAGCCACGCAAGCAAGAAGCATCCATGCGAGTGTAGCGTCATGTGCTAGGTTCCAGATGCGGCTTCGAAGGATTGATACATCCAGATGAGCGAATACCATGGTCCGGAAAGTCTTCCATGTGCGATTCTGGCAGGTTACCAAATATGGTTGTTGAATAATAAACTATTACGGCTACGACCTTATTTCAATGATCCGACAAAACTTCCGAGTACGCGACAAGCTAGACGTGATCGTCGTTTTTCAAAGCTTTATCTAGCTGCGATTTAATGAAGAACTGTATGTCGGCAGTTTCACGATCTCATGCGTCGTAATGAAACGTGAGTAAGGGGAGCGAAGATCTTCGGTGTTCATATGGCCTCATGTCGGCCTCTTTTCGACGGGTGAATAGAAACGGCATTACCAATAGCGGGACTCGTTACTATGCTGAGTGCCAATGATCGGCCGCGACGGCCATATTGCCGCCGGCACTGGAGTCGAACATAGTTGGTATCCAAGGAATGAGATGCAACTACATTTCCGAGCTTGTCTTATTTCGCCTTTCCGTACGTACCTGGTGACAAAGACGAGCCTCCGAGGTTTGCTTCGCGTTCGTCAGCAGCATCTAAATGTTTGTCTAATATACTATTTTTGACTTGTGGTCTGACGATAGCAAGCAATACCGTATATTTAATATGTATTTGTATGTCCATTGTTGTGACCGAGGAAGGATCTTAGAAGTTTTATGGAGCCGAAAAGCAATAATCAGATTACTCGGTGCCCGCATAAACCTCGGTAAATGGGAAATAAAACGCATAAAACGATATCGGATCGAACTGTCTTGTCACTCGGTTTATATCCTTGGCGACTACCCATATCATTTGGCAATATGGCACATACTGCCAACACGAAACTAATACAAGACTTTCTCCGTCCTGTCGAGAAAGCTTAGCCGGTGCAGTGTTCCAATATCATCCGTGGATGAGGAACCCAGTAGTCACCAAGGACTCACAACATAGTAACTGATGATGTGAGGTCCGTGATTGTGTCGTGTAACCTGGGCCCTCGAGGCAATGTTACTAGGAGATGACAGATGAGACGGACTTGAGTAAAGGTTATACTCGAGTCATACAAAATGCCGTGCTCATCTCAGCATGACAAAAGAGGCAATGGGCCCCCGAAAACGGTTGCGTCTCGTCCAAGAACGACAACACTACTGGCGTACAGAAACCCAAAAGGGGATCCGAATAGTAGGACAGGAGATGTGATTAAACTGCTGCGACACAAAGGCTTGTTGTGATGCGTCTCAGTGTTGGCGAGACGGCCTTGCTCGACGGAGCTTGGATTGGCGGCTCGACAATCGAGACATATCCTGTTTTGAACTGGCCCGTCGTTCGTTGAGGCTGCTGAGCTTCCCTCACCCCTAAGCCTGGCATGGGCAACTGGCTGTGAGGATATGCTGCCAATGACACTCGCAGGACACATAGACAGATCTTGCCTATGTAGCTAGTCGATAATGATAGCGTCAATGACCTAGCTCTTCCATGTTCACACGTGCTGTGCCTCGCCTAGCCACTAGCGAGCCTAGACCGATCTGAGGTGATCCCCGTTGTTAGGGTGCTATGGATTGTATCTCAGTAAAATACCGATCATCAAATGCATTTCCTGTAAGGTGCATCCTGGCTTCTAAGGTTGGGAGGAACCGTGAGTTGCCAATCCATTGGCGTAGAGTCTGGAGCATGGACCATGGCGGAGAATCTTGAGCGGCGTTATTCGAACTTCCCATGTGTCCCGAAGGCTTGTGATGGTGCCATTAATTATGGCTGTGTTGCTTTGATCTTCTCGGTGCCACGTAATTTGGCTAGTTTTCCGTCTGTCGGACGTCCTTGCTATCATCTCGAACGACAAGAGAAAAGGAGACGATATGATAGACTGGACTTTAAACTTCTGCCTATTTGTATTGATTAGTAGATATCAAGACCCCTTACGAACCACAGTTGAGAGGATGAGGGATGTTGACAGGGCTGGTAGAGAAATTGTGCGTAAACCAACAACCGGATAAGCGAATTTCTCATTTCCTTATTCGGTATAACATATGCACCATGTCCGAGATGAGGATACATAAGGCAGAGAAGATCTGTTCTAGAATTGTGAATGAGCAATGAACAATGCCCATGTGCTTCACCTGGAACCTCGGGAAGACTGCTGTGCGCATTATTTCGGTAACTGCTAAAGGAGAGCATTTGTCGCTTTCTGCCGTTTGTTTAGCTACAAAGTTCAAGCAGCACATTCAGCACATTTGTGTAGTACAATGCTAAATTATGACTGCACAGTTCAACTGGTGGCTTCCAGATGATAAAAAGGACAGGTGGTACTTTTGTGAACTTCCCGCATATACATGCCTAAGTACCTATACTATGGTGACAAGGCATTATAGGTACATGAAATGGTTGCTCATGCATGTAGCGATTAGCGTGATGTTCGGTATCGTTTTCTTGAAAGTCCCAGCGTATCAAGTATTGGAAGGAAGTACTGAAATACGGGTTCCAAACAATCCAAGGTTGTATGTTGGTACAGGCTACTGGAGCCTTAAGGTCTTGGCAGCGGGCGCTAACAGGCCCCTGCAAGGTCAACTGGGTGGGTACAAGGTACTTAGGTACTTGAGCAGCTGCAAGAATGCTGGATCGTGCAACCGTGCCCTTGCCGAAAAAAAATCTAAAAATTCTGGAAAGACCGTTGCAAAATAAGGTAATAAGCTTGAATTGATTGGGAAGCTTAATTATTCTTATTATTATCGTAATATCCGTTTCTTACTTCCCTACCCGCACTTTCCCTTGCCTCAAAACTCTATCATCTCGTCATAATTTAATACTTTTCCCACCCCTACCACTTCTCTATCTACCTGTTCACTCTATTCTTACTGCCTTATTACCTTACCATCTTTTCCACTAAGCCTCTCTACATCGATATTGATTGATTAATCGTCCATCCAACTGAATGAGAGAGGCTTCGCGTTAATCTCTGCTTGTTTCATATCTCGCCACTACCGGTCATTTCTCGATCCCACCCGAAGGCTGAATATCTACCTGCAGCCGCAAGCATAGGATAATACTAGATCGGCATTAGCAGGAAACCCACGGTGCAGTGCGTCTTTTCGGCATCTTCACGAAAACTTAAGGTGCGTTGGAGGGAAGACAAGGACTAGCTAGCCAGTAGCAAGAAGAGGGGGACAATTATTAGTTGATCTAAGAGCCGTCGTGTGGGAAAAAAAGAAAAAAGGAAAACGATACAATTTGGCCAATTCCAAATCTAGCCGGCCTTCTTTAGACCTACCTTTCCCTTCCCTTTCCAACGGCCAAGGGTCCTTTTAGGAGAGATTTTAGAACTATTGTATTAGTTCTAACTTCACACGTGTCCAACGACCAACCAAGCTTAATTATTTCCGCGCAATAACGCCATTGCTGACTCGAACCTGAAGGATCGGGTCTCGTCACTCATCAACCAACTAACCGGTTAGCTCACCACCCAACAATAGCGTTCGCGACGCTTCCAACGTCCACAGAACCACTTCAACTTAAATCTCAGAAAGGACGGGGTATCTAAACTCAGATCGACAGCCACTCAAATCTCTAGTCTGTCTTTGCAGCCGTACAAGATCTAGAATTATTGAACCTTGGGCTATTTTAGACTGCCACCCGCTTATCAATACTCTAACCCGTCACTTACGAGAGCCGCAGAGTGGTCCAGGTATTCTCTATCTATTTTCCAGTGTTCAAACTCAAAAGTCAAATTGCTTGACCCGAGCCACCAAGAAGTCCACCAGTTACGTCTAACTCTAAAACATTTACCCCGAAAGGACGCAAGCCCGCATTTCGAAAAGGTTACTATTGCTTGGTTGGCAATTTAACTTGAAGCAACAGTATTGAAACCTTAAATCTCACAGCAACCTCGCCATCGTCAAGCTTCTTCTCAGCCGGATTTTCTATTAAAATAGGCGAGCCCACGTATAAATTTCAACGTGGGAATCTACTTCACACCCTCAATCACTTGAATCTCAATCCAGTTTCGGGTTGAATCCTTATTATCTCAGGTATGCTTATTATTTTCCTCACTTCGCCCTTGGTCAAGTATATTTCATGTTACATATCACCAGATCCAGTCCTTGGCGTGAGGCGGCGAGCTAGTGGCTATATAACAAACCCCGTTATCGTCATCATGAAGTTGTTGGATAGCATTAGTTGTTCACCCTCACAAAAAGGTTTGCGGTCTAAATATACCGGGCCCTATTGCACCTATGAAACCCCTTCCCTTGGCACAGCCCGATCTTTGGTCTGAGTAGCGCTCAAGTGACGACTACGTTCTATTGAGTTCGTTTTTCACTACAAATGCATTTGCCGAACGTCAAGTACCGCCCAAACATCACTGCTCATACCCTGCGCGTGTCGTTGGCTTGTCGTAACGCACACATCAACTTTCAGTCCACCTTCCAATGCTACCACAGATAAGCGTTTCGATATTTTGGACCAACCGATTCTAACTTCGGGTACCTCGATCAAAAGAGGATATAGAAGACGAGTAAGGTATCCACGAGTCTGGACACGGATCTAGTCCCGTAACGCTTGGCCCATTAACAGTATAAGGGCCGGACTATCGACTCGAATTGCCCGCAATTCAGAAACGCCAAGACAGCACGCGCATCTCACATCCTCAGCTACTGAGACCAGGGTCGGCTCCAACCACGCAAGCTTCTCCATTACCCACTTTGAAAGTATCCTCAGCCGCCCACAGTCTGGATGACCCACCATTCAAGCTAAATGTGCGGAGCTGATATGGTGGAACGGTAGGATTACAAGACTTAATTACTTTCCAGGGAATAAAGAGAGCTTCGCTCAGTTTTTCCTTCGATTCTAAATTTACGAACTTTTGACAACCACGAGATTCAGACAATCTTCAACAGCCATGGGTGAAATGGAGACCTACCATGGTTATGTGCGTACACCCGGAGACGCCATCAAGCTCTTCGAGGCGTGCAGACTAGGTTTACTGCCTCGAGTGCAGAGGCGATTATCAGAGAAGGAGCGGCAGTCCATTAGATCGGGTTCGGTCTTCGTGTGGGATGAGAGGGAGGCCGGCATGCGCAGATGGACAGACGGAAAGTCTTGGAGTGCTAGCAGAGTTTCCGGCAGTTTTCTCACATACAGAGAAATGGAGGGCAAGCGAGGAACTACGTTTGGTGCTTCACGACGAAGTAACGGAAGGACGCCGGACAGCGCAGGTCGGCTTAGTGACGACGACCCGGACGGCGAGCCCGAAGGTTACCGCTATAAAGCAGACGGGCTTATGAAGCAGTCTTTTAGCATCGCAACCCAACAAGGCCAGCATCTTCACCTCATCTCGTACTATTCTAGACCCCACGCCGGGGCTCCCGATCTACCGCAACCAAGCACTGATCCCCAACTTCGACATATCGTTCCTGCTAAGGGCATGTACCCCGAGTCAAGTCTACACGACGCCAACCCACCTGCTTTAACAAGAACACCCATGCAGTCTTACGCCACCCATAATACTGCGCTCGAGCAACCATCGTACAACGCGTATGGAGTTCCTTGGGGATCACCGGCATGGCAAGGCCCGTGGCCGCCTTCGCCAAACCAAACTCCACCTTGGGCACAGGGAAAGCTCACGCCAGAGATGAAACCTCAAGTTCGCCCTCAACCACATCAGCATCAGCATCAGCACCAGCACCAGCACCAGCCTGTTCAAAGGCCTCCACAACTTCCTCCACTACCGCCGACCTCTACGCCATCCACCCAGGCTCCCATTTACCCTAAGAGTCTTGGTGGTTATGAGAGCGATAGGCTACCACCGCCTACTATTAACAGACCTTACCCGATGCCCGTACGTGCTCCGAGCACATCTCCTCAATCACAGCACCTCCAACTTCAAGCTGTGCAAGCCGCCCAGGCAGCACAGGTTGCACAAGCGGCACAGGCTGCGCAGGCAGTTCAAGCTGTGATAGATCCTAGACTATCTGCTACAAGCGCACGGAATCCTCAAGGTCCACTTCCTACGATATCGTCGGCATCTAGAGGATTAACACCCCCGAGAACTCATTCTGTATCGCCACCGAGGCTAACAGGTCCTGAGAGTGCGAACGGCAATGCGAATAAGGCTAGCTTGTCGGCGCTACTAAACATGACCCCGGCAAACTCGGAACCGAATAGCGCGAATCCTGGTAGCAACAACAGCGCTAATAGTTCACCCAGAGCTCTCTCGGCGGGGACCGCAGGTGTGCCACCACAACCCGTTGATATGTTTAGAAGGGAGGATAGTAGAGCAATTCGATCACTTGATCGAAATCTCTGCATTTGAGGATTCATAGGCGGGGAGTTGCATCAATCAGGAGTCTAAAAAATTGCATATCTAATTTACGGTGGCCTCTTCTTCTTTTCTCTTTAGTTGCGAGCGTCTGTTTTTACACCACAATCTACAGGCATCCCCAGCGGGACGGAGTTACGGATTCCTTTCACAATGGTCACGAAGGGGTGTGGATAATCACATATTGATCTGGGTGCTCCGTAAATATTTCAGGAGTGAATACCAGATTATGGCGCCCTCGTGGGCCGGCATATCCAAGGGGTCTCAAGGTAAAAGGAGGAGACTACGGTTCGGATGGTAGATAGGTCGTTGCGATACCAGTTTAGAGCGTCTGAATTATTATTCACAATACTTCACTATACTTCGTTGTCCTCCCGAATAGCTACGCAGTCTCGTATGCCAATTTCCCAGTAGCCCATGGCGTGGATAGCATTGAAATTACGATTCCTTGGTGAGCATAAGATCATAACAGGAGCATATGAGGCTAAGGAGGTTTACAGGGGTTCATGATCCGCACTGATGGACCATGCGGATTGCGAAGTCAAACACGATACCCCCCTGCAACGCATCCCGTTTATTCTTGCCCGGCCATCTGCGACATCCATGTCGGGATTCCCACGAAGTTAAACAAGGTTTTCCAAGGGTCGCCTCCATCTCTGCAAACTCAAACCCGACCGCTCGTGAGCAACCGAACGAATGAGAAATCTGGATCCACCGCCAATTTTGCGGCATGGGAAGCATCCTATCTAACCTTACCTAGCCCTTTATCCCAGCTACCAACGGAATTTGCCCTTTATGTTCTTGCGTGCCAATTAAGCATGCTGGTACATACATAGTACATACGTATGCGGCGTACGAATGCTTGGGAATGCAAAGACCATTTGTTCCGACGCCCCAGTATAGTCGTCGTTGGCGACTACCGGGCTAGAACGCCTCACTTATGTACATAAATCATACTGCACGCTTACTTCCAGGTACTACGCGGTGGGTACCTAATACTTGCCTAGGTACTTACCTACGCTTCGACAATGACTCCGGCTCCGAATATGAGAAAGTGTAGAAGAGGAGAGAATTAGATGCGTCTTACCGCTATTATCATGGTGCGGTCATCGTCCGATCTCGTGCTGTGATTGTATGATATCTGCGACGCACACGCAGTAATCTCTGAAGGGCCTCCCGTCGCAACATATGCAAGTTATGCGAGCTATGCAAGATGCTTTCCCAACATAGATAATCTCCGAAGGGGAGGTTTCGTTTCATTTTCTTCTTCGTACGTTCCAATATTCGCTGGGCTGGCTTGCGCGGGTTTTCGCCCCACAATCGAGACAGAAGCCAAAACCAACATGTGGGTAAGCTGTCGTATGTGATGGATGTAATGGTCCAGTAGTGGTCCCGGGGTGTTCCAGAATACCTTATCTTAGGTAAGGTTATTTCTCTATTTCTCTTGGCTTCGGCCACCACATCCCCTTTTCGGGTCCTACGTAGCGTAATCTGAAACTCTCGTTATGTCAATATTGCTCAGTAACCCGATCAAGCGGATCATAAAAGACCACTACATAGTACAAGCATACAAAAGTATGGATGAGAACACTTTACCTAATATTGCAGCTTGACTGCCGGGAAACCGGCAACGATAAAGTTAAGAGCTATCCATACGTAGGACTCGCATAGGCTTTTTGAGTTTAATGGAGCGATGATCCTACCCCTTAACTTTAAATTTTTAAAGATTAAAGTTAGCGCCGCAGATCAATTACGATGACGTTTATCCTTGTGCGACTTAACCGACGGTCCAACCTCGTGGTTGGCTTCGAAATCCGCGGCGAACCCTAGCGCGCGGTCCAATCAGCGGCTAAACAATTGGGTTTAGCCTCCATAGGGCCAGAAACTCTATTGTTTATTTAGATTTTCTCCACACCACAAATTTAACGACCTAGATAAGGGAGCATGGGTAGGGGAGATTGGGACTTCCCGCCACGTGATTATCTTCTTCTTCTAGCGAAGTCGGGGTACGGAAAAGGTACCCGGAACTTATGTTTAATTGGATACCAGAACGGAGTACAATCTAAGTACACTATCCCGCCATCGCAAATCTAGAACCCGCCTTACGTCAGCTCGAATACAACAGCGCATCGAGGGTTCCATCCACGTGTGATTTCTCATTGTATATACGGGATCGGTACGCTACCAAGGTACGCACTAGCTGAGGATCTGGGCGCTGTCTGATAAAAGACCATGTGGGACAGAAGCAGAATGAATATAATCTAACACTGGTAGGTGATTGTCTATTCACTTACTAAATGGGAACGCCGATACTAGGGTACTACTTTGGTTCTGGATTTAATTCTCAACATAGTCTCGTGCTCTTATTCTTCTCATGTCAACTAACCAACACAACTTGCGGCACATTGAAAGACGAAAACAGAATTTAGAGAGGAAGAAAAAGGTAGCCTTGGCTTTGAAGTTATTATTAGTGCGTACTCATCTTGAAATGGTTAGTCAGCAGGCGGGATAGAGCCGGGAAACAAGTGCAATGCAGTGAGTAGGTATATCAAGGTTTGTCATCCATCGCGCGGTGGATCGAACGGCTGCTTCATCCCACCTTGCCTGGTTACTTGGTTACTCTCCTAGTTCGCCTAGGAGAAACATACGCCGCATTAGCGCTGCCGGGGAGATTACTAGGTATAGCCTTAGAAGCTTTAAATCCAACAAGGCACACAGATATCCTACTAAGATATCCTATTATAAGCACTTTGCATGGTATCCCTACGCACATGGAAATGTGGTATTGGAAATGGAGTCTTCCTTCGACCAACAACACTTACTAGTACCAGTACCGAGCTACACCGCCTCAATCGACTGTTTCCTCGTTTGGTGATAGGTCGCGCCGCATGGCCCATTAGTTGGTTTTAAATTTTCCAAACAATTCTTTTTTTTTATTGCCCATCTCACTCTTTTTCTCTTCTTCGGTTCCGAGTCGTGCGCTGAGGCGGCACAGACTGAATACATGGATACACTACAATACATTGGTTTAAGAGTTGGCAGTTATGCGCTCGACATCTTGGTAGCGAGAAGGAATAAATGTCCGTTTGGTAACTTTTTCCATTTTCGGTGACTTGTTTAATCACTATGAATAGGTAAGTGACTACCTATATTTAGTAGTTAGGCGAGTTAGGGCTTGGTTTTCTGTTCAGCCCACGAGTGATTGGCGATGTGTTTCGCTGTTAAGAGATTCTGGTTTAGCAAGAGCTTCGATTCTAAACAATCGACAGCATTTATTTAGTAAAGGTGGTATGGACTTTAGAACTAGGTACTCCACAAGGTCAACGTTCATGCTAAGACGTCTATGGAATGTAGTAATCAAAATGCTATAAAAATTACACCTTACATGCGCATGAGAAACGCGATAGGCTACGTACGACCGTAATACCTGAATCACAAGGAAATCTACCTAGGTAAGTATAATGATGGCTTATAGGAACTTCTTATAGATCTAGGGGTCTCAAGGTTGGTATCAAGTCAATAATTACCTGCTTAGATCTAGACAGTCCTAATCAATCGAGTATTGGATACCACCCGTCTTAAACGCGATACTTGGAGCTCAGACTAGGAGATACGATGAAGACGAATTTGAGCGAACCCACTGTACACAACTGTGTCGCGATTTATCTCCCTTGCATCGCTGTTAAGTTTAGCTCGTCTCATTCCTTGCCAATTGCCTATACCGAGTTTCATATCATCAAAAAAACTCGACGTCCACGATTTATATTCTTATGTGAGGGAAGGTTAATATTCATTAACGTTATACGAAGATTTATTAGTTTCATATAGAAGCAAATCTCGCATATTATATTCTTGTTAAGTTTATAATTAATAGCCTGTCACAATTATTACACTTACTAGCACTGGCTTGTGACGCTTCCCCGTGCTTTCGGCACTGCGTTTTAACTAGGAAAACGGATAGCGATTAAGATATACCGGGCTGGTTTTTGGTGTAGTCTTTGTCTTATAAAGATCCTTACTTTCCTCAATTTTAGTGCGCTTATTAAAGGGATACATGATAATATAAGAGACGTTCTATACAAGAGAAGTATTATCTTAATCGCAGCCCGTTCTCCTAATTAAAACGCACTGCCGAAGGCACGATGAGGCGTCATAAGCCAGTGCTAGTAGACGAAGCTCCATCTCGTCTGGGTCTAATATATCACACGTTATTTTCAAAATTGGGGTTCACATAAGTGCCTGGAACCTAGATCAATCACTTAGGTAACGAATAATTATCATCTTCTGCTGTTAGGTTCTTAACGGGCTGCCTTTCAAAGCCATGTTTATTTCTCAGTCTAATCCCCAAGTGTGTTATAATTCACATTCCCTCGATCGTAATCGTGCCTTACATTATCTAGGTAGTCCCAATATGACTTATGAAAGGGGGAAACATGTTCCTTGTGACCTTCGAATTGACAAACCCTGTTCTCATGTCTCCGATACTACTCCGGAAGCATTTCTAGTGTTTCTTACTGTCATCACCAGGATGTAAGCCTGCATAATTATTCGCGTATCATATCGTATGACAGCGAATCGTTGGCTTCTCACGTCGAAGCTGAATGTCAGAAGAAAGGGGACCCCGAACCCAAGATATCATCACATCAATTTCACCTAGTAAAAAAGCAGTTTTTCGATTTCGCCTATTTCCCGACGCGGTAAGATAATGGTTATCGGAGGAAGAGTTGCATCCCATGCTCCCCCACGCCGTGTAGCCGCTTCCGAAACTCCGTAAGGCTTTACTCGGGAACAGTCCATCAATCCCGGATTAGACGTGACATGGCTATGCATGGTAGACACGTATATCAACCTAGACTATGCCTTGAGGTGGCTAGGATTGCGGGTGTTGCCGAGACGTATACACCATGACCAACGCGCATACAGAAACTCCCGCGTCATGGTACCTGGTAAGGTACTAAAGCGTGAAGGATGGCTTTTTGTGCCTCCTCCTTTAAATCCTTCCCATACCACAATAGGAAAGTCCCATGAAAATAAGGCTCGTCTAGGCGGTCTGAATAAACTGCCAGGATCTAGATCCCCAACACGTTCCTAAAAAGCTTAAATAGAGCCGCAGATTCCAAAGAGGGTGGTATAGGAATAGACGCGCGTCCAAGGCTAGTTCCGGATTCGGTAGGTAAACGACAATTCAAGGTCAAAGCCTTGATTTTCTCTTGTTTAGTTCTTATTCATAATACGATTAAACGATGAGAATGGCTAAAACTTGCTGAAACATAGTTTACACTTCACACCTGTGCGTTGTCAATGAATGCATCTTGGATCTGACCTGATACATAGGGACGACGAGAACTTAGAGGACAGTTTATAAACCTACCTAATTGATACCTAGGAGATAGTTTATACTATATAGTAATCATAGATTCTATGCATAGAAGGCATGCCGATTAGGCAGGTAGTTTATGGGGGAAATGCTCATATCTCACCTAGCCAGTAATTTACTATCTTTCCAACGTGCTTTAAAACTTCCCACATACATGGAGTCTCAATAATTATAGTAACCTAGGAGTTGGGAACAAAAACCATACCAGTCCTTACAATATAACCTCATTTGAATTCATTGGCATGTTAGACAGATCCTTCAACTAACGGGCTTAAATAATGGCACCAACATCATCATTGCACAGTTAGCTTCCGTGCCAACCAACAGAAAAATTTTCAATAGACCAATGTACAAACATTTATTCCTCTTCACATCCGTAGACACGATTCACCAATAAATAGATAATTGGGAATAAACATCCTTATTCTAAATGGTAATCCTAGGAGGTAGGTAGGTAATCGTGATGTATTTAGGTTATTTTGGAAACGATCACACTTTCTGTAAAGTTGATTATGATAATCATAGCCCAAGCTTATCTATAGAACCTATTTTCAATACAATTTCGTACCTACCTATGCAAATAATCTTATATTCTAAAATGACTGTAGTGATCGAATCTTATAAGCAGTAATTTCTTATTTTGGTGATTTATTGATTCCTTATCGTATAGCAAATGGGAACTCCCACGCAATCAATGACAATTACTTCGCTTCGACAGTTTTCCGCATAGATAATTTCTACTTAGGGGTTCCTAGAATAAATGTTGTGTTCAAGGCGTTATGGAAACGGGAGAAAAACTACAGTTGCCCCTTAAATCATGAAAATCTAAACTTAGGCGTGATTTAATGTCATCCCTTCGTGTTAACTCTTCGCGTCTCAGTCAATATTCCAGAAACTAATACCTAGGTAGGTACCTAGGTATGTACTCTAATGAGATAAAATAGGCATCAATATATCTTCTATAGATCTAAGGTGATCTGGCGAGCGCGAATGGTTGCCTATATCAAAATTATTACCTGAAGTATTTCTTAGCTGTCTTGGAGGCAATTTACCAATCAGGACAATCCTGTCACTCTTCAAGACCACATAGTGTTTTATAAAGATTTGACTATATTTCTAAGACTCAAGCTCTCTTCTACCTGAGCGGTATTGACATTTATATACTGTATACGCGTATGTCCTAGCTTGCGGAATATCTCCGGATGCCCACGGACAGATACTGCTTCCAGAAAGCTGATCTATAATTGTAGAGATACATATTTGTCTAGCCATGCGCCGACATAAAACCCCCAAGAGAAACCGGAGTAAAATGTAAATTTATGGTATACATTGCCGGTTGTAATAATTATAATCGAGCGCGTCGAGTACGCCAGCTAGGTGAACCACCGTAGCTATCACAACGAGAATATGGAATATCTGGTGTGATGATCCGTATATGTCGAACTTTCCCGGGCTGACGCTCTCTGGGAACCTAGTCTGCGTTGTCGACCATCTTCTGGTTAGTGAACTGGACATTCTTATCTCTTTCTCTCCTCCCGTCGAGCAGGTAGTTGTAGATGAGTGGTGGGATTCTAAAGAGGTAGTAGTAATGATAGTTTAAAAAGGAACGGGGAATAGCTCACAGCGTAAACAACCGCCCCGAGTAGGAATAGACCTCCCTCGGCTAGGTAAAAAGGCAGGCCGGATTGCTTCATCATTTGAGCGAAACCGAACATGCAGATCCCGTGGATAATCGGTGCTAGACCCGATAATCCCGTGGAGACGAACGTCAGCAGACGTAAAGTGCGCCACCGGGGTCCTTGGAATGTTGGCGCCAGCACGATGACAATGGATATCGTCGCCAGAGACCCGATCTATATATAAGCCAAGACGGATGGTCAGTTCAAATGACGCTTGGTCTGATTGAGTTGTATAGGAGGTCGATGACCGAATTATTTCTAGTGGAATAATTGACAAGTAGGGTATCCGACGAATTGGTAAAGAGCTTGTCGCTTACCATCGACCAATAGATCTTCCTCTCTAGCAACTCGCACCAAAAGCCAACGTAGATACCCGAGATAAAAGAACCTAATATCAAGAGAATGATGCCCACAAAATCGAAGCGCAGCCATAGCGCTTCGACCTGACGCGAATGGCACATGAGTGTGTGATATGCGCTTGAAAATCCGAGACATGCCACCGCAGAGACCATCTGGACTGCAACGATACCAGCATCTCCACCATTACGATGCCGCAGACGCGTAATAATGTACGCTAGACCGATCACAAGAAGTGCTACTGCTGGCACTAGATGCGTGTAGATGTTCATCGTTTCATTGTGCACATATATCCAACTACCAAAACATGCTCGCGCTGAGTGCGACACGGGGCGGTAGCCATTCCGAACATATGGGTTGTCTTGGTACCATTCCGGAATTTCTTCGTACGAGAGTAGGGGATGATGGCGGAAATCTCGACTCTCACATTCGGAACCTCTCGTCGAGCTCTCGGTGATGCCAAGACTTGTTTGCTGCTTCTCGTCCGTAGATGATTGCGCATCGGCAGAATCATGATCGGTTGTATTGAGCTCGGTCGATCGCAGCGCCATCATGTACAGCTTCTCCCCGAATGCATATTAAAAAAATGATAATAACTGCTCCCTGTCGTTTCTTCTAGCTTTTCTATTTTTCTCGGGTCGCCTTCGTCAATCACGCGATGCTGCGCTCTATTTGTATTTCTATGCGGGGTCGGTAATCTCAAGCGATGCTTGGAATTTGCAAATTTCTGCGAACCGGCTGAAAGGCGACATCTAAAAACCGAAACAAGAAATCCCATTACAAGATTAAATTTCAACCCACTAGATGTTTCCAACTGCAGATAAATGACATCACAAGAAGCAGGGTGAGAACCCCTTTATAATCAAGGTGGTCCACCTTCAACACTTGTTGCGAGGTAGGTATATATCTCCGAAGATCTCGGGTGGACATAGGGCCGAGGCTATGTGCTCTGAATATCTTGCCTCAATCGGTTGAATGCCCATAAATCTGATCGTTAGGTAATGCGATATGCTCGTTTTCTTGGCGTGGGAGACAGAGCACCGATGATATCGCCGAGCCAACTATATTACATACCGGCATAGCTGAGAATCATGTGAATTGCGAATAATATGAATTCCCAGCACATACGCAGCCGATGCGATGCCGACCGCCTCAAAAACTTCTTTGAAGCACCATCTTCGGTCCATGAAATATAAAATTCCAAACATCAACCCTCGCTTGAAGATATGAAAGTCTTAGGATTATCTGGAAGTGAAGTGAATATTTTCTTGAACAGAGAATTGATCGAGCTCATGTGAGGAGTCAATACGATAAGTAGCGGGAATAAACCTAGGCATTCAAAGTTTCTATGGTTCAACATGTTGTTCACTCCGAAACCAAGATGCGAAACTCCAAAGAAACTCGTCTGAAAATACCCGACCAAAATGCGAATTGACTTGGACACAAGAACGAAGCAGATCCTTTGACGTATTTGAGGGTAGAAAGGCGATTTTACCTGAATTTCCGTACATGCTTCGGATAGGCAATTAACTGTAATCGCAATCGAAGCATCGCCCTTGAAATGAAACCTCGGATGGCCTTTAATGAATCGTCGGCGGTGAGTATTTGTAGGGCCCCTCATCGTAATGGACGCGCACTGAAGAAGAGAATCCCACAGCGAAATTATGGCGCTAGGCATCCATCAAATTTGATCGTAATTTGGAAATGCTGGAAAAATGTTCGACGAAGTGCATAGTTGATTTGCTCAGAAGCAGCATCTGGTAGTGCCACTGGTTTTCCCGCGTCGCGCTCCCACCGCGAAAGGGGTGCCCACAAATAAGCTGGAAATTGCTTCCTGGGTCGAAATTCGCGCACCCAGGACCTTGCACTCTCCTTACTTTCCCGACAGATTGAAGATCCAGGATTCCGGTGTTGGACGTTTCGTGCCATTTCGGACCAAATTGAACAATATTATTCCAAGATGCTGAGATGTTGAGATGACCGTCGCATGGGAGTCCCGCACTGTAACCATTCAAAATCGCCATTGACCCAGCCTGCGCGCTACATCTGGAAGTCTGCGAACTTGCGGCACCTAACCCCAGAGTTAGATACCCATTAGCGACAGTGTCGTCTTCGCGACATAGCTGTTCATTTCCTGGACATATCTGTGTCCGACTTGATCGTCGTAGCCCACCAAGATGAATCCAAATGGAGTTCCGAAAACCGTGCTTGAACAAGTGAGTCCTCAGTCCTCAGTAAAACGAGTAATGGTGGTTTTGGCCTAAGAATTCTTTGCGGTGGAAATGCTTTGCGACTCATCATCCGCTCATTGAGAGGATGTCGTGGTCATGCTGGGCGGATGAAAACGTGTTTCCGGATTATATGGGTGACGTGGACATCGTGACCACGAATCATAGCCTAGCAACAAGGTCGTACGCACTTGACCCAAAAAATACCAGGCGAAACAACTGACGGCTGAACCCGGTGTCGCAGAGTGAAATCTGGAATGACGTTGAAAAAAGCGTTGGTGCTTATTCGCGTTTTGAATATCATGTTATTCTACCTGCAGCCTCCTGGCATCTGCGGGGATGTGGTTCGCCTGACGCGCGCCGCGATGCATGTACAGCTGTCCCGAGGCGTTGAATCGTGGTTGTTGAATGAAAATCCCTAAAAGCTGGCGAAACGTGGAATCTCGTTCCTCGCTTATTGGGCTGGGTGTTCTGAGAATGACTTTGTAACCTGGGTTTGGGCCTGCTGTTATGATACGCAGCGCGATCAATCGTACTCCTGAACGCGACTCACGATGAAGATAGCTATTGTTAATTATACCCCCTTAAAAGAGTGGAAATGAAGATGAAAAATTGGGAAAATAATTGCCATCACCTCCCGAAGTGCCAAATAATCTTGGGAATAGATGGATTAACAAGAAATGAGAAGTGCATGTTGTGGAGGTTGAGGTAGTGCAGATGTGCGGATGGCTTCATGTTGTGATGGGTGTGAGCTCGGGTAGTAAAGGGGGAGGACTTGGATCAAGAACAACATCCAAATTTGTTGAGGTTGCAAGAAGCAGTAAACTACAATTACATCTCGGAAGATAGCTGAATGACTGAAGAATCACTTTGGATGAACATTTGAAGGCAATGCAAGGGTTGTGAAGTCGTCAATTCGAATGCGACCGAAAGTATCGAAAGATCAAACAGTCGAAAACACACAAGATATGGTTGGGAAGATGCTAGATGTCATGGGTATACAATCGGTATTAAACTAATCACTTTTCTTCCATTGGCTAAATTAGCTTCTATTATAGAATTGCAGAAAATGACTCAATCGATCGCCTGATCGAAAAAAGTGTGGGATCAAAGATCAAGAAGAGAGAGAAGGGGAGAACGAAAAGAAGATGGAAGAGGGGGGGACGGTAGGAGGGTTGGGTGCAAGAAAGGGCTCGAGTCTCGAGTAGAGGCGCATGATTTGATTCGAGTTGAGGTGTAAAAGGTAGCAACAAGTAAAAAATAAAATAAAAATAAAATAAGAAAAGGTACTTGGGGCATGAGCTGTTGTTGAGCTTCGACCAATCAGAAAATTCGACAGCAATCGATCTGCTCTCTCAAACTGGGGAAATATTCTGGGTACCTTGAGAGAACCAAATCAGTAACGAATCAGTCCTTCCAAGCCATCTTACTGGCTCGCGGCAGGCTGTGCAGCTTGGCTCCATTGGTCACACATGGACTAACGTTAAACTTAATCGGGAAAGAGTTTAGACGTTTCAGACACATAATGCAACCTTAAATGCTAAGGTAGGCATGTATGTAGAGTGCGATCGGGTCCCAATGTCGTGTTGTGCCTGCCCTGCTCCCATCAAATCCATTTTTATTATTATTTTAGTGCCAGAGAATTTAATGATGGACGGGTATTTTTTTCTGGAGGGGGAGGGGGAAGGCTCTTGCCGCACAGCTGATTGTATCAACGTACCAAACTAAGGATGTCCTTACTGATTGTGCACATCCCCCCCGCTATTATATAAACGGACTCACCTTTCTCGCTGTCGCGCCCCGACCGAATGCCTCCCTCCCTCCCGTTTCTTCTCGTTATTTCTCAACCCACGTAAGATAAAGCATTCTTGTCACGTCCGTATTCATCGAAAGTCATTCAAAGCTTAATTGGTAAACTCCAATTCAAACACCTGCATCATTATCCAAGCCCGATATCTAAAGTTATCAAACCAAACCAACATCATTCGCAATGGGTCCCAAGAAGGCAGACGGAGCTCCCAAGCCCAAGAGCACTCATGCTTCCTACCAGGTATGCTCTACCACGAGCCTCATCGGCTTTTCATTGGAGCTTATTTGATACTAACGAGCTATAGGACATGATCACTGATGCTATTGTTCATGTAATTACTCCCATTCCTTCGCTTCCGGCGCATTATGCGTCGCCTGACTGGCGTCGTGGGTTGGGCAACGTGCAAGCCCGTCATTGACCGGCATTACGCCCTAACCCTACTCCAAAATCACTTCAAATTCATCAGATCATCTTGCTGACGCGTCTTTTTCCATCGTACAGCTCAAGGAGAGAAACGGTTCTAGGTATGTATTTAATTTCCCTATTTAGGCACCTATCTGTCCCGCTTGTTTTCGCTGTCGCGTTCACCGCTTAACCTGTGCTAACCATCTCATAGTCGTCAACAATTGAAGAAATATGTGAAGGCCAACAACACTATCAACGTCTCAGACAAGATGTTCGACTCATTGTTCAACAAGGCCTTGAAGGCTGGTGTCGACAAGGGCATCTTCGAGCAGCCCAAGGGTATGTCGCATCTCCCACCTCACATGTCACTCTTTTATGGTCATACTAAGTAATCGTAGGACCTTCTGGCGGTACCAAGCTCTCTAAGAAGTCCAAGCCTGCTGCCACCAAGCCCGCCGCCAAGAAGGAAGGCGACAAGGAAGCCCCCAAGAAGGCTGCTCCCAAGAAGGAGACTGCGAAGAAGCCTGCCGCACCAAAGAAGGCAGCTGCGCCCAAGAAGGAGGCCACCGAGAAGAAGCCTGCCGCAAAGAAGGCTGCTGCTGCTCCTCCTAAGAAAGCCCCTGCTACTAAGAAGGCTGCACCCAAGAAGGATGTAAGTTTTATTCTACGAAAGTATCCATTTGTCATATCTAATAATTACAGGCCCCCGCCGCTGAGGAGAAGCCTGCCGCTTTGACGAAGACCAAGTCTGGACGAGTGGCGAAGACTGCGTCTAAACCAGCTACGAAGAAGGCAGCGCCGAAGAAGGCCGCGGCACCCAAGAAGGAGAAGACGCCAAAGAAGGAGGCGAAAGCTGAAGCAGCTTCGTAAATATTTTAATTCCTAATTTGTGTGTTCTTCGGCTTGTGTGTTGGGGTTTGGCGGGTCTACTGGCGTTCGGGAAACTAGGTACAGAGTTACGCGTGCGCTTGTTCAACGCGCAGTGGAATTAGGTCTTGCTTTTCGGTCATGCTTTCGGCAGGGTTTGGTAGGGTCTTTGAAGGGGACGGTAATGGCCCTGTTGTGTTTTCGAATGCTGTCCAACATCATACCCTCCGCGATGCCAGCTGCCGTTCGTGTGCATATTGTACGGCCCCCCGCGGAATCACGGTTTCGGTTGGATTGCACATATTCCCAGTCAATGGCATCTGTTATAGGGAGGGTTAAAAGGATTGACGACGTGATGAGTACAATTGTAATTATACCAATGACGTGGGCTCCTGCATGGGTTTCAATCCATATTACAATTTTGCCGTTTATCTTGGTGCCTGCCTAGTTGCGACGATGAGATGTAAGATGTGCGGTTGACGCGTCTGTTCGTCATCAGGCGTATCAGCTTTGTTTACATATTCCAAGAACGGATTGTGGAGTCTAGTATCCGTGTTTAGGTGCTGGTGATGGTTATCACGTGCCAACAGGGGTATTACAAGTTGGTCTCCACTAATGAGTTTCTAGCCCTTGCTGCCTTGATCTTGATCATGGACAAGTCATCAGCTATACCAGACGCTCAATTTTTTTGAGTGGGTATAAGTGGTCATGTCTCTCCAATAAATAGGCTGCGTCTGGCTTAGATATGTAAGAGATATGTGATAAATGAAGATCTCCGAGGTAACGTGTAGGAATGGTTCAGTTCATGGGTAGGCGCACCAAGTCGCGAAGGCATATTGAACTGATTGAATCTGAGAAAGGACTACCCTTACTGTGTAGGTACTATTCACCAATTATAGAAACACATAACCTACCTAGGTACCCACTAGTGGATGACTAATTTGGGCTGTTATACTGTTGGATATGAGTTTATGCATCTTAACCTCCTACTAGGGATATAAAGTTCCGGTACATCTCGCTTTGAATCCGGAAGAGCCTGCCAATCCAAAGTTTGAGTTATCCATGTCAACAACATAAAACATTAAGCATTAAGGTGATCGGACGTTGAAGCTTCCCACACGTTCTTCAATGTTACTTGACTCCCATGTGACTTATAGAGTTTAGAGTAAACAGCGGTATAAACGTTGGACCGCGCGTTATCATGGGTCTGAACCAAATCTTCGTAACAGACATAATTGTTTGAATCACTCCTTTTTGTCGCGAAGCAACTCAATACTCATTCTTTGTAAATTTGTGAGAATATCTCCAATTCAATATATTGTATTGTTTCCTTCCACTCCTTTCCACGCCTACACTAAGATGTCTGAACGTAGATGTTAATTGCTGGTTAGACTCGGAAACCCGAGCATGTATGTATGCAAGTAACAATGGCTGTTACCGTCACCGTTACCCGCGCTGTTATCGCTATCAGAGGGTAGAGGTTGCGACCTGACCCGATGCTCAGTTACCGAAACTTCCGAGATCCCACCCCCGGCCAACTCCCCAGCCAAAACCGAATCCAAGCCAAGCCTAGGCTGACAATAGGTACAGTCAAGAAAGCTACTTTTTACTGTATGTCGTAGCCTGCGAATAGAGGGGGATCTACTTACACTACACGCACCACACGATACTACAGCACCGATACCGACGTCAACCCGACCGACGACTCGCAGCACTCGCAGCACTCGCAGAATCGTATCATGGCCAGCTTCATATAGTTCCATTTGGTCATTTGCACAATCTGCCCAAATTGTGCTTTTTGCCGAGAGTCCCGCCATCTCACCATGGCTTCTCAAGACCAATCTTTCAGTTCCAACAATCCCTTTAGGCGGAAGCTGGGCACACCCACGATCTCTACCGAGAGCCCCGCCGCGACTCCCGTGACGAACTTCGACGGTCATTTCGATTCAATCCCACGAGTGCCATTCACTAGCTTTAGGACAGACCATCCAAAAGCCGATGGCCAGAATATGGAGGACAATGAAGAATTGGCGCCAGTACAGGCAAAGCCGAAGAAGGTCGTGAAAAGAGTTCGGGTCCAATCACCACCTCCGTCTTCGCCCGAAGAGGATGCCGTACCTGTAGCCCGATTCCCGCCCGTAAGCGACGACGAAGACGAGGATGACGACGACGATAGTAATAGTAGTGATTCACAAGATTATGAGGAGCATGTTGGTCGATACAAAACCGTTTCCTTCCCCACCCGGGACAATGACAGCGATGGTACTGAGCATACCGAACATACCCAAACGGGACCACCGCCAAATCCATTTTCCAAAACGCTGCAGGACTTGGAACAGGCTGGGGAAGGGCAAAATTCCAATGCCCTTGCAGCTAGCGCTGCAGCAAAAGGGGCACTCGACGTAGACTCGTTCAAGAGGTTGCTATTAACTGGCTATGCGAATATTCCAGGTCCATCATCTAAGTCGGCATCCGGTACGGGAGGAGGTTCTGGGCCTTCAACAAGTTTACAAGTACCTCTACACGACGGCGCGAGCAATACGGATGCAAGCTCCGTGTCCCGCCAATCCATCTTTGATGCCATACAAGATACACCTCGAACTTCACATGAAATTTCCGAGCCAGAAGATCCTGAGGAGCGAAGAAGTATCCTTCCTACCTCCCCCCTTGCGTCTATCCCGTCATCTTCCACGAGGAAGAAACCACCACCTCCTAGCTCAAGGCATGGCAAACTCATAAAAATCGAATTAGGAACAGACTCGGATACTCGTACTACCAAAACCTCCGCCGCTCCCATATCTATCAGCACCACCTCTCTTCCTTCTATAGCTCCACCCCGTAAATCTAATTCTCAGTCCATAGCAGTACCACTACAATCTCCACCCTTACCAACAGACGTGAACAAGCCACTTCCACTTGCTCCTTTCCGCCCCTCCGTGGAAGAGGCCGTTGATTCTCCTTTCGACCGTGAAGCTATAGGCAAAGTCCCCGAACCTTTCGCTGACCTACAGCCTAACCCTCGGCCTCCAACACCTCCAGTTGTCACTCGGAATCGCTCTACATCTAACGGCAGCAGCACGCAGACTCGCAAGCCTGCAGCACCCCCGCCACGTCGGCACGGGAGAAGCGATAGTAGAGCACCTTCCATTCATGCCGGGAACCCGGACGACGACACTCCTCCGAGGTCATCGTTGGACTCGAACCGCTCGCGGACTGACAGTATCCGCACAAGCACCACAAATGCGCCTGCACCACCACCTCCCCGCCGGCCAAATCATGCCAGGCAGGGGAGTTCATTCACGAGTCCAAGCCAAGCCAGTTTCACCCCGATACCAGCACCGGGGCCGGGCGTTGGCGAAAGCCTACGTAGTCCGGCCGGAACGGGGTTTGGTACCGTAAGCAGTAGTAGCGGGCAGGTAGAAGACTCGGGCGTGGGCGCTCTGGCTACATTCACCACATCCAAAGACGGTCAACCCAAACTCTCTCCGCCGCCACCACCCCCTACCAGGTCAGCTAGTACCAGACGCCCTCCTAGCGTCAGGAGTATGGACGCGGGGAACGGGTTCGGCACCGGTACTAGTACCGGTATGACGAGGCGCGTGAGCAAGGAGAAAGAGGGAGCTGCGGCACCACCCCCGCCTCCGCCGCCGCCCAGGCAACGCGGTAGCAGCCGTGCTAGCGTGGAGACGCAGGCTCCTGCTACAACGATAACGGAGGGACCGAGGAATCCAACCGATAAAGCGGGTACGACTGGCCCCCAGCCCGAAGGCGAGGCTAAGCAAGGGGCGGAGATCCTGGCGGATCTTGACGCGTTGCAGAGGGAGGTTGACGCTCTGATGGGGAAGGTTGGGAAGGGCGCGGGTTAGCGAGCGTACGCGTTTCGAACTTGAGCTTGGGCTTGAGCTTGGGATTTAATATGTGTTGTTGGCGTGTTTTGATTGGTGACGTAGACCGCGACTTGACTTGGTCGAAGTAGGAATTATTTGGGGTCGGGGGAGCGCGGGATTGAAGTATAAGTATAGGGTTATTGCATAACGAGAGCTAGCAGCACTTGTAAGAGTGGGATGAGCGAGGAGGCGGATGCCCTTGGAATGAATGAATGAATGAATTGGGATCGAAGATGCGGCTAAGGAGGGGGGGCTTGGCTAGGCATGAGATACGAAATTCGCGTCGCGTCACGCGTTATGGGGTGTAAATGAAGGTGATGTGCGAGCCTTGTATAGTAGTAGTAGTAGGTGTAGGTTGGGTAGGGGATTGGTAATGTTGATGAGGTTGGCTGGTGGGGCTACATAGGTATGTAGGTAGGCAGGCACAAATGTATGCCGTCGAGTACGATTACGAGAGGACCTACGTAGATTAGGTTAGGTTAGGTGTAGTGACGTGACGTGCCAGTGTGCAGAGCAAGCGTCTTGGGAAATGGAATTGGGTGAGAATGAAGCGATGTTTGTTCACCTCGGGCGATTTGCTGTGTGATGTGTGATCGTAGAAGTATGGGTATGTGGATATGTAGATGGTGCAGGTGCCCTAGCTTGTTCTACGTTCCTCCGACATAGATACTGTTGGTAACTACTAGGTGTACGAAGGAGTTAAGTAAGGCAACAGTTTTATTCGTTGCATGGAATTGCGTGAGAGCTTGTTGGGTAATACTTAGGTAGGGCTGAGAGCAAAAAGGGGCATTGAACATGTAATGGATATTCTGCCTAGGTAGGTGTGTATGAAAAGGGGCCCCTGCCTGAGGTACACAAACTGGTAAAATGATCACGATTGGCCTTTGATTAGCTTAAAACGAGTCAGGCAACTTTTCATTCATGTAATTTAGTTTCATATAGAAGATCCTAAAAGCTGGTGGTTTCCTGAACTGGTTTTGTAATGATTCTGGTCTTCAGTTAGAGTATTGATGGTTAAGAGGTAGGTAATCCGCTCAACCAAGCGTACTATAGATCTTACAAGCTATCAGATAAACGAATCAACAGGGTATAACCCAGATTGAGTGGTTTATGTCGCTATTGACTGTGGGACGCCCTTATAGGATTGACATGGCGTTATTTGGAAATAGATCCCATCCACCAGGGTACTCATTCTATGAGAATATATGTATGAAGGGGATCCGCTTGAAACCATTTATCCCTATTTCTCCCCTCATAGAATATTTACTTCAGTATTAAACTAAGAGGACCAACACTCCTACGTGCTTCGTTTATATAAAACGAGAGGGTTTTCAGCCTTTCTCTTTCTTAGGTACTCAGCCGCTCCCGTTACAGTCGACAGCGCACGGCAATCAGCGGTTAGCTAAGTAGGTATTTATCCTTCTCCCAGTTAACATCCAGCTTCGATGAATTATAGTTCTCAGTTACAGCGGGCGCCACTACTCGTCTGCGCGGTAATTGGTTATCAGCATCTCCTGCTTCTTCAACCTCTTCAAATCCGGTTCAATAGCCAAATTACCTAGTAATCCGGATATTCGATGCGTCTTGGCAGCGGCCTCTCGATTGATCTGCCATAGCATGACCTTCCAAAATGGACCGTCATCCTGCCCGAAATTCCGGAGTTCAAAAGGGGTATTCAATTGAAGATAGACGATGAAGGGGGGCAGTGCTGAGTGCAGGTCGAGAAGATGAGGCTTTCTTGTACCTGCCGATCGAGGACGTTGGAAGATTGGTTCCAGATCACACGAATTACTACGGATGGTCCTTCTAGAAGCTATAACTAATTGCCTACATCGTTCTACAAGAAGTATATGAAATCATTGAATTAAGGTGGGCTGCCTAGAAAGCTTGAGCGGCTTGTCAGCGGTACCTACCTAGCCATGGGGAATGGGAGAGCGGAAAAGCTAGTCGAATTAAGCAGGTGGTAGCATCGACTAACGTCGTATCGAACATGAGGCTCGAGCTTAGAACAGGCCTTTGAGTGGAACTGGGGACATGGAATGCCTTACAGCCCCTGGACCCCAAATAAGAGTTCAATAGGAGCTTCCCCGCCGCCCCAACGTTCGTTGATCCATTTCGATTCCAAGCCTCAAAGCCAAGACACTTCGGCCAAGACAACGAGCCAAGGGACCCGGTGGCTAAACAAGAAGGCCAGCCTAGGAGATGGTAACAATAGACGGAAACCCGACAGGTTGATAGTCTTCGACTATATTGTGGCGGATGTTCGACGAGCTAGGGAAGGCATCGCAGTTGTGCGTCGAAAAAAATCCCGAATTCTATAGGACGTGGAGATCACCAGACTTAGCCAGTCGCATGATGTCGAATCGTCACATAGCTCATCGATTTGCGATTCAGCTCGTCGAAGATCCGGCCACCAGAGGACTGACGAGAGAAGCAGATAAGCATATCGACCGCCAAGATTATCGGCAGTCCAGATCCCTGCGTCCTTATTTTCAGATTTACTAATGTGCAAGAATTGATCATACCCAAGATCGCGACCCCAATGCCCCCTCGTTGCCGGGTAAAATGCTTTGGATTTCTTCCGGATTTTGGGGTCCTCGTTACTCAACATATTCTCGAGAGTCGCTCGATAACGCAATGCGTCGGCGAGACAAGTGTCGACGCGCCTTTGTGAGAAGTCATAATCAACGTTAATAGGGGTTACAATGAGCAGATACGAGAACCGGTTCCAGGAATCCGCTCCTCCGCTATGCATTCCGACGAAGTTGACCGCGGCTATGGTTACGAGAGGAAACAGGAAATGAGCAGGAAACGTTATCTTGTCATCCCGTCGGGGCCTTTGATTGCTCTCTTTCCGAAGTTGGCAAACAACATGCAATCACCTATGCATCACCTATTCTCTCCGGGCATGTTCCTGGCGGACTCGCTTCCATAGCATACCATCAGCCTGCTACATCGACGCGCCTTTGCCTGAATTAAAATTATTGGTTAGATCGACTATCTTGACCACTAGACAACAGGGGGTTACCTTTGAGTACCGAGTTGCTATGACCGGGACGGGTCAAACCGCCGCTGAGAGTGGGATCTATCTGCTTGGCGCCTAAACCCAACGTTTGAGCGCATGATGCTGCCCTACCCCGTTTACAAATTCCTGATCGCGTCTACATAGAAAATTTCTGGAAATATGCCTTATTCAGAGGCGAGGTCTCCATTGTGGGAAATGTCATCGGAGCCCTAAGTCCGCTGGCTATAAAGAGACGCCGTTTGCTCTGCTGAGTTGTGAGAAATCTCCTCATCGACAACGCGTAGCTCGCAAGATCCTTAGCTACTATCAATTCGACCAATTCTCGCAGCCTTCCTTCAAAATGAAGTTCACCGCTGGTATCTCCCTGCTCGCCGCTCTGGCCAGCGCTGTCTCGGTCGACCTGGCCAAGCGCGACACTCCTCTCGATGTCAAGCTCGAGATGATTGGCAACACTGCTGTCAAGGCTAGCATTACCAACACGTGCGTATATTTTTTGTCGAGAAATCTAAACAACTGAAAGATTCGTAGAAGACAAACCTAGAACGCGCTTTAAGCAATTAACCACAATTAAAAAGCTGAAGAATCAATGCTGACGATGAGTTTCTAGCGGTGCTTCGGACCTGAAGGTCTTCAAGACGGGCACTTTCCTCGACGAGAACGCTGCCACCGAGAAGGTTGCGATCTACCAGGGTGGTAAGTCTTTCGCAGACGCGCTCGGAATAGAACAAAGAGAATAACTAATATATATCAGGCAACAAGCTTCAGTTCGATGGCATCAAGCTCCGTGTTATGACCACCGGACTCGGCGAGGAGGCTTTCCAGACCATCGCCGCGGGCGAGACCGTCACGGCCACCTTTGACGTCGGCCAGGTTTATGACCTCAGCGCCGGCGGTGACTACGACGTCGTGTCCGCTGGCGCCATGTCCTACGCCGAGGCCAACACCACCGATATTGCCGGTGTGTTCCCTGTCTCCGGCAGCACCGTTACTGCTAAGGTCGATGGCGTCGCGGCAAAGGAAGTCCGCCGTCGCTTCCACGCCAAGCGCATCGACGTGCAGTCCGACTGCACCGGCACCAAGCTCAGCCAGACCAACACGGCCATCAACAACTGCCGTTCCCTAGCTTCCGCCGCCCAGACGGCGGCCTCGTCCGGCTCCGCCACCAAGTTGAGCGAGTACTTCAAGTCGAGCTCGAGCTCCGTGCGCAGCACCGTCGCCGGCGTCTTCCAGAAGGTAGCCTCCGAGTGCGGCAGCACCTCCTCCGGTGTCTCCGACCTGTACTGCTCCGACGTGTACGCCTCGTGCTCGTCCGGTGTCTTGGCCTACACGTCGCCCTCGCAGTCGCTCATGGTTAACTGTAACCTGTACTACACCGCGCTGTCGCCCCTCACCAGGACCTGCCACGGCCAGGACCAGGCCACGAGCACCCTGCACGAGTCGACCCACTTGACCCAGATCAAGGGCACCGACGACTACATGACCTACGGCTACGAAGGTGTTCGCGGCCTCAGCGGGGCCCAGAACCTGAACCACGCCGACACATATGCTCTCTTCGCCAACGCCATCTACGTCGGCTGCTAAGCGCGTTCGCTGCCACTGCACCCTCTGGTTTCGGCCGTCGGATGAAGGGGAGGCGAGGAAGAGGCATTTTGCTTTGCGCGATCAATGCTAGCGTCTGTGGCTCTCTAAGAAAAAAGGGGGGGATTAAGTTGGGAATATCGGAGCAACAAAAGAAAGCAGGAACTTAGGAAACAATAGGAGAAAGCTTATTGTCCTCCTTGCTTCATCCCCCCCCCCCCCCCCCTTTAAAATAAGCTCACCGCGAGGCAGATAGTTGTTTCATGTTACCTGCTACTTTCCTTCGATGTTCATCAGACGGTGGGACAAAGCCCACAAGACTGGCGGGGAGGGAGCGTTAATAGGCGACAAAGCGGGATTCACGTGTCATGTCTCGATTGTGTATTTGTGTAATTCGATGTTCGATATTGTGTGTTAGGATATGCAAGATGAATGTCTTTTATGTGGTACGACGACGTGACAATTGGACAATGATTTGACAATGCGACAAGGAACAAGGCGATTGTCGATTGTCGATTGTTTGTCAATTTGCACAATTTTGTACCTAGGCAACCGCTTTGCTGTTCACAGCTCGTAACATATCTCCCTAGGTACACGTTAGTAAAGTGATGCGCTTCAAAAGCTACACGTGTCCCAGGGAGTCATAATAACCACCGTAACGACCGATTTCAACCTTGGAACCGACCTTGGAACCACCACATATCACCTCACAAACCACCAGATCCGATCATCTCCGCCATCTTTGGCTGGCCATTGCGTAACTTCGAGAATTTTCCATATCCTCTGGAAGGATAAATAACTTTCCCACTGTTTACTATTTTTACGATTTTAAACTCCGGCCAGTCAGAAATTCTCGTTTGACCCGCGCGAACTGGTGGTTTGCTATTTCTCCTTATTTTATCTTTTCTTTTCCATCCGAACCCACAAGTGCACCACAAGTGCATCAACTTCCGCAAGTTCCGTACCGTGCACTTGCACTGCCTTTCTCGTACATCGTACATACCCAAATAACAAAAATCATTCAAAACATCACACCCATTACACATGCGTCCCAGACGTTCGCACTCACCTATCAAAACCAAACCCAACGAATACGATCGCCAAATCGATATCGCAAGAAACGCCTCGAGAAAGTTATGCCCAGAGAATCCAATGGAGGATCTACGAAACGCTAAAGACACGGTCGCCCTCTTCGCGGACCACATTGACCAACTCCGCCTCAAGACCGACCGGCCCAAGAGCTCCGAACTCCTCCGCACTATCTCGTCATCCTCAGTGCAACGCCACGGATCCAACAACTCATCGTCGGATGGCTCGACGCACAAGAGCAGCTCGCTGAAGTGGGGCAAGAACCGCAGCGTGGGCAAGGAGTGGGCGGGGTCGCGAACAGGCAGCATCTGGACGACGCTCAGCAGCGAGCTCGAGGACGTGGCGAAGCAGTTCCCAGGACTCTCGGTCGCCGCCTTCAACGAATTCATCGGCTCGCGCGAGATCCTGGAGCTGGGTGCCGACTTCGTGCGCGCGTATCACAAGCGCGGCATCGCGCTCGAGAAGCCGTACTGGGCGGCCGAGGACCTGTTCTTCGACCTGCAGGCCGTGAAGCAGGGCGACGCGCCCGCCTCGCGCTGGACCCAGGCCCGCCCCGAGCGCAGGGCCGAGTGGGACCTCGCCGACCACATCGCGCGCTTCGTCCTCGTCGCCGACGGCTTCCGCAGACGCTCGGTCGAGCGCGAGGATTGGAGTGTCTGGGCGGGCGACTTTGTGACGAATGTGCGCTTCTACTTACGCGTGCTGCGATGCTTCATCAAGAGAGACGCCAAGCAACGAGAGGAGCGTCGCGACGCGATCCGCAACCAGATGCAGAACCAGGGTCAGAACAAGGACGCGGAGGGTCTGGAGAAGAAGAACTCTAGTGGCTCCCGCGGTAGCAGATTCTCTCTCGGCAGCCGAGGAGGATCGAACAAGAGTTAGGGGGGGGGAAACAAAATTGACAACTGTACACTGGGTGGAACATGGAGCATGGAACAAGGAGGCGTTAAGGTCCTGTTTGTGAGCTGAAAGGGGAGCTCGGAAGACACAATGGTTAAGGAATGCAAATGGGTACTTTGCTTGGCGTGATTATGAGAGACACGTCTTGTTTTAGCTTATGGATTGATACCCAGCATAGCAATGCTATGGACAGATTACGGAATTTATTTCAGTGTGCGTGAATCTACATTAGTGATGATGATTGTGGTCATGATTATGGGGTTACTTAGCAGTTTCCAGCTGACAACGCGTCTTTATTGTGATATGTACCTGATATTTAGGCGGGAGGACGAAGGAAGAAGCAATGTGATATAGAAACGCGCAATTGCGTCCGGTCTACACTTCTGTGAATACCCAATTTTGGGAGAAGGGATTCGGAAGGTGAGATCATGACCTGGAAGGAACATTTGACATCTCACGTAAACGGAGACCGAACTTTAGAAATGTATAATAAGATAAAATTGAGGAAGAACGTTCAATGGAAGCTTGGATTTGGGGAAATGAAGGCCGTGCGAACAGAACCTCGATAGCGCAATATTGCTTTTTCCACTACGACACTTCCACTACCTGAACACCGTGTTCCTGCCCGATGCGCACGTAGTTGTCTCAGTCAAGCCACATCAATTAGCGTTTGCGGCCATGCCTACCCTGTTACATTGCCAATCCTACCTTCTCATCTATCACATTCTCTCTCGTCATCAACTCATAACTCTTCAATTTTATTCATATATTCATCGATCCTGCATCTTCATCGCATCAGATAAAGCATTGGATATCTAATTCTCATATAAGCTTTGAGTATCCGAACACTTGATTTTACATTTGCAATTGATAAGATCGAACGCCACTATGTCGGACGAATCTGAGTCTGATATTGAGGATCGCGTCGCGTCTGAGGAGGATGACAACCTCGATGAAATCGACTCCGAGGAATCTGATTCGGAAGAAGCCAATGAGTTCCTAGATATAGAAGCCTCCGAGTCTGATAACCAATCCGAAGAAGATGATGATTTATCCTCGGATGTTGGTGAACCGGCTACCTTTCATCAATTCATGCAATTACCTCCTGAACTTCGCGCTCGCGTCTGGGATTTCTTCGACCCGGATGCGAGGGAAAGGGCGCGAGTTTTCAAAGTCATAATACCGAATCACTCCTTAACGGCGTCTACGATATGGGAAGGCGAATTTCTCGAAGACCAAACGGCACCTGCCAGGGCAATGTTAGCCACGCATCGTGAGAGCCGTGAGCTAGCTTTAAGATTCTACCCCGATATGTTTTATATTCGGAACGGACGTTGTGGCACTCCATATAACAAGGAGAGAGACGTCGTTCTTATCCACGGCGAGACTCAACAGGCAAGTAGGCATGACATACGAGATATCCTATCAGCCCTTGGATATCCCAAAATCGTTGCTTTTGGGGCTGGCTTTGATTTAGAGAATGATCCAGACTTTATGGTACTTCATGAATATGAGGGTAGACCGAGAAATATACTTCGTTGTGTCGACGAATATGAATTTTCAGGACAGGCGATGGAGTGGTGCGTATACGATACCGCCAACAGATATTTCGTCAAATGGACAGAGGAACATTCGGGCATCCCTCATGATGTGCAAATTATGTACTGCTGGCCAAATTTCGAAATGTTTCAAGACCTTCTGGGAAAAGATATTCCGGGAACTAACGTCGAGCCATGGGGTGTTGATTGGTTGCCTATGATTGAGTTCCATGATCTCGAGCGCTATGCTAAACTCCAGGTCGCAGCGGCGACCGAGGGCGAATGGCGTGATAAATGGAGTGAAACATCATCTATCACCGAGGAACACGAAACAGAGGATGAATACGAAAGTGATGGAATAGATGATGCAACTATCGACGATGATGAGGACCCCAGCGAGGACGGAGACGACTTGGTTGTGGTGCAGTCTGATTCCGAAGAGGACATTGCGTCTACGTTCAATGGATTTTCTCCACTTGAAAACGCGAGCTCCGAACACGGCGGCGATGCAATAGGAGCTAGTAATTTTTCTAGCCTCGAGCCTGAATCTCCTGGCCCTGACGCCTCTGCTGATCCTCATATGCATGAATCGGATCATGGTTCGGAACATGCACTTTCCGACGAAGAACCTATTCAGAAGACTAATCGACGCAAACGTCGTATCATATCCTCAGATGATGAACGTGACGACGATGACGAACCCAGTGGAGAGGTTAAAGCGCCGTCGCGACCTAATAAGCGCTCCCGGGTTATTCTCTCTGATAGTGAAGATGAGGATGACGAAGAGGGAGATGAAGGTGCAGAGGACAACCAGGAGTCTGAAGAGGAAGAACCCGATGAGTCCGAGTCCGAGTCCGAGTCCGAGCAGCCTGAGCCCGTAAAAACGAAGCCTATGTCTTTATTTGAGAAGCTAAGGCAATTTCGCGACGAGAACCCGGTGTCACCGGATTCGGGTGCTGGTTCTGACGCTGGTTCTGATTCGATAGGCAACGAAGATTTCGACGAAGGCAGTGAGTCTAGGTTTCTGGACGATGAAGTTAATGAAGATGAGATGTTGGATAATGGTGAGGGGGATTCTTATGAAGAGGGCGATGATGAATGGTGATGCGGGGGAGGCATCATGCTCTGTTCACGACTCGGTGACAGCGGTAAAGAGATCGACAGTTCATTAAGCGGCACTGCGATGATATTCTCAAAACACGCTATTTGAGGTCTATTATGCGAAACTACGGGATGAAGGAGTCGAGGCCTAGGTATCACCGGGGTTTAACCTGACTCAGCAGTTCTCATTTCTAGTATCCTTTATAATGCGAAAATACTCTTGTTGTATTTAGTTGGAGAATACTCAATAATGATAATTATTGTGGGCTGCAGGGCATGAACCACAAAGAATGCATTAGGAGAACCACACTTCGAAGGTTCATACTGACAGCTTATCACTACCCGCTCCTCGGCATAAGGACTGGCAACTGACCTGATCCCTAGATGCAGTCGATTTACAACCTCCTTAAGTTATACGAGATTGTCTTCGACTGAAATGGAAGCTTCCTTGAATCCGCTCAAGATAGCGTGTGGTGTGTTATAAATTCAGATGAAATGATTCAGCCCTATATTAGTGATTTTCTACATGGAGAGGCGTTCAGCTGTATTTCTACTAACCACAAGGGACAGTCTTACTGCACATCCGTTCAGTCAACAAGTCACTAGAGAATACAAGTGGGTATAAGGTCAATTTGATCCAATAGTCAGAACTTGAGTTTTATTCAAACTTACTCCTACTACTACGCGGCCTCTCCTCATCATCCCGGGGTCTACCCTCTGTCACCACCATACCGGCTCGCTTACTGATCGTCGTACGGTCGAGGAGCAGCCAGAGCGCGAAGACGAGAGCGGTAGCGGGCAACGTGAACGCCCAGTAGACCCAAAAGTTGGGCTGGATAACGGCATCGGCATGCCAATCGAGCGAAGGTACCGAGAACAGAGCCGCGAAGAAGGTTGCGGGTAGGAACGCCATCGTCATGATAGCTACGGTCTTCATACTTGAGCTGTCGCGCTTGGACGCCTCGGCTATCTTGCGACTGGCGTCTGCGAGCTCTGCGTGTATCGCCGAATCTTCGTGTGTTAGAAGCGCGAAGAGCTTTTACGTTAGAAATTAGGACTCTCGTTAGCGCCAAGGTTCTGCTAATAACATTTTGCAAATGTACGCGTAAGAGTCTTATATGGGTTAGGGGGAGGGGGGATGGTAAGGAAACGTTGGATGCACACTCGTTTCTATCATGGGATCTTACCACCGTCGACAACCGTTCAGCTCTCTCCTTCAAGTACATCAGATACTCCTGCGAAGCATGCACCCTCTTCCTCAGCGCCGGAATCGCCTCGACCAATTTCCTCGTGCTATCCTCCCTCCCTTCCGCTTCCGCTCCCCCCACACCCATCCCCAACACCGCATCCTCGGCGATAAAATCCAAAATCCCTCCCACGAGCCGGAAATGGCGTTGTTTATTCGCGATATGGTTCAGCACCTCGCCGACCTCCTTAATCGATACCGTTAGCGATTCCATGCCGATGCGCTCCTCGATGCTGCTCGAGTGCGTGCTGTACCCCGTCTGCCGCTCGATGAGCCGGACCACGTGCGCGCGGTACGAGATCTCGCCGTCGAAGGTGCAGCAGACGCTCAGCGCGGCCGCGTACGCGAGCAGGCCGGGCGAGCACACGTGCGCCTGGTGCCGCCGCAGCACGTTGACGAACCAGGCCGCCGGCGCGCTCTGGTTGCTGATCGCGTGCTGCTGCCGCAGGATCCACAGCGCGTGCGTGTGTCGCCGGCGCCGGTCGAAGGTCCACGTTAGTACGAAGTTTGACGTACCGATATAATACGTGTCGATGTCTGCCGTTTCCGCCTCGTTTCCTTTCTCTTCCCCTTCTTCTGATTCGGGGGAGGAGGAGGGACTGGAAGAGGGGAAGTGGTGGAAGCCATCGTACTCGCTGCGGAGAAGCCATAGCGCTGCTGGGTTCATTCTCATAGAGTCGACGAGACTGAGGAAGACGTCCTTGGTCACCCATAGCGAGGAGGAGAAGCTGGACCATGACTCTAACTTGCTATCGATCACGATTAGCTTAAGGGAGGCCGCCGATGGTGTTGCTCTTGTGCCCTGAGGCGCGATATTGCCGCTACTAGGCCGAGCTTTGAAGAACTTCGGCAGACTTTCGAGGTTTAGGTCCTTTTCTATGTAAGTCGTCGGCGCGTTGGGAGACACATAAATAGCAATAGCCCGGTGCTTGGGATCAGGTCCAAGCGATGCGTCGCCGTACCTCTGAAAGACTTCGAAGTTCTCGCGAGAGAGCTGGGCGAATTCATCCATGATGGCGGTGCGTGAAACCCGGAGTCTTCATCTACCTACGCATATAAGGAATACCATAGCTCATTATAATACCCATTTGTTTTCGAACGCCTAGATATGAAGTTCGGATACTCTGTGTACGACAACTTGGGAACCATTATAGGCAACCTACAATCGTCAAATCATATCATGAGCAACATTTCGAAGGATCAGCTGCGGCAGGGGTTGAAACCGCCGTAGTGCAACTTCAGCTGCGGCATTCCGAATATCCCTGCCTCTTGCGTTGAACGAGTAGAACTGTAGTCATCGCCACTGCTAACTCATAGGAGGCCCTACTAAAAGGAGACAGTAAGGCAAAACTAATGAGAAAAAGAATAGTCTAGGCTATCTATCAGTTCAGAAATTTGCAAAAATAAATGCATCAGCCGCGAATCGAACGCGGGGCCCATCGATGGCAACGATGGATTTTACCACTAAACCACTGATGCTGCCTTATGCTTATACTGAAGGTCTTTGGTATCTTGATATATATTCTCTAAGCTTGATCTGTGAATTGATTGGCTAGCAGCTCAGATAAGGCGTAGGTGTGAGGACCGTGATAAGAAATTTGCTTCCCCCACGACCCATATTATTCACAACCAATCATACCGAACGCAGCTTGTGCCTTCGCAATTATAAGGTTTTTTTCCAGCGGAACCTTTCAACGATTTGCTAAGCCGTAATTCTATGCGAACCAGTAAAATGAATTGAATTCGAGTCCATTTGCATCGCGCGACAATCCGGCCAATGAAAGGAGAACGTCTATTATTTATTTCCCGAACAGCAACAATTTACAGATTGCTATAAATATCCATAGTTACCTATGTACCTACAAAGCTGATTCCGTCGATGCTATTCCCACCTCTCACTTCACATCAACCTTAACCTTCCAGATCCGCCGGCCTTTCTCATCACGGTCCAAATCCTCATGCGCATCCTTACCATCCTCGGACTTAACAGCGCGTTCCTCGCCAACGGGCAGCACCACCGTAATATTATCCTTTAGCCACATCGGCTCCCACTTCCCCTCCTTCTTCAACTCCACCTTGACGCGGATCTCGGTACCAGACACGCCGTACTTAACAGTAACCTCGACCGCGTCGGCCTTGTCCTCGGGGCTCTGGCCGTCGTCCTCGAGCCACGAGTAGCTGAACCACTTGGTCTCCGTGCTGACGGGCGCCTTCTTCTTCTGGCCCCACTCCCTGGGCCAGTGCGGGTACTGCTCCAGCGGCGGCGGGAAGATCTCGACGGCGCGCACGTCATCCTTCGCCAGGTTCGGGAACTCCGGGTCGTCCGCGGCGACGCTGGTGGTCGGCTTGGGCTTGCCGGTCGGCACGGCGGAGCCGATGCGCGCGAGCACGGGAATCGACGTGTGCCATGTTGACCAGACCTCGTGCCACGCGCCCGCCTTGAGGAACTGATACGGCGCGTTCAGGTTCAGGAAGCCCGGGTCGCTGCCGCTCGCGTCTGGGAGGTAGACCTTCGCGGTCTCGACGCCGGGCTCGTAGACACCTGAGATGAGGAGCGAGTCTCCGAACCAATACTGCGTCTCTCCTTTCATGATTTCCTTGGTCCAGACCGTGGGGTCCGACTCGTAGCCCCAGCCGGTCCATCGCTGAGGAGGGATGGCCTCTCGGTGGGACTTGAGGATGAGTGAGTACGTGTATGGCACTAATTCGTATCTACGATCTATGGTCTTGCGGATAACGGGTGATACGGAGGGGTACTGCCATGGCTCGATGACCTCTCCGATAAGATTGTCGTCGGGGCTAGTCTTGTAGCAGTTGATGGTGAACCGTGGCGAGTGGACGCCAAGTTGGATCCAACGAACTAGAAGCTCCGGAGTTGGCTGGGGTCCTTCGAAACCACCAATGTCATGACCGTAGCACTGTATGAGTGAGCTTGATTGCCTTCACATATAGAAGGGTGCGATCAATGCTTACCTGGATTAGAGAGAAACCTGCGTTTAGCGCCAACGAGTTCGCTCCTTTCATCCCTTCCCAGCTAGTCACGTTATCTCCGCTCCATGAACTGGCGCAGTATCTCATAGTTCCTGCTGTCGCGCTGCGAGTGAGGATGAAGGGCCGAACCCCTGGTTCAACTTCAATCGTCGCGTCATGAGAACTCTTTCCATTGAGCTCGGTATTTAGTGCTCTACCCCAGAGACCGATGTTTTTGCGCGTTTCGCCTTCCGGTACGGTGACGGTCTCCAGCGCACATTGCCAATCATCATCGGGAGTGTTGTACTCATTGTTATCATTCCACATGGCATCAATTCCAACCTCCTTAAGATCTTTGACCCCCTTGTACCACCAGTTGTATCCTGCTTTAGAAGTGAAGTCAAGGTGGCTACCTTCTCCGTTCGTCCCTCCGCCGGCACTCCACAATCGCGCAACCGCAGCAGCGCCAGTCTTCGCGTCTTTGAAGAAAGCTCCTGATTTCACAAGTTCCTTATATGCGGGGTGGCTTGCCAAGACGTACGGTTTGACGTTTGCTAGCAAACGGACACCGTGCTTGTGGGCCTCACGTGTGAACGCCCGCGGATCCGGAAAGCGGTGTCGGTTCCAAGTAAAGACATTTCGGGTCTTGGGTTCGACTTCGGCTACGGTGTAACCCGAACTCATTTGGAACGCCGAGCACGGCATACCATGCTTTTCAGAATTCTTGAAAAAGTTGATAACATTTTCACCTCCAGGCGGATCGTCTGTCATGCTGTACATCATTCCGCCGCCGATGTAGCCCATCATATACCGAGGCGCAAGTATCGGGAAACCTACTAGCTCCGCGTAAGACCGTACGACCTCGGCCACGGTCTTTCCAACAATGAGGTACTCCTCAAGTCCCCCGTGAGCTTGGCGGTACACCTTGAAGTGGCCCCACATACCATCAAGCTCGGATCCGACATTCCAGATTGCTCGAGAATGAGAAGTCGAGAAAATTCCGATGCAGCCCGTAGGAGTGGCGTTGATCAAAAAGGGGATGTGCTTATATAGGGGGTCTGTACGGTAAGCGTCGTATCCGAAGGTATCACTGGCGGTTATGCTGAATCCACGGCCGCTGAGGTCCATCGGCGCGGCTTTCTCTCCGAGGCCAACGTGCAGGGTATCTTGCTTATACTTTGTATAGTGTGCAATGCCTGTACCATCGAGAGCATATGATCGGAATTCCAAGTCTTGGTGGAGTGGTTTCTCCTGGCCGTCTAAGTAAATTGTGACCACTGGTCCATTTTTCCACTCGACAACTGCTTTGACGTTCCCGACCTTGATCGTCTGAGAGTTTCCATCCTTGTCGAGGCTGACTTCGGGACTGGTGCTCCCAAAAGCAGGTTCCGGACGTTTGGCGCTAGGGTGCAGTGGCACTGGGTGTTTAGCAGTGGTGAAAGTGGTGCGAAACAAATTCGGACGCAATGCCTCGAAGCCGAAATTGAATTTCTCATCATCGTCTCTGCCGGCGGCAGTGAGACTTACTGAAGGCGTCGAGCTGCTCTCATTTTGAGCATCTAGCGCATAGTGCTTTGGCACGTGTTCGTACTGCTGATACATTTTTAGGTTAGACGACGTTATAAGTCAAAGTAAAAATAGGCAAAGCGTTCTCCAAAAGGTAATTTTATATTGGCCATAGGACCTCCGCCTGAGAGTTGATGGCCGAGGTATAAGTCAAGAATGCTAAGAGAGGTTGAAGCAAGGGAGCAAGATTGTAAGCGCGAAGTCTCGAATGCGTTTATTACGAGTGACCGACGGAGTTTTGGGCAAACACGGACGACATCATATTAATATCCCTAGCATCGGCTTGACAACTCTCGGGCGAGCCTGGGTTGCGATGACCGAGGAATGCCCCTTAATGGTCTCTATGCGGAGCAATCGGAGCGGGGACGGCAACCATCCCGCGGGATGGGCCGATCTTAGGACGCTGATAACTCCATTGAAACTGTAAGTTGGATAACGGTGGGTGATGCTCTCCAGACGTTTCCTCCGCATGACTGCTTATGCAGACAGTCATGCTTCAAGCACTATGAGAGTGCGTCTTGTGGGTCTTGAGATATAGATCAAGACATTCCATGATCTCTTTACTAAGCAGCGCCGATTACTAGGCCATCGTCGGCCAATGATTGGACCAATTCTGAGACTGTTTACTACCTAGCTAACCCAATTGTGAACGTAGATCAACCACGTTGGCCATCCTCGGGCAGAGATAGACCGGCAGGACCGGTTCAAGGTTCTCAATTTACCGTAGCCCCGGGGCCGGACGTTGCCAGCAGAACCACTTAGTGTGGCATCAATTTCTAGGCACATGCGTCAGCTTTGACTTAGACTCCATACAACCAAATACATACGCCAATACGTGGTCCGACATAGGAGTAAACAAGAATATGAAAGAAATAAACAAGGTAATTAGGGGAATGGAGGCCTAACGGGTTGGTATGCGTAGCTTAATTTACGTACTGGTGTTCCCATACGATCATGTTGGTGAGTGTTGAGGAGGAGCTCTTGGACGGCAGATGCTATGCTGTGCCAAGCAAGATCTCAGCAAATCCCCAGACCCCATGGGACAACTTCGTGTGGAGGTGGGTTTGGCCCAATTCTATCGGCCCCGCCAACTCGCGATCTACTATGGTGGGCTAGGACCAATAAATTCAGACGCGGGGATCCCCATTTTATGGGTGTTAACGATTAGGTTTGATTTCGATGAATGAGAAGTGGAAATCTTGTGCTATGGAGTTAATATACAGAGGCACAGAGGTTCTACTTGCGCTAGAGGAAAGCTAATGTAGGTCGGCTTTAACGTTCGGTAGTACATTGGTAGGTACAGTAGGCACAGTACGAAGTTTTAATTAGAAAACTGTACCTATTGTGGGTAGGCCGCTTTCCGAAGTCCAGTCGTGCCCGCCCTCGGCCACCCCGGTTTCTGTTCTTGCTGTCCGGGTTCTACATGAGCCGACATCTAGACAAACGCTCTTCCTCTTTAGGGCCTTCCTCCTTGGGACCATCGGGGCCGATTAGTCGTTCTAGCTCTGCCGCCACTCCCGCCGGATTCCAGTTATCACCGGGCCAGCCATTGTCGAGCATGATCTGCTTCCGGCGTTCGTAGTCCAAGCAGGAATGCATTGTATCTTCTTTCACAAGTATATAACCTTCGGAATCGTCATCCATACCAGGGATCCATTCCAGCTCCCTTAAGAGACCCTCACAAGCGGCAAAAAAGGTGCTAATACGATAACAGGAACCTTCGCCGTCTGAATCTAAATCCTTGAACAGATCATCATACGAATTATCGTCAGGTTCGGGATAGATGGCGTCAGACTCTACGCCAAGACCTATTTGAACATTGCAGTGGTAATTGCCGATGATGACATTGCCTAACTTCGTATCCAGGTAGACGTCCGATCCATATTCTCGTAGCGGAGGGATAAATCCTAGCAGAACAAGATGTGGTGGCGTGCGATCCTCTCCATATTCAGCCTCGCCGCGGCGAATAGACTTGCCTCTGTCTGCGACTCCCGGGAGAAGGTCCCTCTCGATATAGTTGTGAGGCTCCACATCTGGTAGGATCTGGACTCTCTCTGAGCATTCGAAGTATGGAATGTGACGAATGAGCTCGAGGGCCTCGTCGCTAAAACCAAAGCCAGCGACCACGTCGGGATCGTTAAGTTGAGGCCAACCTTCTGGGGGTGGATGTAGCAGTTCAGATCGGTCAGTGATGGCGTGTGCACGTGCGACGAGTTCGTAGTAGGAGGTTATCGCTGCAACTGTCTCGTCATGAGAATACAATATCGCGCCCGTGCTGGAGGGTTGTTCTGTCGACATGATAGTTGCAGAAAAGACTGTTGGCAGGTGGTTGTAGAGATGAGTTGCCTAGGTAGGTAAAAATATGTGGTGTTGTATTGATAATGGAATAGCCGGTTATGAGTTTCTTATACATCCAATATGTACATAAGGCGCATTGACCACGCATCCGGCCAAAATGCTTTCGCAGCAAACTTCTTTGATAGTACACTACTTCTACGCGCTCCAGTTTGGCGATGCTTATTCCTGTTGGTGGCAATGACTCTTTTTATGCAGGCTGGCTTACATGTTGGTAACTGAAAAGCGTTGATAGGTCCGATTAAATAGAGATCAATATAGAAGAGCATTGTTTTAATCAAAGAATGGGGGTAATATTTTCTAATAAGCTGGTTATATGTATGATATCTACCAACGGTTCCTACAGTGCCTTGATCGACTCAGGCTGTGCTAGCTAATCGTATTTGATTGACTCTACTGAGTTAAGATGGATCTTGGTTAGTTTCTTAAATTTCTACATCTACATAGGTACCTAGGTAGGTAGCCAATGGTACATCCAGATTGAGTTGATAGTTAAAGTAGGTAGGTAGTTTTGAGGGTTCCCCTTTACCCCTGAATTTATTACAGCCCTCGTCATCGTCGCGAATTGTTTTTGAATTGTTCCGCAACTAGCGCTGACTCAGTAGGTATACAAGAGTGTCAAAATATACGATGATATTGGCAGAATACTACAAGTGCAAGAGAGTCAATTACTCAAAATACGCTTCTAATAGAGGCAAGGGTCTCGTAAGATCGCGGTTCAAAATTGTTATAGGGGATGTCAAAGCCTCGACATATTTAATACCCCTGGTTGACATACTAGATTCCTTTTCCGGAAACGGAATACAAATTCAAATCAGGGCAGGTCGGCATCTTAGCCGAGTTGGTGAAGATGTTGGTTTACTATAAAAGTAAGAAATATATTACCTAGACCTAACGCTTATTCATACCTGAATTTCTCTGATACCTTGGCGCACCATAAATAGAAAGGCCGCAATCTGTTGCTGCAGTAGGAACATACTATCGTGAATTTTGGCCTGGCGTCCTTCGTCCTATTTTTCAGAGTTACTTATAGGTAAGGCTAGGTGCCAAGGCTTTGACCTGCTCGCATCATCCTTTAATCTCCTGTGTTGTCAAGAGAGAGGATTTACTGTGCCTGACTCTCAGGGGCTCGCCGCCAACACTACAGGAATCGTGGTGTTGGGGATAAAAATGAAGAAAAGGAGCAGAGGAGGGTGTGATATAGTGTATGGCTATGCTCATGGGGTAATTATCAAAACCAAAATCTATAGAACATTGAATGTAAGAATCTGGAGACGAATTGGTATAAAGACCTCATCTTCACGGCTGTCAGTTTACAGGTATGGCACTCACTATCGATCTACTCAACCTTGACGCTCTTTGATGTTCCAAACTGCTTCTGTCTTTCTATCATGAATCCTCTCTCGATCCTAGTGCTATTCCTAAGCACTCTCCATGGAGCTACTGCTAATTCAGGTCTCATAGCTCGTGACCATCAACCCGATTCGCAGACCATTGCGGCCTACGAGAAGACGGGAATGTGTCTTTACTACTATACCAATCGACAGCCTAATTGGAATAAGGGGCTACAACCTTGTATTAAATATTGTGCTGACCATGGAGGCCATGGCTACTCGGAGGTATGCATTAATACTATCAAATACTGCTTAACTTCCCTAGGATTAACCTCTTTTTATGTAGTGTGACGTGAGCTCATACAAGGGCATAGATATCGAGAAAGACAGCGGTATCCCGAAATATGTTGACGACGATGGATTCCCGTGGGTGGCGGCTCCGTGCAAATGTGAGAACAAGGATGTGGAAGCCATCGCCACCGAGATCATCGATTTAGTCGCCAAGGCGTTGGGCAAATTGGACAACATCCTCTGTGCAGTATTCGTTTCTGCTATCAAGGAGATTGTCGACGTCGGCCTCATGTTCGTGCCTGGAGGTGAAGCTGTCAGTGGTGCTGCTAAGGTCATGCAGTATGCCAAGTCAGCTTATGAGAATGGAAGTCAGTTCCACTTGCCCCTTTGAATCAAGGCCTGCGAAACCGATGCTAATGTGCTACCTAGTGGACGCGGCCGGGTTTTATACTGACTGGGTTGGTCAAGCATGTGGCGTGCCGAACTGGAGCTTCAGTCTTGACAGCATGTTCAGTAAGTCCGATGACAGGGTAAGAGTCTCCAGATATGTGACTGATGATTTCAATTAGCGGATATGGTAAATGCACCAGATTCCATGATGGGCCCGGGTGTTGCTTCTACAGGCTGTCTGCTCACGAAGAATAAAAGCAAGTGCCGGAAACGCAACCCAAAGCCTGATCCCAAGACGTCCAGCCAGGTGTACAAGGGAACTAGCACTAAGAAGAGTAACCCGCCTGCGACATCGAGCAAGGTGAATAAGGGGTCAAGTGCCAAGAAGAATGACCCGCCTAAGGCAACAAATTCTAAAGCAACCAATTCTAAAACAACAAATTCTAAGACAACAAATTCTAAGACAACAGATAAAGCCACGGCCTGCAAGGCGAAGCGGGCTTATCAGCCAGAGCCGACAAGATTGGTGAGCAAATTTGGCGACGTAGAGGAGAGGAAAGAAGAAGAGTGTAACAATGGCAAAACAACAACCATTGTGCACCGGACTACCACTGATGCAGATATCGGTTACTACATCCAAGACAGAAAAGATATCCCCAAGATCACCTGCAGTTCGAAGCACTCTCAAGCGTGCTACCACTACCGGTATGCTATGACAACCCTACCGCGACGGCTATCGTTACTAGCTAGCATCGGACAGTGGACTTAGCTGATAAATATTCCATAGCTCCGTTATGTCTAGATGGTCCAAGACGTCGAGCATGACTGAATGGACATGCATGGCAACCGAAACTTGGAGAGACGTGAAGGGAAAAAGATCCTGGGGTAATGACGGAAAGGCTACGAATAACTGGGGTGCAACGGCGCTCACCAGGATAAATAGCCCGGCTACTCAGCATTGGTTCCCTTGGGCCAATGGTTTTGTATACAGGGATATTATTTCGGAGAATGGCAAGCCTAAGACAAATAAAAACCATGCGACGATGTTTCACGGATGCGAAAGGGATGAGTTCCCGCCTAGGTATTTTTGGCCGGGCGACGACAAAGCACCTAAGGATAGTGAGTATGATCTATTGTATCAATTAGGGCTGGTGTTTGGATGAAACCCGATTACTGACTCGCTTTCTTTGCAGTGAGACAATGGGTACGATTCCTCCCCGAAGACCAGAATCGAGGTGCTGGTCAGCTAGTAAGTGCCATTTACGACCACACATCTTCGGAATTTACTCTATCCACATTGTGCTGATCCTATTGGTTTTAGTGGAAGGGATTCTGCAACGACCATAACGCCCAATCGACCAAGATAATATCAAAAAAACCAACACAGACCTACGTGGTGAGCGCAAACCTCAAATCAGACAAGGCTAGGACCTCAGTGGAGCAACCCAAAGGCAAGGATAAGAGTAAGTCTCAACGTCTTCTGTCAGCAGACTTTAGGTATCTATAGCACGAGCACGTTGCACTAACATCGACATCATGTAGCTATACATTCAACTGTTAAAGTTAGCACACTACGGGCCATCTTCAGTATTTCCGAATTTGAAGGCCTTAAGGCAAACGACGACGGATTGGAGGAGAACCCATGCTACCCGAAGGACTTGGTCGACGATCCCGGCTGGGCGCTTCTAACGGACGATGAATGGTATAAAGAGCACCCGGCAAGTGCGAAGAATATCGCCAACTACCGGAAAGCGCCTAGCAAAGCCGCAGTTGATGCCGCTAAGATAAAGGTCGACGCGGCTAGAAAGAAAGGGGAGAAGCTTGATTCTATGGGGGATGCTGACATTAAAAGGATGATGACCGCGTTCGCTGTGAAGACAGAGAAGGACTTGTGGAATAAATGGGTAGGTACCGGGGACGGACAGATTCCAGAGGAGCTATGGGGAGTCTTGCCATCGATTCCTAAGTTTACGAAGCCAAAAAAGCGTAGCTTCGTCGACGTGGCCGCCGTAAACGATACTCTAAGCCTCGAGGACCGCGACGCGGATGACCTGGATTGGGATGGTCACGAGGACGATGTTGACGATATGGACGACGAAGAGCTACGTAGATGGTTGGAAGATTATGAGGAGATAATGCGCCGCATGTACGAAGATGTGGAGACTCATACGGCGCCTCCCGAGGTCCCGGCGGAACCTACGCCAGTTGCCCCTGGCGAGAGAGATCTCGTCGATCAACCTCCTCCAGCCGTGACAGGATCGAATGCTTCAGGTGGCGTGCCCCAGCCAACCAAGATATGAGCTTCACAACATTAGCTACCTAGGTACTCAGTATCCCGGGATTTAACTGGTGCTCGGGGATGCAACTTTCGCAGGATATATTGGAACATCGATCTCTGACTCATTTATTATTCGTCGACACTTAGAACCAAGTCTGGATTACTTGAAGGGTGTCCTGATATTGAGGGTATCGGGAATTGGCAAGCTGCCAGATACCATCCCGTCGGAGGGCAACACCCACCCGCCAACCAAACCAAATTATTTTAACATGTATATAAGTATGCGGTATCTGATATAGTTTTAAATATATATTATATTAAGCTAGAATTGATCCACCATTACATGAATACTTAGGTACCAATTCTATATATCAGCGAAGGACCTTAGTAAAGGGCATTGTTCGCCAACAAAATAGTTGTTTAACCAAAGACAACTGTATTTATAATATAGGACTTGCCAAAGAATATGAGCGCTAAGGCCAAGCTAAGCAACTTGCGAACAAAGTAGGTTCTAAGAACTCTTTGGTCAAGGAACTCGTACTATCATCACAAAAGAATTCAAAATAAATCGTATCATGTATCCATTCCAAATTCGCGATCTTGAAAGATCGCCAGCCGTCGAGGCCCAAGGTAAAGTCGTTGTCGCTGTCTTTGTTACTCTTCTACTGATTTTCTCCGCCGTGTCCTGGATTCTGGTTGCCATCGACATTTGCATGATTCGTAAGCGCCAGCGACAGCGTGACGCCGAAAGCGGTCTTTCCTCGATTCCCGAAGATATCATTCCCAATTGCATTCCTGAATCTCCAACAACTTATAATTCTCTAGTTCATGGATAAGTTGTGTTTTTGACTGATTTATTCGGTTTGATAGTTTCAGTGGAATATCTTAACCTAGAAACTGGAAGTAATGCAGTTCAAAGGCAAGGAGGGTAAGGCTTAAATTAGGCCTGATATACAGGCGTGGGCATCCAGCCATCTAATATTCCAACACCTGGGGTGCCCAAGCACATTCCGCCTCCTAATCCTAGGTAATCTGTGAATAACTCCCAACTAAAGAGATAACCATGGTAAAGGAAACATTCTTTTTATTCTGTTTGAAATTCCACCGATAAGAATACGCTATATACCTACCTGCTTCAAAAAGCTAGTTACCTAATTGATAGAGGTTGGTGATGGTGTTCTGAATGAAGACATAGTATTCAGGTTCAAGCTAAGCTAGGGGGTTCTCTCAAAGCTGCTATCTAGTGCTCAGTACAGTAGTGGCTAAAGCTGTGGCGCATGTGGCTCTCGATACATGTGTACATGTATCCTATCATCTCCACGGTTTCTCGAAAGAAGAACCACGTTCCGCCGTTGTGTCCGTCTGCTTCGTTGCCTCCATCTGTTTTTTCCAGTTGAGCCTTGGTCGGAAGTAGAATTTGTATACGCCTCTTTCTTGACGGTGACGGAGCTCGGCTGATGTTTCTGATGATGTCGCCTAGGAGAAAAAGGTAGAATTGTTGGGGACGTAAAAAGTTGTATTGTCTAAGTAGAGTCCTAAGAACCGACAGAGGATTCAGAAAAAGTTTTAAGTATACGCGCCACGGAAAAAGTTGTACTCTATGGAACTAAATCGAACGAAAGCCCTAAGGCGCGGAGTTTAGTATCCGTTTAATAATATTCTGATAAGGATTGATCACGTGACGGTATCTGATTCCAGGCCTTTTGGCCCTAGCTCCACAGGGCACCAGCCACCGCGTGGCGCAATGCCGTATCTCTAGGATGATTAGAAAATATTTTCGCTAGCCACACTGCGGAGCCAGCGATCATCAGGCATGCAAAAAATACGCTGCATGATACAGCCGTAAATGCACCCTGCGCTTGGGATAATGAGTGTGTTACCACCTCGTTCTCCAATGCCTCCCGCCTCCCCACAACACCCCTCCAGACGGGCTAGCCACGTCTCCCGTTGCGCCAGCTGGTTGAAGCCAGTTTACTGACCTAGAAGTCAAGTTTGACCTAAAATGGATGTTAATCAATGAATGTCATAACGCATGATCCAAACTTACGAAGCTTGTCGGGGACTCAAGGACTAGCGGGTGATATTCTTTGATGGGCATTGTCGCCGCCGACGAGATATTTTCGGATGACCTAGGTACCTAATTTCTCTAAGTCGACGGACTTGGAGGGCGCTGCGGAGGAATCTTTTGGAGCAGGAGGCTCCTTGATACTGCGGAGAAGAGGTGGAATGTGTCCCATGCTGTAGATTTTGTATCAGTAAAGCCTACCAGCAAGAAGTAGAGATTGAAAATATCAGAAAACACATACGTAAAAATGCTGGAAGCAAATCTAATAATATAAGAAATGATGATAATGATAATAATAGCCAGGCTGACGAATAGGATTATTCCGACAGGGGCTATCTTGTCCATATTGATTTTATCCATATTTAAAGAATGGATATGGATTTTTTTTTTAAAAAAAAATGGCTATGATAGCGAATGTGTGGTGGTGTAAATGTGTAGAGAAGAAAATAGTCAAGTTCAGGATCATGAGCAGATCACTCAGGAAGATGTTGTATTAGTCTAGGTTTCCAGGACTCGGACAAGTTGAAAGGTGTTATATATACCCTTTATAATATAGTTGGTACCTTCTCTTGATGTGAACTCCTTCAGGAGTGCTTGAGCACGTATTGTTGATACAATCCCTCGCAACTTCCATTTAGGCTTTCCAGGTCAGTGTTAGGAATCGCTACGATATAGGCCGACACAACTTACTAATATTTGACATCTCAACGAAGGTTTTACTATTGAAATAACTCCTTCCCTGATGTGGTCCCGTGGAAAGTGCGAATCAAGGCACGAGATAAATCTGTGAGTATATAAATAGGTACCTACCTACCTAGATAGTTATATATGCATTTCCTTCGACGTTGATATGACAATTTCAAATGGCAATATTTTTAAGTAGTTGACATGTCAAACCACCATAGTATAGGATAATTACTAGAATAACGTAATTTATTATATATAGGTAATTTGTCTACAATGCCTTGGGGATCCCAAGAGGGCTACGAAGTATTTGCGAGGCTCTCCCTTCCCTATCTTCCTGTGGCGTCTAGTCCCTAGGTAAGTTTACAACAGACTTTTCCCATCCGAGTATAATATTTTGACTTAGTATTGCATGAGCAGATATTCCCTTAGGATAGAGCTTTCTTCGACAAATGTTTACTTTAAAAGAGTAGGCGTTGCTCGACCCTTCAATATGTGCTCATTCCACCCTGACCACCATCCCCTTCCCGGCAAGACGAATACATCACAGTCGCAATAGAACAATCATGGATTCCCCACAGCGAGATATCGCGACCGAAGAGAATGCGGATTTGGAAATGAGTTCAAATAGGTCATCTCAACCGACAGCGGACGTGGCACCTCCCGCGTATGACAATGTCCATGCAAGCGTAGGAAACAACGGTTTACCGATACCACCACCGGCAACATATGGGCAGTTCTACTTCGCAAATCAAGCAATGTAATCCATAGAATTACGATTATGCCCCAACCCTCCCTATTTAACTGAGAAGGAGGTTAAGGAGCAAGGATCCTGGTACGCTCGACTCATTTTCAAGACCGACAACGTCCCGCAGCTCATGCGCGAAGGTCTGCACTGGTCGTTGGAGAATGTTCGATGGGAGGACGGATACATCGAGGCCACGCCAGCCGAATCCGACCGTACTCCACCTGACAAGGAACAGATCAAATATTGTAATAAACTTGGGCTCATTAAGACCCGTCATTACTTTCTCTGTGATCTTCAAGTACCATCGCAATGGGTCGCTCACCTCCAGGTCTACGCCGCAAAGAACAGAGTTCTAGCGAACATGCGGCTCGGAAACCTCTCTAGGAAGAACATATATGCCGCATACGCAGGGTGTGTCGATAGGGAACAATACATCTATCTATACGACAGTTTTCGCCCGGAGACTTGGTATAATGCCATCTACGACGATATGCCCATGAGAGGTTGGTGGCCGTGGCCAAAAAAGAAGAAAAGGAGTCAAACGTGAGAGAAACCATTTAGGATATTATCGACGATGCGCCAAGTTTTGGGAAGTTGAGTTTGTGGGAGAACGGATCGTCTGAGTAGACGATGTTTTCGTAGGAAACAGACGGTGCTCCATAGGTATACTTGTGCCTAGATTGTCTTACTACCTAGCATGAATATGTATCAAGAAGTACTCAATATACAACGCTCTATGAATCCAACGACCTTCTCCACATAGGTACCTATCGATGTCCTAAAACTTAAACGTACCCCTTTAAGCCCAGGGCACCATCCCTTCAGCCGTAAACCTTAAGACGACGCCTCCTGAGCAGCCGAATACGCGTGCAAACTACCAGCGGCTCGCGGATACGCGACCTTAGTCCCATTGACCCCATTCGTCACTCCGCCAACCTCCTCATCATCACCATCATCATCCGGCATACCCCAGCCACCGCCACCAGGAGTATGAATAACACACCGATCCCCCTCCTTCATATTAATCTGGCCGCGCGAACCGATATTAACCCATCTCTCGCCGCCGTCCGGCAGCCTCTGGACCCAGTAATTAGCACCGCACGCGCCGGGCTCGCCGCCCATCAGGCCGTAGGGCCGGTGGACGCGGCGCTCGGTGATGAGGCCGTACGTGAGCGGGTATCGGCACAGCCAATCCCTGACGATGCCGTCGCCCCCCCTGAACCGGCCGCGCCCGCCGCTGCCCTTGCGGATCGAGAACTCGTTGACGAGCACCGGGTACCGCTTCTCGATGATCTCGATGTCCGTCGTCCGCGTGTTGGTCATGTGGACCTGGACCGCGCTCGCGCCGTGCCACGTCGGCCCCGCCCCGCTGCCGCCGCAGATCGTCTCGCCGTACCCGAAGCCGAACCCGGTTTGGGGTGAGCCCGAGTCGTCCTTGCAGTTGCCGAAGAAGCCGAAGCAGTTCATGCAGCCCTGGGACCCGGCCGAGGCTTTGAAAGCATCAAGAAGGAGATCGACTAGGCGTTGAGAGGTTAGGGTGTTGCCGCAGCAGACGGCCGGTCCGGATGAGGGGTTCAAGAAGCAGTTCTTGGGAAGGATAACTTTCGTCGGCGCTAGGCAACCTTGATTCAGGGGAATGTCTGAGCCGATTAATAATCTCAGCGTGTAAATCAGCGCTGAATATGTAATGGCTGGAGGAGCGTTCATGTTCGAGAGCATTTCGCAAGTTGTCCCAGTGAAGTCGAATGTACCGAAGCCGCTTTCGTCTATGGTAATCGAGACGGTCATCATGGAGCCGTTATCTAAGAATTGCTTTGCCTTAAGCGGTTTCGATCCGTATTTCTTGTAAGCAGATTTCAAATACCCACGAACGGAAACCTCGGCGTTCTCTTGGATCTTCTTCATGTAGAAATGGACGATGTGCTTGGAATATTCCTCCATCAGGGCTTTGATGAGATTACTGCCTTTGGTGTTTGCTGCAATTTGGGCCTTCAAATCGGATCTGCGGTTTAAGTCAGTTAATACGTCCTTATATGTAGGTGTGAGATCCAGAAACTCACAAATTATCATTCAACCGTCTAGAGCCACTGCATTCGGGGTATTTCCCGGGTTCGAGGAGAATCTTGACAATACCCTCCTCATCGAAATGGTTGTCGCGAACGAGAAAGAAGGATTCGATAATGGCGCCTTCTTGCCACAGCTCAGTGGAGTCACTGGCTAGACGTTAGCACCATCGCCTCACCCCAATTACTTCGATCACTTACGGGGGCATGGAGTTACCACGATAGCCACCTATGTCCAGGTGGTGACCTCTTGATGCTGTGTAAAAGCAAATTGTCTTCCCATCCGTATCAAACACGGGGGTGATGACGGTGATATCTAGTAAGCTTCGTTAGAACGGCCAAGCGATTACGACAATATTGGTCCGAAGATACCTGGTAAGTGAGTGCCTCCGCAAGTTGGCGAGTTCGAAACCAATACATCGCCAGGGCGCAATTTCCCCTGGTGGAGGATGTGTTGATACTTGACAGCATACGACATCGAGCCAAGGTGGACGGGAACATCTAAAGAAAGATTAGCTTCAATAATTACTCCAGGATGAATGTTAGGTTCACTTACGAGGCGCATTCGCCACCAGGTCGCCCTTTTCAGCAACCACGGTCAGTAATTTCTTTAGAAAACGGGGTTCGGGAAGGGGCCCTTGGTAATACGCACATCGGGGCTAAAGATGGCACAGGAGAAGTCCAGACGCTCCTTGATGTTGATAGATATACTTGTCTTCTGTAGAGTCCTACCCATCTGCTCTGCGATACTCATGAATCGATGACCGAAGATGCTAAGTTTGATTGGGTCCACTACGAGCTCATGTTCCTCTTCAGACTGCTGGGGTTTCTCGTCAACCACATCGATAACAACGTGCGAAGATAGAATTCGTGCCTGGGATCCCGGTACGATCACTATAGTTTGGGTATTGTCGATTATTATCGCCGGGCCAGACACGACGCTGCCAGGGGCTAGCTTATTAAGTCGAAAGACTTTGGTCGGTTGTAGGCCGCCAGCTGCGAAGTATGCTTGCGTCTATATGAAGTCAGTGTCGTTAGATTTCCAGCACTTACACGCTGGGAGTAGGTGATGATCTTACGATTTTATCCTCTCCACCCTGAACTTCCAAGCCGGCGTGAGACTTGAGTTCCTTCACAAGTTTCGAGTTATCGTGGCTAACTTCTGTGCTCCTACCGACTCCACGAACTCGCACATTATCAACATGAACCTTCTTGTCACTGGGAAAGACGAATGACAACTCCCTGAGATGCTCCTTCTCAAGCGATGATCTCCAATCGCCATCAGCCGGAGAAAGGATCATGAAATTAGTATCGGTGCCTTGGTATCTAAGGTTAAGATACTGTTCGTGTTCGATGAATTCCTCTGCAATTCCCTGCGCAAGGAGACTCTGGGTAGCTTTTGCTTTGAGGTCTTGCATCCGGGCCATCAGTCGAACTAGAGACTCTTCGGATAGAATCTCAGAGCTCGGTTCCTGGGCTTCCTGCACAACTTCCGCTAGAGCCATGCCGTAAGCTGAAAGGATACTAGAGTATTTGTGGATCACTATTCTCTTGATACCCAGCTTCTTCCCGATTTCGCAAGCGTGCTGGCCACCAGCGCCGCCGAAGGTCGCAAGGTTGTGTTGCGCAGCCTCATACCCGCGAGCCTCGGTAAGTGCGCGAATAGGACGACCCATGGACTCATTAGCTACATCGATGAAGCCATGAGCAACCTCAAGTGGAGTCATCGAGCGCCCAGTCTCAGCATTTATCCGCGCAGCGAGCTCCTCGAACTTCTGCACCACGATATCCGTGTCGAGAGGAAGATCTTCACTAGGGCCGAAGATCTTAGGGAAATATTCTGGAATTAATCGTCCAAGAAACAAGTTTGCGTCTGTAACTGTTAGTGGGCCTCCTTTCCTATAAGAAGCAGGTCCGGGATGAGCTCCAGCACTGTCCGGTCCGACGACGAATAACCCATCCCTAAAGAAAAGCATGGAGCCACCTCCGGCAGCTACTGTATTGATATCCAGCTGCGGAGACTGTATAGAAACTCCCGCCGTTGTTGTCTCGAATACGTGGTCAAAGGCCCCTCCGTATCGCGAGACATCTGTACTCGTGCCACCCATGTCGAAGCCGACGATAGGAGAAGTCCCGTCGTAGGAAGTTCTAGCGTGCCCGACGACACCTCCGGCGGGGCCACTGAGAATACCCCTTAGGCCATTAAAGTTCTTATGGCTGACTAATCCACCATCGGATTGCATGAATTCGCATGAGACGCCGTCTAGATTGCCGTCAGCGAAAACCTTTGCGAAGCCCGACACGTAACGGGTGATCTCTGGCGTGAGATACGCATCAGCGGAGGCAGAACTGCCTCGCGAGATCATTTTGATCATGTTCGCGCCAACTGAAGAAGACGTCGAGACGTGTGTAAATCCCATTTCCCTAGCGATTTCCGCGATCCTCTGTTCGTGGAACGGATAAATGTATGAATGCGCTAAACATATAGCAAGCGTATCAATCCCGTCTTCTCTAAGCTGATATAGCTTTCCCCGTACTTCTGTCTCGTCTAGGGGACGGATGATGCGCAGAATTTCACCGGTGATGCCTTTTACAAGGACACCAGGGATTTCTTGAAGCGGCGGACGGCTATCTTTCGTAACATCTTCGTCAAACTCTTCGACTGTGATGCGTTCAGACACTTCGACCACCTTGTCGTAGAGTAGTTCCGGTTTCCTGATGTCAAGGTCAAATAGCTTTGGCCTCGACTGGTAGCCGATCTCTAATAAGTCGCCAAACCCCTGATTGACCACAAATGCATGCCTTGTTCCTTTCCTTTCCAACAGCGCTATCACAGATTAGAATCCCGCTCATAGAGGGGATGACGTTATATACTCACCATTTGTAGCGACTGTCGTTCCCATTCGAATAGAGTGAATTAAGTCCTTGGGTATCGGAGCACCTCGTGGAACAGGCTGGCCGGAGACAATCTCAAGCACTCGGCGAATTCCTTCTGCTGGTGCATCATCGTAACTACCGGGGTCAACGGATAATAGTTTGAGGACTATGTCTTCCCGACCCGGCACAGCAGCAAAGACGTCAGTGAAGGTGCCACCTCGATCTTAGAAGAATCATTAGCCGCAATCCATAAAGCAAGCATGGATAAACTAACCAATAGCGAACTTCACGCTTTTAGGCTGGACCGGTGGGGGGAGTGTATCGACGGCCATCTTGGCTGCGAATATGTCTGAGATGGATGGGAGATTCTACGTGATACATGGGTCTTGATAAGCTTGAGGAAGCTCGCCTTGATATACCTACCTCATCACGAAGAATCGGGGGCAGTCCGGCACCGGAAGAAGGTTGACTGGCGGCCGGTGATAGGGCTCCATCGTCTTGGAGTGTCGTTTCGAACTGCCTCCAAGTCGCCGGTAAATCAAGTGATGCTATTGTTGTTACTTTCGATGAGATAGTCTTGGCTATCTGCGCGAACGCGACCCCAACCCCGGCCAGAAGTGGATCTTCTCGCCCGCAATTGAACACAGTGCGATGCGAATGCCCGATACTATGTCTCTCGGAGACTAATGCTCGTCGATTCGAACTTCCTCCCAAATTCTCGATTCTTATCACGGCGCCACTTATGTAATATCTTGACCAATCATCTTCGTCAACTTCTCCTAAACCACTTACGTACCATGCAAGCCCCCCATTAGAGAATACACTATCCTTCCCTACCTAGGAACTGCAAGACTTCGGAACAAGCTAGCCTAGGGCATGCTCTCCTGTCTATCATGGAAACGCTACGTAAGCTAATCTGTCCCAAAATACAGGCTCAGATATACATATGTAATTCTAGTGCCTGTTCTCATTGACTGATAAAAGCATTGCTGACATGGTTACCGAGAGATGTGGAGAATTACAAGATGATAGTTCATTCATACTTCTTGAATCTGGGCCTTATGTAGTGGCACCAACCCCAGATTGATAAGCTTTTGGTGCCGTCAAGAGAAGTGGTGAGACCATCCTATCTATAAAACCAGACCCAATGAACCGGGTATTCACCGAGATATACGTGCGACAGACATCCAAAACCCTCAAGTTTTGTCCAAGTAGTTTTGGCTTCTTCAATCCTACCTATTACTTGATACAATGTCTCAAGACGTCAAGGAAGATGCCCTCCAGCCCGTCACCTCGGCCGTGGTTGGCGAGACGACAAAGATGGCCAACGACAACACTCTAGATGAAGCGGCAGTATATCTCGCCAACCATGAAGAGTTCGGACCCATGACTCCAGAGCAAGAGAAGATCATAGTGAAGAAGATCGATGCCTGGATGATTCCTCTAGTATGCCCCCTTCAAATTTTTTCATCCCCAATGTACGACGAGATAACCCTCAGGTCACACAACTTGAGAATGTAGCCGTAACACAACTTGCTGACGTTATTCTTACAGCTTGTGTTTTGCGCAACTCTCGCCGCCGTTGATAAAGTCGAGATTGGAACTGCTTCTTTATACGGTTTCCAAAAGGATAATGGGTTTACCGGGCAGGATTACTCTTGGCTTGGAAGTATTCTGCCATTGGGTGTAGGTGAATATCCGGAATAATTCGGTGCGGTTGCTTACCTCCCTCAAGACTTTGATTGGTCTAGTTCCAGCATCATGGCTAGTCCAGCGATTTCCCCCTGGGAAACTCCTCGCCGTCGGCTCTATACTCTGGTCGGCTGTTACGTTATGCTATGCCGCGTGCAGGACATGGTCGGGGTTTATGGGACTCAGGTTCCTTCTGGGTTTCCTGGAGGCCATATCTGTCCCATGCTTCACAGTGCTCGTTGCGTCTTTCTACAAGAAAGAGGAGCAGCCCCCTAGGAACGGGAGTAAGTATCTTTCATCCCCAACGCTGCAGGTTTTACTAACCACTCGTAGTTATCTTCGCATACTTCTCATCGATATTCAACGGCTTTTTCGCTTGGGTAATTGGATACATTCCTGCGACAGCTCCCCTATTAAAATGGCAGTATCTGTACCTGTTAACAGGTACAATAAACTGCCTATATTCGCTCTTCTTATGGTTTGTCCTACCCGACAGCCCGATGAACGCGTTCTTCTTGACGCCAGAACAGAGGTATCATGCTACAAAACGGCTAGCTTCCAACAAAACCGGTATTGCCAATAAGGTGTGGAAATGGGATCAAGTATGGGAAGCATTACTTGATGTTAAAGTGTGGCTGATCGTCTTATTCAACATTGCCATCAACATTCCCAACGGTGGTCTGCAGACCTTCGGATCGATCATTATTAATAATCTAGGTTATAGCGCTCTGGTTTCTAGCCTGCTGACCATGCCATTCGGTATCGTAGCCACGGGTGGCGCTTGGGCGTTTTCATACCTTGCTGCAAGGTGGCATAACCGACGAGCTCTTACTGCGTGTATCTCGTTATTACTCCCTATTTTCGGAACCGCTTTAGTATACGGCTTGCCACGAACAAATGTCCCCGGCCAAATGGTGGGACTCTACTTCATGTACTTTTATTGGCGTAAGTTCCGTATTTGATATATGTGGGTAGGCTGTACTAACTGACAATAGCCCCTTATATCGTTGGAATCTCTCTTATCCAAGCAAATACCGCTGGAAGTAAGTGACTATCCATGAAGTTCATCCACCAAAATTTGAAGATAAGCGCTAATCCTCGATGTCTCAGTGACCAAGAAAGCCATCACATACAGTCTTGTCACCATCGGATACGCCACCGGCAATCTAATTGGACCCCAGACCTTCAGAAGCGAGGAAGCTCCTCGATATAAGAGCGGTGTGATCGCAATGCTGGTGTGCTATTGCGTGTGCATACTCCTCTTGATTGTATACTGGCTCTTCGCATCTTGGCAGAATAAAACCAGGGATCGTAAATACGGCAAGCCGGAGCAAGGCGCTGAAGGTATGACGGAGACTTTTGTGGATGTCACGGATAAGAAGCAGCATGACTTCCGTTATACCACCTAAGTGTCCGCGGGTGGTGCCAGTTTGGAGCCGAGGGGAAGTTGATGATATTTGGGTATCATGGAACGTTTATATTTGATAAGCAACTGTAGCAATGAATCATGCTAAGCTGATAGCACCGTGTCTTCTCCCTTGTAATATGCTCCATCCTTGAGATTTATCAGGCCAAAGGTCTCGTGATTTCCACACATCCTCGATGATTAACCTGGCTTTCTTAACGCTTGCCAATTGTCTTGTCTCTTGGAGAGCTGCGAGTCGACTCAGAATAAGTTTCCTATCTTCGTCGCAATCCCGGACGCCTAGTGTGGCTACAATAAATAGGGGCCAAAGACCCGTGTGGGTCCGGAGGGAGATTTTGGGAATAAGCGACAAAATTTGAGACGTTACTCGAATCATTTTCGGTTCATAAGGCGAGGCATTATCTACGCGCGAATAGAGATACAAGATAGCTGCAAGTCGTTTGACCTCGGCGATGACGGAAAACTCCGAATTTAATGATGCAGATTCATGAGGGACATTTTGGTGCAGTTGGTGGAGAAGCCTTTCGACTTTGTCTCGACGTTGCTGTATCGTAGGCGAAAGTTTCCTTTGACCTGACTGCCCTATTACCGAGCTCATCTGATTTATTTCTGAAATTAAGATGAGCAAATCTCTCGGGCATCCAGTAAGGGCCAAAATCGTCGATTTATCGACGGCTTTACACATTTCAGTGACCATTTCAGCGGCCTCCGTGAGCGTACCTCCAGTAGCAGCGAGGATATCGTGCGAAACGAAGTAAGTCACTGCGAAATAGAGGAGTGCCTCTTGATCCGCAGTCAGAGCACCCAGGTCTTTCAGGCGGGAGGCCAGAAAAGTCCTTGCAAAGTCGGCATGTACAGTCCACGAGTTGGAGCAATCCTTTGAAATCTTGGCCGAACAATTAGTACTATTTTCGTTTCTGAGTGGGAACTATAGTCACCCCCTATTCACTTACCTCAAAGAATGTCAACATAATAGTCGAGGCAATGATCTGATCTTTGGATGTCCCGCTGACTCCTCCACACGCTTCTCCTGATGCAAGATGGGCGAGTTCTGCTCTTAGGAGACGCAATGCCTTAGCTCTATGAAGCCACATGGCCTGTCTGTATTCGTTTCGCCCAATACTCTGAAGTTGATTCGCAGATGCCGCTAGCACGCATTGGAACAAAGGTCCCTCTTTGGAGAAAGCTGCCATCTTCAACACAATATCTCTATATGGGTTGAAGCCGGGGTCTATAACGATTTGGGTGGTCATATATTCATTGAAGTAGCTCCAGAGATAGCCCTCGGCTTCCCCTAGACGAAAGGGGGAGATATACCGGTAAGGCGCAGGTTTCTCTACCTGATACTCGATGTCCTCAGCTGGAAGACGATCTTGATGGTAGTCGTGATTCACTTGAAAGGTATCCGGATTATAATCCGCTTGCATAGTGTTGAGGAACATCCAGCTTTGGATAGAAACCATGAGATCCTGTGGTAATCTTGGTGGCACATTCTCGTGACTCTCAAACAAGACGATGTCCTGCCAGCTCAGCTTGATTTCATAACGACAAGTGAAGCCTAGCCGTTCACAATGGCGGCACACAGGACGCTCTTCCGGGCATTTGACGCGCCGCTCTGAAAGATGTTAGGAGGTGCATATTTATATGAGAGTTGAGAATGCGATCTCACCTCGACACTTCCGGCACCCAGTTCGCGTTCGCAACTCGGTCTTAGCAGGGCTCCGCATCTTCAGATGCAGGCAGGGATCGCCGACGATCAACAAGTAACGTGATATTTATTACTATGGGACTCTGAGAGGTATGCATCACCGCTTCTACGCATACGCATGGACAGACGGACATACACTAGAAGATAGTAAATGAGTCGAGAGGAGTTGTAAGGTCGGGGTAATTACTCTCCACTTCGAGTATTGGAGATAGGAGGTAGGCCCCTAGGGCGTTATCACACTAGTGGATTCGGAGTAGATAAGCAAGCTATCAATGTCAACATTTAAGATAGGCAGCTCCGTCCCGTCACACTGTGAAATCCGGATAACTCTAGAAGTACCTAAGTACCTCGAGTCCGCCGATGTGCCGACCGGGATCAGGGTTGGTTGGTCCAGATTCCCCCATTTCCCCACGATCATGTACGTACTAGGCAGTAACCTGCATATGCACGTCGCTTCCCGTTTCCTCGGCCCCGTCCATGTATCGCACCAATAAATACATATGTACGTACTATGATACTTACCCCTAAACCTCGAACGACGTCGATTTAGAACGATGAGGAATATCATATTGTACGTAAACTGTGTCCGATGTCGTGATATCGTGGCCCGAAACCGCTCTAGGGAAAGACGACATTTAAGCCGGTAGAAGAGTGTAAAGTAAGAGAAGATCCCAAAATGAAGCCATCGTGTATTCTAGCGATGCCTCGAATAAAACCAGGACATACCTTCTGAATATAGTCTATGTTGGTATACAAGGTCGCGAACAATCGTAGATATGGACAAGCAAGCATCAATTCTGATCCTAGGTGCAGGTACCTTCGGCCTATCGACAGCCTATCATCTGGCTAAGGCTGGTTATACCAACGTGACAGTCCTCGAGAAATCCGCCACCTTCCCTCCCGAGCTCTCTGCTGGTAATGATCTAAACAAGATCATAAGAGCCGAATATGAGGACCCTTTCTACGCCGAGCTAGCCCTCGAGGCTATGAACGCCTGGAAATCACCCCTTTTCACCCCCTATTACCACGAAACCGGCTACCTACTCTGTAACTCAGCTGGCGCCCCTGAAAAGTCCAAAATCTCTCTCCAGAAGTCCCTCGATTCCATTCGCCAGCGTCCAGAATTCGAGAACAAGATCACGCCGGTGAACTCCCGCGATGACATCCGGAAAGTAGCTCCCGCCTTCGACGGCCCCATGCTTTGGAAAGGCTACTTCAACAGCTACGCAGGCTACGCGCACGCCGCCGACGCCATGACGGCGGTGTATTCAGCATGCATTGCCCTAGGCGTAACCATCCACCTCAACTCCACAGTCCAAAACCTAACCTACTCCGACTCAGGGGACATCTGCACAGGCGCCATGACCACGAAGGGCACGCACTACACCGCCTCCACCACGATCCTCACCCTCGGCGCATCCCTCGCCTCGATCCTGCCGCAGATCAAACGCCAGATCATCGCCAAAGGCTCGCCAGTAGCGCACATCCAACTCACGCCCCGCGAAGCAGCGCAGCTGCGCGGCATCCCCGTGACGTACGCGCGAGACCTAGGCTTCTTCTTCGAGCCGGACGTGCGCACGCAGCAGCTCAAGCTCTGCCCCGCCAACGCCGGGTACACTCACTATCACCATCACCACGCCACTTCTTCCGGACTCCTCTCGCTGCCGCCCTCCGACAACTCGTTCGTCGCGGCGCGCGACGAGGCCGCGATCCGTCGTTTGCTAAGGGAGACGCTACCGGAGCTGGCGGAGCGGCCGCTGGTCGGGAGACGCGTGTGTTGGTGCGCGGATACGGCGGATAGCGAGTATGTGATTGACTTTGTGCCGGGGAAGAAGGGGCTGGTTGTCGTGACGGGGGACTCGGCGCATGCGTTTAAGATGTTGCCGACGCTTGGGGCGTGGGTGAGGGAGGTGCTGGAAAGGGGCCGCCAGGATAGGGAGAGGTGGCGGTGGAAGGAGGGGAGTGATGCTGCGGGTGTGGATATAAGTTGGAGGGTTGGGAAGACTACGGATTTGCAGGAGGTTCGGGATGAGATACGGAGGGATGAGGATGCGGTTGAGGCTAAGCTGTAGAGGTGCTTAAGTATGCATAGGTGGGTACCTAGGTGGGTACCTAGGTAGGTAGATATGAGTTTTGGTGATTCATAAAGGAGTCGTTACTGGAGTCTAGGTCCTTCGAATCGGTGTTGAGCGTGGATGGGGCAGGAAATAGAACGCGTACCTACCTGATATCCGACCGGTTGTCACCAATCTCTGTTCATCCTTTACTGTTCCTTCGCAACCGCAAAGCATCAGGCATTGTTGCAACTGTGATTGCTTGTGTAGGTAGAGTTGACATCTTCCACTGTCACCAGCCCACCTATTGGTGTCTTTTTTTTTCCGTGTTCTTATTTGTATATAATATTAACATTACCTCTAGGCAACCTCCCATTTTTGCTACACTGCAATCGAGCCGAAAAATTCTACTTTACCAACAAGGTCCGATGCCATAAGAACCTTTGAAGAATTTAGGTCATAATAATCGCAGGCCGAGGCTCTAACCATCTGCATCAACATATCAATTATATTGACATTCTTTTTGTGTCAGCCGGTAAACATCTCAAAATGGAATCGAACCGTCCATCTGACGATCTTGACATTGCAGAAGTCGAGTACTCATGTAAGTAGTACCTATAGTTCCTTCTTGTCATATTCAAGGATGCCTCAATTAATTGGGTTTATCGAGTATTCCTCCGAGATAAAAGGATTCCTCGCGCAAGGGACCATTCGCTAACTCAATGTTGAAGTGTCCGAGGTGCGCAAGCATCGCATCCAAATCGTTCCTATCGTAAAGGAACTGGTCGTCAATTATCACGACACGGCCATTACCGCCAAGAGACTTCATGATCGACTATTCCAGAAGTACACACATCTGAAAGCCCGGTATGCGCAGCTACAAGTAGAATTCAACGCATACTGCACCGATCGCAACGCTCGTGAGGACAAATGGCAAGAACAGGCTCGAGATGCTGTACTTGATGACCTGCGTAGACTAGTCGACACGGCTGTTAGCTCGAAGGAGGCATCTTATCAGAAGACGACAGCTCTTGTGGTGGAGCATTTGGAGATGAGCAATGAGAATGCCCAACTGCGTGCGCAGGTGGAGGAGCTCCGTCGTGAAAACCGAGCCCTGAAGGCTAAGAAAGTCTAGAAAGCCGACCGCAGTTGCAAGGAAGGGCTTCGTGCTTTGAGTATTCCCCCTTCATCTCACAATAACATTGACTATATCGCTAATCTCTTGCCTGTCTAGTGATATACCATGGAGGGCTACGATGGGTAAATTGGGGTTAGCCCTTGATTCTGTTTGAGAGTGTCTGTCCAGCTACGGGTGGTAATTGGAAGATGTTGGGTTGAGGGATGAGGGGGATTGTGTTTGGGTTTCCTTGACTAGGTAGGTAGAGAAAAGGAGGGAAAATAATGGAACTGCTTTAGATTTTTTTTTCTCCGGGAAAGGTCTCCTATGCCTACCTAGGATGTGGCGTTACTGGTGTCTTCCCAATTTGTTGCCTTCTGTCAGTCTAGAAGATAAAAGGCAGTCGTTACCTTATAGTGGACTTGACTGTGACATAGGGGAATACATCACGAGAGTGCTTACCGTAGTGTCGTATGTATATACCTGGTCAACATGAACTGTGGTCTGTGTCATCTTCTTAGAAACAATACAGCCAAGATATATACTTAATTCTATTGCTGTATATCGACGCCTATACTCGCAAAGTACTGGCAATGTGTCTTCGTGTCCTCGTCGACATTCTCCATCGACGTCTTCCCTCCTGTATCAAACAATAATCTATTCTCTTCACCCGAGTCCCATTTCTCCCAGGTCGCCGACTCCGGGACCTTGAACGTGTTCGGGTCTAACGTGCGGATGAAACTGGTCCAGTACGCTTGGATCACGGGAACGACTTCTGCATTAGTTCCGTTAGAGACATAGCTCTTCGGCGGACTCCCGTTCGTATTCTGGGGGCCCCATATGGCTGCTAGCTCGATAGTATGAGGCACGCCTAACCCCGCTGCTATTTCTGCTGGATCCTCGACATTATATCGGTAGGTGTATGTGCTGCTGACGCCGTGATTAGCCATGGCCGACGATATATACAGAGTCGGACACATGTAGCGCATGTCGCCATAGACGTTACTGACTTGCCGCCAGTAGCAACCAGTATTGGGGCAGGTATCATTTGGATTCGGGTACATTTCATCGATCTTCTCCAGTTGCTGCTGTGTTATGTTTGGGAACTGGTCTTGAATGAACTGGTTGCTCTGGGCAAGTGTTGATGTATCTTGCGGCGTGAAAACGGTCCCAGCATTAGTGTCATCGCCGAAGATCACGGGAATTTTAGCGAAATTCCCTTTAGCGAATGCACTGTAAGTGTAGTCGGTGAGAAAGTCGTTGTCTAGAACGGGATTCCACATATACAGTGGTGCCTGGCTCAAGCCAGGATAAGGCCATACTGTATTCGCCGTCTGCAGTTCCGTGGAGGTCTTGCTTCGCAAGCAAGCCAAAGAATTGGTGCTATTACTACAGCCAAGACGCATCGTGAAATTGTTATACTGATACTGGCTCTGCGCGATGGTAAGAACCGGAGCAAATGATACTGATTCTGCGGCTGCCCCATGGAACAATCCGCTGTTTCTGCCTCCATAAGCTATCATCTGAAGACTTATGCTAGCGGCGCCCGCAGAATCTCCGCCTAGAACGACACGGCCAGGATCGCCGCCAAACGCCGAGATATACCGATTAACCCATTGAAGAGCCTTCCGTTGATCGCGCAGCCCGTTATTGGCTTTGATCTGATTGCCGTTGGTGATAAAGCCATACGGACCCACGCGATAGTTGAAGGTAACGATGACGACGTTGTAGTCGCTAGCTTCGATCAAGCCCGATCCGTTGAGATTCGGATTACTATCGACGCTAAAACCTCCGCCCTGTATGAAAACAAAAACCGGTAACTTGGAGTTCCGCGTCGCATTGCTTGGCGCGTACACATCAAGAAACAAGCAATCCTCCGACGTTCCACTGCTTGGTGGAGATGAGCCAACTGCTAGGCAGAGTGGCCCGTGCTAATATAGGGGAACGATCTCAGCAAGGATTTCGAAATCAGAAACAATATAATAGTCAGTTCGTGATACGCACCTGGGTTGCTTCTTGGGTGGCGGTAAAATTGCATGGCGGATCTTGCGGAGGTGCGAATCTAAGATCACCGAGTGGCGGCGCGGCGTACCGAATGCCAAGCCATTGTGTGATGCCGTTCGGAGTAGAGTAGCCCGTGTACCTGTTGCATATTAAGTTGACGGTAGGGTCGACAGCTAATACAAGGCAGAATAGCTGGCAAAGCAACAGGATGGCGACCTTGATCGTAACCATTGGAAAGTCTGAGGTCTCGGGGTGCTCCGAGCGGGAGGCCGACGAGATGTCGCTTTGATTAAGGGGTCGCGTGCGAGAGCGCCATATTGCGACGCGGACATCGCAGCCTTCATATATCTGCAAGCCTGGGATACTTATTGTAACGGTGTCTGGGGCGGGCTATTGGCATTCCACGACATCATCTGACGAGATTCCATTATCTACTCCCCCGTCCCGCGTCCAGACCCGAGAGTGTTTTACTTCCCTGTATCTACCGTCCCTGCTCGAGGCTGTGTGACCAATGCCGAACCATGCAAGCTGACCACATTCCAACGTGCTCGCCAACAGTCCTCCCATCTCCCTTGTAGAGAAGCATGTAGGTAGGGTAGTGTAAACAAGACCGCGTGATCGAGACGTAAAGAATCCGGGTGAGAAATGTCTGACCGCCCGCCGTCACTAAGCGGCACCGTCTGCACGGCACATCTACACTAACCTAGGCATATCTCAAGGGATATGCAAAGATTGGAGAATTATCGGCATAAGCGTGTGGGGGAATAAGGCTCTAATCGTAGTTCATCTGTATTCATCGTAGTCTGCTCCATTTTCTCCATTCCTCCTGCGGTTGCCATAAACTTGATTTGACGACTCATCCAATGTGGGGAACCCCGGGCGTTGTTCGCTCTATTAATGCCGAATCAGTAAATGACCCCTGGTTCCTCTCTCCCCCCTTGCATGGGGGCGTCGGGCGTCATCAATACGAGTTTTCTGTGTGTTCATATTGTTGCCATGCCTTTCTTACACGCATCTGCATATTTTCACAATCATATCAATATATAGCGGAGTTGCTATAAAAATTTGTCAAAATTTTTTTATTGTTAACCTAGTGGAAAAGGGGGAAGAGTAATTCCAGACGTTGCGAGCAAGGCAAACCGTTGTAGCTAGGAATAATACCCTACTCAAAAAATTATCGATATGCATGTACGCGCGTTGAAACCACATAATGTATGTGACATACACGTAAAGATGGCTGAGGTTGAAACGAATGGTAAATTACACCGTCCGAGAGCCGTCTATGCTTGGGTTCTCGATGCCGCTTCGCCAAGTCTCGTTAATACTTACCGCCTTGCTCCAATCTAGATTTCCCTGAAAAAGGAAAAGCCCGTGCCCTCGATCGTGAACTCGTACGTGGCTACCAATGAAAACAAGCCTGTTCCTGACTTATTGTTAGGTAACTAGAAGACATGCCATAATAAGCTAATCTCCGAGTCAGCTGCCGAGAAATTGTTAAAAGAAAGCTGAAGATGCAGGGCGTTCTTGAGATTGATATCTTAGATACCTTACATTTCAACCCTATCACCAAAACGTCCTAGGAACGGCAGCAACCGCAGGCTTCGCCGGATGATTGCAGCGCTAAGAGATCAGCATCAGAAGATTTACTTACGTAGTTTTGCATACCGGTTAAATGTCCTCACATACATAGTAGAAACCTACTCCGACCCGGTGGAAATGAAACCTCATATTTTTTATTATTTGTTTCCTTAATATATTCCGACCAAGATACGCATCATGCGCCAAGTCGACATGTAACCTCATACTGCCGAATGCAAGATGACACTTCAAATCCTACCCAAGTAAATTACCTAGACCATTCTCAACTCTAAATAGAGCGCTTTGTAGTTACTGTCAATACGTCGTTCGATGTTTTAATTATTCGATGGCATCACCATGCATGCCAACCTGTGTCTAGCTCATGTCAATCCGTATATTAACTTGAGCCTCAAGTTTCTTGGTTCATATATTTCATAGTAAAGATCCCTTGCCAAAATTAGACCAAGCACACATTTTCACAATATTACCATAACGCTTAGAAAGAGTCGCGAGGAGAAATATGGTGTTAATCCTATGGAATGCTTGGGCTGTCTCCTTGGCAACTAACAGGTAGCAAGCAGGTATAAACCCAGATAAAAACAAGCTGACCAAGCCGGACGTTACTCCTAATATAAGCTACAGTCACCCATTACCTATGCCAAGTGATATGGTATGCATGAATTCTAATGGCTTACCAAGCAAGGAGACTGGAGACGCATGAAGCTATCACTCAAGCAACGATTAATACACCATATAGAATTTATATAATCCTAGGTATGCTATCTCTTTAGTTAGCATAAGACTACAGCTCTACCGCGATTAGTCATTGTACTTCCAGCAACCCCTGAGTTCCATAAAATCTTACTTCTAGTTGGTTAGACGCCTCCGAAGATCACTGTGAGAGCCTCAACGCTCACAGGCTTTAAGGGCCTGCGCTATCGCCGATGTACAGTTACCGGTTTTATGGAGACTGTAGTCTTATGCCAACCAAAGAGATAACCCCTTACGTCTTACATCTATCAGCTTGTCGCTACTACTTCAAGAACTTTCTCGTATAATAATCTAGATAGGTACGGTTAAGCTAAATAACTGTAGGGTCTCGCAAAACCCACTAAATACGTCGGATGAGACTATCTCGCTTATGCTGCATTCTTATCAAGGGGTAGGTATATCATGACAAACATATGTCCAGCTATCTCATGCTGTTGGCTGTGGTTTGGTATCAACAACAAGCCAAACTTTATCTTTATAAACAATTACCTCTCTATGAAACAGTTGCACGGGCTTACGACTAAAATAATAGGTAGTCCTGTGTGTTCTACCTGCTGCTCTCATCGATTATCTGAGAGCACAGGTGAACACATGGGTGGCAGACACGTTAGTGTCAAGACGTGTTGATGACAAGTGGTCTCCTGAATCTGATTGCTGGCCCCGAGCGTTGACATTGTCGGATTCTTATCAATGTTAGTGGTAAAAGCTAAGACTACATACATCTAACGTCTGCGAAACGCTCTGACAAGACACGTTCTCAGATTGTATTCTACCTAGCGTTGATAGATATTGCAGTGAAAGATAGGAGCTTTGTTCTCTTACCTGACAGCGGAAGTTAGTAAGGTATCAAAGGCAAGGTCTCCTTGCGTCTGATTCTAATGGCAGGCCACAGTTCCTCTGTGTGCTATGTCCTGATGTCAAAGTTGAAATGGTTTTTGATTATCTCTATTAATAACATTCCCACAAGTGGTGATATAAATAAGAGATATCTTTATGAGACATGGCTACCTAGGTAGGTAGGTAGGAATCCCCATTCGTCAACCTTGTTGGAGTGACAATAGAAGGTTTGGAGCTCAGTCTTCGTTGCTCCAAATGCCCAAATGCTAAAGCAGAACACGTTGGCTTAACTCGGCTAGAGGTATAATCGCAGGCCATGGGACCGAGATAGAGCATGCAAAAAAGCCAACCGGCCGGTTCCAAGATTCTATACTCATGTTTGCCTCATCCCACCATCTTACGTTGCACTTTTTCAGCCCTTGGGAAGTCAGGCTACCCTACCCCCCAACATTATCCCGCAAACCGAGGCTGGCGCCGGGCGCGAAAACTGACACATCAGCGACAACGCCCGTCAATTGGTGGAAAACCGCCCTTCCCCCAACCTTCCCCGTCGCGCATCAAGATAATCGCGTGGTCTGGAATACCTGGATGAGGAAAGGCGTGCGGAGTCCCCACGTTTTCCCCCCTACTTACTCCTCATTCCCGATCCTGGGAGCCGGTAACACGCCCAACGGGCGCTCTTACGTACATCCCTACCCGTCTAACCTATACGATCTCCAATCCTCTCGGAAAGGTATTCCGATAAGGCACCGGCGTCGTCTTATTAAGGGAGCGCCCGCCCTTAGGTCAGCGGGAACTTATCAAGGAACGGTCGCACGCAGCCAACGTACCTACGTATCGAAAGATGGGCGTCTCGACGACAGACGCGGTAGAAATCGAACACGCGGGTCCCTCGCAGGGGCAACAAGGAGGCAGAGATGGCGGCGATAGTAAGGATATCGTGGCCTCGTTCCTCGCCAAGCACGGGCAGGGCCAGAGGATCGAGGTCACGCTGGCCGACTCCGCGCGTGTGCTACGACGCATCGACCTCGTCATCCTGCCCATCATGTTGACGGTCTACTTCCTCCAGGCGCTAGACAAGTCGTGTCTGGCGTATGCGTCGGTTTTCGGGCTGATCGCCGACACGGGGCTCGTCGGCGACGAATACTCCTGGCTGGGAAGTATCGTTTACTTGGCGCAGTTGGTGATGCAGCCGTTGCTGGCCTGGCTGTTGGTTCGCTTGCCCATCGCTAAGTTCACCAGTACTATGGTGTTGTTCTGGGGCGTCTCTCTTGCCTGCATGGCGGCTGCGCATAACTTCGGTGGTTTGCTGGCCACGCGATTCTTCCTGGGTGTTTTCGAGGCGAGCGTTGCGCCTAGCTTCGTTGCCATCACACAAATGTGGTGGAGGAGACGGGAGCAGACTGTGAGGACCAGTTACTGGTAGTAAGTTGTATTCGTTTTTCTGTCGGTTTTATTCATCTTAGGAAACTGAAGCTGGGCTTATGAAGTTCGATGAGGGGCTATGCCCTCACGATGGATTTCGGATGACTTCTCAAGTATCCAAGAGGATCTAATCAATGGCACTTTACCATAAAGCTAACTGTGAATCTTCTAGCGCTATGAACGGAATAACGAACATGGCAAGTAGAGTTCAATGAGATATGCGATATAGCGTAATAGCTAACGGTGTCGAAGTTCGGCAGCTTGATCACCTACGGCTTGGGACATGTAACATCGCACCTTCATTCCTACCAGGTACTTGGGCGCTCTAATCGTGCTACACCGGTGACGAATTAGCTTACTAACGGCACCTAGATAATATTCATGTTTTTCGGATTGATTACTGTCGCTTTCAGCTTCGTCATGTTTGCCTTTATGCCTGACTCACCCGTAGAAGCAAAATTTCTGGATGACAACGACAAGCTGATTGCCGTCGAACGATTGCGCATGAACCAGATGGGTGTTGTCTCACGCGAGTGGCGAAACGACCATCTCAAGGAGGCCTTACTTGATCCCAAATCCTGGTTTTGGTTCGCCCTCATGTTCTCTATCAGCATCCCGTCAGGAGGTATCTCTACCTTCGGACCGCTGATCGTGAAGACATTCGGGTTTGACCAATTTACGACCATCCTTTTCAACATTCCCTTTGGATTCGTGCAACTCGTCGCTACTGTAGGCGGAGCTTTCCTCGCCCAAAAGATCAAGATGAAGGGCCCTGTCATCATGGGGCTCTGTCTACCCCCCATAGCGGGCTGTGTGATGCTCATGGTGCTTCCCCGGGACACTTCGCACCAGGGGGCTCTTCTAGCTGGATATTACCTTATTTCGGTTTATCCAGGAATAAGTAAGCCCTCTCCATGTAATGCAACCTTGTTCAATTATTGACATCTTCCAGCCCCAATGATCTACTCATTGGCGTCGCAGAATACCGCCGGCGACACCAAGAAAAAGTGCACCAACGCCATCCTCTTCATCGGCCAGTCCATAGGCAATGTCGTCGGTCCGCAACTATACACGCAAAAGGACGCGCCGGGATATGAAAGGGGTCTTAGATCGAATTTGGCGCTCTATATCGCGATCATCGTTATATGCGGAATCGCGCTTGCGCACCTCAAATACCTAAACGCGAGCCACGCGAAGAGACGAGTGGCGATGGGCAAGCCCGCCGTCATCGTTGACACCAGCTTGGACTCTGCGGAGGAGGTAGCAGCAGCAGCCGCCGCCGCAGCGCAGAAGAAGTCCGTGGGCGAGAACGGGGTTGGAGACGCCAAGAATGCGGACGAGGCCGTCGCTTCAGCCGATGATGCAGAAAGACCCGGCGACAGAGCGTTCGACAACTTGACTGACCTCGAGAATGAAGATTTCGTTTTTGTTTACTAAGTTTATCACGTCTTTTTCCTCTGTTGAGGTGTCACTGGGAGGTACATTTGGCGATTATTAGTGGAATGGATGATTGTAGCATATATCTGATAAAATCATGTAACATATTGCTTTAGGATCGATTTAAAACAATATACTCACTTACTGCACGGCCCTATTAATGGGGAACTCCACGATATCTAACTCAACTTGCAAATGTAACAGAGTTCTGTTACACATAACCCTATAGTCATTTCAGACTTATCTTAGCCGGAACATTAATGTAATTTTGCTCTCATCGGGCGTATGAATATGAATTTCAACACCCGGCCATACCCGGCATTCAGCATTATTGCTCCTTTCGTTGATTCGGCTGGTCCACTCCACCAGCCAGATTATATTCGGCATAATGCTTTATCAGTTGTGGTACCCAAGCCGGATAGGTCGGGCAACTCCACGACGGTCGAGTATGTAAAGGGTTTCCAGTCACCGATTAAAGGGCGACGTCATCGTCCATTTCCTTCCGTTTGAATTACATAGCTTGATAAAGATTGTCTGATCTACCGATCATCGATGATCTCTCCATGGATGACGCCAGTTGTAACACGGCCCCTATTAGCATGACTTTAGACCTGCAGATCTAGATCGGCGAATCACGCAGCGTTCTAGAAGTCCCCGAGCCGCAAGTTGGCCTTCTGAAATTCTGAATGGTCCATAAGAAATCGAATCCTGGCTCTCGGGTCCGACGAGGATGTGAATGAAACAAGTTTCTAGCCACACCAATTCAAGGGTCTGACGAAAGCCACAAGACGTATGCGTTCATGTGGCGTTTTCATCTTCGATTAGGTCAATGAAAGCGATCCCTTGGGTAAGAAGATGACATCATGTTCTGGGAGCGTCTTCTCAGAATGTATAATAAGGTGAAGATTTTCGAATATCCGACCTCGTTTCATTTTTGAAATTAGCATTCAGGAAAACAACGCATCTCTTGAGAAGACACGCGAATCGCCATTTCAACGATCAAGGCTTCTTAGTCATCCAAGTTCAAACCAAATCAAATCACGAACCACAACTACCACAATCCAATTCACAATGTCAAACAACCAAGGTGGTGGTCTCCTCGGCGGTCTAGTTGGCGGAGTTGACAATGTCCTCACAGGCGGCGAGAAAGCCAAGGGCCAAGGTGGTTTACTCGGAGGTGTTGGCGGTGCCTTGGGCAGTACGACCGAAGGACTCGGCAACGGATTGAACTCCACTACACGAGGAGTCGGAAACGCCGTTGGGAAGACTACCGAAGGTGTTGGCAACACAGTCGGCGGCGTGACGGATTCGGTGGGAAACACCGTGGGCGGTGTCGCTGGTGCTGGCGGTGCTCCACAGAAGAAAGAAGGTTCTGGGTTCAAGAGCTACGGCATTTGAGCACATGATAGTATAAGCGTTTGTGTATGCGACCTTGGGCCTGGTATATCATGGGGGTTAAAAGGGAATATCACAAATATAATATAATTGCAAATTGAACATAAAATACTCAGTAGTGGATGTTGAGATGGCTTTAGTTCGACTCAACTCGTAGTGTGGCTAGAAAAGAGAGCTCCTAGGTAGGGCTTAACGAAGATGTGTGGCTTGACATGTCCCGCATCTTTTAGTGGAACTGTGGGGTAACGTTTAAGAAATTTGGGGTCTCATATACCTAGTAGTGGTATGAAGGACCCTTCTAATTTTACACCAAGCTTAAACGAAACTTGGAAGCTTCAAATATTCACTGGGGCCTTGGATGCGTCCTAATTCCGTCAATCGCTCAAATGGCAGCTAATGAGGATGAAGGTCCGTCGTATGTCGACTACGAAGCCTTTCTTGATCCAAGTTTTAGCCCTTCGTCCTTCGCTAATAGCCTTGTCCTTGCCACAAATAATCCGAACGACACTCCGCTAGATCTCTCAACGCCGCTGTCCAAAGTACTCTTCGATGCTCAAGAAATCGACTCCCATATAGATCTCCTTACAACCCGCTCTGCGATTCCTCTTCTCTCACATGCTACAGAACAGACCGAAGCGAGCGGGAGGATAATAACAGAAATCGATAACCAGGTAAAGAGCTTGAACGAGAGTTACAAGCAACTAGAGAAGGAAGTCATACAAAAACATGCCGAAGCCGACGAGGTGCGCCAAGTTGCTGCTCGGTTATGGGAGACCTTGAAGCTAGGCAGATCTGTTGGCCGCTGTCTCCAGCTAGGACGACAACTTGAGATCCAGCATACGGAAATAAGTAGTTCAGGATCAGGCGCCAGGAAAGAGGATCATAGAGCATTGGTACGCTGTGCGCATACGCTATTGTCATTGCGGGAGATACTCGATAAAAAGGCGCCAGGTGAAGAGGGGCATGGCCTCGATAAAGTCAATGCAATTAGGAGTTTGCAGGACTCTATTATAGGTCCAATCGAGAAATCCGTCAGGAGCACCTCGGAACAGATTGTACGGGAGTTTAACGTTGGCTCCGCTTCGGGAACTACCACCTTCGCTCAAAGCGAGGAGGCTAAGGCGCGAATCATATCTGCCGCCGTCACGCTCTACTTGATATCACCAATACCCGGCGCCAAACCTGACAAGTGGTCGCCTCAGTTGCTTCTCCAGGCCCTCGAAGTCTACTTGCGCAACTCTTTGCAGAGCTCTATCGCATCGCTAGCGAGGTCGCTCGCAACATTGCCATCCCTAGACCGGACCTTGGCAGAAGTATCAGCTCGATGCCAAAATATAGTCGCCATGGAAATCATCCTTTCCACGACTAATGCGCCACCTCACCCACTACTGCCGGCTCATAAACATACTCCTTCCGATAAGTCGAATCTTCTACAGTACTTGCTGGCGTATCTTGAGACCGGCTCTCTAGCGTCCTATTTCTGGAGGACTATGGCAAGCAGTCTCGCAACGAGGGTTCAGGAAATCGTCAACAGAGGCGGTGTTTCGGCACGTACGTTGAAGACCAATAAAAATAGTGTAGGGGAGGCTATTAGGGAATGCGTCATCCGAGGCAGTCAACCTCCGAGCACCGTTACGGCCACTAAAGGGAAATCTTCCAAGGGAGATCCAGAAAAAAGTGGTGGATGGGATAGGGAGGTGGCGGTTATGGTTGGTAGTGTTATTGGAAACCTCGGTAGGTGATAACAGCAGGACGGGAATGTCTACCCGGTTAAGCTATTAGTTGGCCGACCTGTAAATAAGAGTATATTAACGGCTTACGATTTCCTAAAAGCAAGCATCGTAGTACTATGATATGAACCCCGCGAAAGAGGAGTCCGGGATGGCCTTAGAGGGCAGTTTGAGCAAGAATCTGGGGTATGATTATTGCCGCGGCCTCGATCACGAAGCTCTATACCTAGTTGAGTTGTATCTTCAAGATAACCGGCTAGATATTATACGCAATCAAACTTCGGTCGGCTACATCACGGGGTTTACCGGGCCGTAAATGACCTCACTACCTACCTATCTATTCCCTCATTAAAATTACCCAATATGGCTGACTTGATACGACATGACAGCACTAATGTTGAGGTCAATTCATACTTATATGCCTCATTTCAGAGTGTCTATCATCCCTAGAAATCCACAGAAGAAATTGACCAATATTCCAACCTATGAAGCCCAAAAACGGGCCGTTTGGCTGCAATTGAGCCACTTCTGCATAGACCAGTCTCGAACGTAATAAGGCTCCCACTCGTTAGGAGTTAAGACATCATTGCATACTTGGCGCCTCCAATCGGTATTCCCAGAAAACATGGAGAGATTAGATATATGGTATGCTAACAGAATCTGTCCTGCTCATACTCTATAGCGGGTGCTGTAATTATATCCATTATCATCGCAACACTCGTAGATGTGGGAGCTTTTTAGAAACGCGGTGTCCGTGAGAGCTAAGATGTCCAATAGAGATCAATTTTATATCGCTTATTAACGTCTAGTACTGGGTATGAATACATATGCGTACATGAATGTACTATGTATGATAACGTATCTACATACTATCCACGCATGTACGCATGTATAAGCAAAGTATCCAACTCATCCATGCCCTGGAAAACTCAATGGGGATAACCGTAAAGCAGCTCGGCCGTTAGCTCCACGTTTTTATGATCAAGGTCTTCAATATAAATACCCTCGCAGCTGCCTCGGTCTTCCTACTACGGTATTCAGGCTATGTATTTTTTGGTGAGGTGTTACATCCCTCTTTCATCCCGCCTACGTCATTGGTTTAAGGTACGTACCTTTAGTGGCCCGCCTGGCCAATGTTTTTCCATGCCTTTCACATTTCTTCTATGATTTCTGATTCCTTCTACAAACTCCACGGTCTCCACAAACAATTCTCAGCCTGTCTTTCAGCATGTGCCAGCGTCACAGGCTCACAACACTTACCCCACCATCTAGCATCACCGCCTTACACTTACACTCTAATTACACACTTTTGACATACATAGTACATTGTTGATCTAGGGCCATTGATCTGTCCGTTCGTCGAGTTCTGTGCGTATCAACCTAAACTAGGGTCGTCTTATTATTTGGTTCAGTGTCCCTTGTGCTATTCAGGTGTTGAAAGTGCTCGTTCGTCTCTCATTCGTCTTCCTCTCGTTTAATTTAGTACATAAAATTCCTTCAGAATAAGCACACCACTTTCGAAAATTTGTACCTGATCTGCCCACCTCTACGGTTCTGCGCATGTAGTGCCGCAGTCGGAACGAACCGTTTAAGTTTCGATCTAGGACGAGAAAGGCCGAGATCATTCTGATCGTTCTTTGAGTTGAGACGATTTTCCCGCAGCGGTTGGCACTTTTCACAGGAATTGGCCAGTCCTGCTAGCCCTCGTTCAGGTAACCCACACTCCGCCCAGACGGCCTGGAGCAAAACCTCCAGGTTGCATCTACCATACTTTATCACTCTTCCACTGCTATCACGAACCTGGTATCACTTGGTGCTCATGCCCCACTATCCTCCCTAAGGTGGGAAACAAGCCAATAATCGCGACGACGACGAGAGCCCCGCCACGAGCCTATGCTGTTCTAGCCTTCTGCATTCTACCTCCCCTACCCGTACCAGCTGTACTTTACCCATATTTGAACTTGCCTATGCCTACCTAACTTACCTACGCTATTTCTTCTGGCTTTGACAGCCATCGGTGCTGCCCTCACCGTTTGGCTCATCAAATCACGGTTCTCGCCGATAATCTCGCACTCATTTATTTGCCTGTAATCGCCTTTAATTGCCAATTACCACTCAAGCTACCCTTGTGTACCCTTCCGTCTCCTCTTCTGCGTCACCGCTGTGTCTCAATCGTTTGCCTATACATACCGACTTTACGCCGCGTTTTAATACCTTTTAGAGAGTAAAGCTAAGACGACGATGGCAGAAAGCAAGCAAGAAGCCGAAGTCAAGACCGCTAGCGACGTTGTAAAAGAGGCCGAACAAATGTCTTCCACCCCTCGAGAGTCCGCTCTTAAGAGCGACTCCGAAGAATCGCCTGATTTACCACCCCACGAGCGAAATTCTGTTACAAGAGTGCCCGTAACTCCGGGCATTAACCTCTCGACGTATGCGACGGGATTAAGCGTCGAGTCTACCAAATCTCCTAGTCCTAGTTATTTCAATCAGAATCGGAACAAAGCCTCCAACAAGTCGGCGACTGGTTCCACTGCAGAGACTTCCTCTCCCACGAACCTAGCACAGGGGGCCAGTTCAGATCATGAGGTCTTGCGTCGGATGAGCGTATCATTGAGTGGGCGGAGAGAATCTATCACGGAAATCAAGGCCGCTGCGCCTGACCTGGCTCTTAGTGGTAACATCATCTCAGCTACCTTCACGACCCCTCACTCTCTGAAGTATCACAAGAGCGGCGATTGGGTTAGTAGAATCTTACCCCTGACGTAAGTAAGTTGTGTGACTAATCCCTAGTAGGAATTGGGCTATCGGCGCGGCCAATCAGCTCTCTTCGATTCTTTCTCTTACCTCTCCTCCGACGAAACGCCTTGGAATCATACCGTCGTTGCGTGGACAGGCGAAATCGAATCGCTTGCCGAATCCTTGTCTGCACCAGATATCATTCCTGATACGACCTCGAGCATTCCGGGTCTAAATCACCTATCTGCCCCGATACCGTTGGATGGAGAAACGCCACCTACACCTCCTGAGGTTGATGGCTTATGGATTCCAAGAGAACATCAGGTAAAGCTGGAGCAGCTATTGTCCCATGATAAACGTATCAAGACTGTTCCTGTGTGGCTCGCAGACGACACCGAGACGAGCGACGAGGGTATCACGCTGAATGACCAAGCCCGCTGGAGGCGATATGCCGAGCACACGATATATCCCCTGTTCCACTACAAGCAACACGAGCCCAACGATGGCCGATCCGAGCGTATTGAATGGGCTGACTACTTCCGCACCAACTTGAAGTTCGCTAACAAGATCATCGAGATCTACAAGCCAGGCGATATCGTAGTCATCCACGATTATTATCTCCTGTTGCTCCCTAGCATGTTGCGGCAAAGAATGCCAAACATGTACATCTCATTCTTCCTTCATTGTCCTTTTCCTAGCAGCGAGTTCCTAAGATGCTTGCCGCGGAGGAAAGAAGTGCTTGAGGGCATGCTCGGTGCCAATCTTGTCGGTTTCCAGTCGTATAGCTACTCACGTCACTTCGCCAGCTGCTGTACCCGGATCCTTGATTTCCCTTCGGATTCTGTTGGTGTCGATGCGTATGGGGCTCGCGTGGAAGTTGGCGTTTTCCCCATCGGCATCGACGTGGCCAAGGTCGAACAGATGGCATGGTCGAAACAAGTCTCAGATATGTATGACGCTTTAAAGGAGCTCTACAAGGACAAGCAGATCATTGTGGGGCGTGACCGGCTGGATAGTGTCCGTGGTGTCGCCCAAAAGCTCATGGCGTTTGAGAGGTTTCTGGAGCTCTATCCCGAATGGCGAGAGAAGGTTGTTCTTGTTCAGGTCACTTCGCCAAACACTATCGAGGAGGGAGGAGAAGAGCCAGAGAACAAGATAGCAAGTCGGGTGAACGAGTTGGTCATGAGAATTAACGGCACGTATGGTAGCCTAGGGTTTTCGCCGGTACAGCATTATCCGCAATATCTGTCGCCCGAAGAGTATTTCGCGCTGTTGAGAGCCGCAGATATTGGGTTGATCACATCGGTTCGGGATGGCATGAACACGACTAGTCTGGAATACGTCCTGTGCCAGCGCGACACGCATGGCCCGCTAATCCTGTCGGAGTTTAGCGGTACCGCAGGAAGCCTGCGGGATGCGATACACATAAACCCCTGGGACCTCACCACCGTTGCTCACCAAATCAACAACGCTCTCACGATGTCCGCTGAAAAACGCCTGGCGATGCAGTCGAGTCTCTACAAACATGTCACGACGCAGAATGTGCAAAGCTGGATCGCCAAGTTTCTACGAAAACTCGTGGGCACGTTAGCGTCCAATAAGAACGCGAACGTCACACCGCTGCTTGACCGCACACTCATGTTGAAAGAGTATCGCCAAGCCAACAAGCGTCTCTTCATGTTCGATTACGATGGTACACTCACTCCGATTGTTAGAGACCCTCAGGCGGCTGTTCCATCGGAACGAGTCATCCAAACCCTGAAGGCATTGGCGGCAGACCACCGCAATGCCGTATGGATCATCTCGGGCAGAGACCAAGACTTCCTACAACAACATCTAGGTCATATCCCAGAGTTGGGCTTCAGTGCGGAGCACGGAAGTTTTATTAGACATCCGGGCCACGACACATGGGAGAACCTGGCTGAGAAGTTAGATATGGGCTGGCAGGCGGACGTGATTGAAGTCTTCCAAAAATACACCGACCGTGTGCCTGGTATGTGGCTTTACGAAAAATTAGAGGACATTTTTGCTAACCGGTCTTGATTAGGCTCGTTCATAGAGCGCAAGCGATGTGCGTTGACTTGGCATTACCGCCAGGCTGATCCCGAGCAAGGCCTACATTCATCACAAGCGTTGCACAAGGATCTTGAGGCGACCGTGGTCCAAAAGTGGGATGTAGATGTGATGAAAGGCAAAGCCAATCTTGAGGTACGGCCTACTTTCATCAACAAGGGTGAGATCGCTAAGCGCCTGGTTAACGACTACAACACCGACATCGCGCACATAGCTCCACCGGAAAGTGGTTCACAAGGTGAGAAAGCCAAGGAAGGGAAGCTGGATTTTGTGCTATGTATGGGTGACGACTTCACTGACGAGGACATGTTCCGGGCCTTGAACGGCCTCAGCGGTACGCAAGTCGAGACTGACCACGTGTTCACTGTTACTATCGGTGCTAGCACGAAGGTCACTCTGGCTAAATGGCACATGCTGGAACCGCAGGACGTCGTTGAGGCCATAGCTCTCCTGGCCGGAGTTGGCCTGAGTGGTGAAGCTCATGAGCAACTGAGCCAAGTCAACTTGGCAACCGTCGCCGGGCTCGAAGGCCACGTGCCTCAATGACTCGCGAAATCGAAGCTATGATTATATTATGGACGGGAAGCAATATAGACAAGCGTGGCGCTAGGGTGGTCAGGGCTCAGACTAGAGGACATTATTCGTGCATACGAACTATCGTGATCCATTCACGGCTATACAAGTAAACCCAGAAAAAAAGGGGCCGCAGGCGAAAGATCGGACTAATATCCCGAACAGGACTCGTCCGATCATCTTGAGATAGAGGCATTCCTTTGCACAAGCTTGGGGTAGACATAGAATATGTATTCGGGACCAAAATATGCCACCTCATGGCCGGCATGCTTGTGTTTTAGGTGGCAACATTTGCCTATCTGCTGCTATGTGAGTATATACATAGACACAGCAATTATCTAGTAGTTCTTCAAGACTGCTCGGTATACTTGTTAGCATCTCGGCCCCCGTGACGCGGACGTTGCAACTTTGAGTGATATCGGGCGAAGGAACTCGAGGATGTCGACGCGATTCGGCGGCAGCTTTCTACAGGTAGAATCATTCGACTATAGGTAGGTGAGGTTATAGATTACTAATTTAAGGTCTATAATATAGATACATAGTCGCTACATACCCGTGCTATTCAGCGTTGTGCGTTGCGTCGTATCTCGTATAGGCATAGAAGAAATAGAATCGGGGGCCTCGTTTCAAGTTTATGCGCGACATTAGGGTTTTTTAAGTCTCAGGTTGATGAGGATGCGGCCGGCGGTACAGATTAGGTGGATTACCTACCTACTTGACGAGAGTGGGGACGGCCAGCGTAAGACGGCCAGCTTTCTTCAGCGGGGAGCCGGTCGTCAGCGTTACTTACCTACCTACCTAGGTGGGAGATAAGGGAAAAGACTTCTTTTTTTCTACTGTTTCGGGGCCGGATTAGCTAAGATGGGAGTGCTGGTCGATCTCAGGTGAGAAAAAGGGCCCTTGGAGAGGAAGCGCACGCCGGGCTGCTTTTTTTTTCTTTTTTTTCTTTCTTTTGGGGGTTCAGCGAGCGCAGGGCCAGGGTTGCAATTGGCGAGAGAGCGAGTGAAGGAGCCGCGCTCACATGGTAACGCTACGCGGAAGACGGCGACGGCGACGGCGACGGCAAAGAGAGACGCACGCGAGCAACGAAGCGCATGGTGTGCGTAATAATGGTTATGTAGCATCCATATAAGGCGAGCAAGTAGAAATCCACGGGTTTCATCAGGTACCCGGGTAATAGGGAGGTTTCATTCTTTCTTTCTTTCCTATTATTAATGTTCCAGGGTATGATTGACCTTAGGCACCCTTATTCTTCTTTCCGCCGCCGCGCAGCCACAGGTCGGCAGATGGGGAATTCTGCATCCCAATCCGAGGTATTCGGGCGGCGCAGGAGGTCAGTGGGGTTTGGGGTTGGGGTGTCATTCGGATCGCGCTCGGGTTGGGAATTCTAGTATTGGTAGGTATGAACCGACGTAGGGAGGTAGGTAGGTAGAGAGGCAGGCTGATGATGGTGGCTTGGGGTAGTATGGTGGGATGGAATAAGAATCTATAAAGAACGGATAATAGGGCTATAGCTAGGTACCTAGGTAGATACGTGCATGCATTCTGCATCATACGTGTGTAGCAAGCGACCTACAACATATACATACAGCACTTGGAGGCACAGCAGTTCGATGGTGGTAAGATTAGGTGGTACCTTGCATACCTGATATACTACGCATGGTGCTTTGGATGTTCCTATGCAGGCTGGATTGGCTAGATGGGCAAAGGCGTTACATTAGACTAAGCCCTATGGTAAGTGGCGATTATAACTCGGAGAACACAGTATACTCTACCATGGGTCAGAACCTAATTACAGGCCGTATTGGGGGCTTAGTCTGCAATCGAGAGATTAAGGAACTAGTAAGTACAAACGTCCTTTGCATATCAAACTTCATGATCGTAGGTCTCGGGCAATGTCAATATCTGCATTGCATTTCCATTTCTCGTGCTACTCTGCTTGAATTGTGTAGAGGGTTGCTTCAAGCTTGTACGGCATCAAGGTGGGTCTCTGACCTTGAAGCCCCCTTTTCAGAATTAGTTTAGCATATCCGCCAATAGGTATCGCGAAAAGAGTTACATGCCACTGATAAATCTTATTTCGACTGGTATATAGATGGTCCAGAAAAGAGACAACTCAGCCGTTGTGGCGGAAAGGACCCTGAAATTTCTCATGCAGGCCGTTTTAAGCCCCGAAATTATAAGAGTACCAGTAGTATAGCCACCTGAATATACCTATATTTATGATTACAAGTTTGAGATTAACTCTGAATTGTATATTACATGCCTAGGTTATTACATCGTATATTGTACATCGGGACCGACAGTGATGTATGTGACTTGTCATATTCCGTAGACCACTGACTTAGGGCAAGAATTACCGTGTAAACTAACTAAGTGTAAGCTGGGTGTAAGCTCTAGACTTAAAATAACAGAATACCCAAAGAGGATTTTTGAACTTTTGTCTTATCCTGTCTCTCCTTGACGAACGTAAATAGTTTCGTGAGAGTATAGGTTGGGCCATATCATTGGAGAAATTACGCTTCAAACGACGAGAAAGCTGGAAGGAAGTTGAGCGCACAATATTATGATAGCCCTTAACCTGAGACTTCTTCTAAATTACCTGAATGGATGTAAGAACCTTAGGTAGGTGTATTAAAAGTATGAATCTATCCCATTAGCTGGTTTAAGTCTACAAACGTCTCTAGATGCATCCTATTATGCTAATTATTGCATTAAGAGATGTAAGTAAACGTAAGTAAAATATGAAGATACATATTGTATGATTATACCTGGTTACACATGGCATTTATTATTCTGTTACTGAAACCAAGTGTAACGGTTAAAATTGATATACGTACGTAAGATGATGTGCAGCAATATTTGGGAACCATCTCCTTAATTGCCGTAGGTAGGTATGATTTGGAGACAGTACCTATAAATAATTAGGGTATTGTTCACACAATTTCCAGCTGAGAGATATTCTTCGCTGCCTAATGATATTAACAGACCTGCCGTGTGTGCCTATGGACTACCAAACACGACTAAATTTATTATACAAGGAGATGATGACTTTCAAACCGAGTTCTAGTAGAAATAGATCCTTGCAATACTAGATAGTCGTGGCCTTCACCCAAACCAATTTCACCGTCCTTTGCAAGGTGACCGGTCAAAACCAGACTACATAGGTAGGCAGCATCCATTTTGAAACCGAGATGAAATAATACCGTTGAGGCAACTTCATTTCTGCTTTCGCTAATGAAGTCTTGATCATGATACTGTTAATGCATGGCTGAAGTTTGGCATCGAATCAAATACCCTCTTACCCCTAACTTTCCGCTCCACCCCTTCTTGTTTCCCCGTAGCGAGTATTACTACGCTACAGATTGGTCTATCTATACTATAGTCGGGCAAAACATCATGATGATGGCATCATTCGAAAAGGTTTCGTATGGCTGCTGACAACTGTCAAGGCAGACCATGAATTCTCCTCTATCTATCGGAAGGCATTCCTCATCTGTCTAGTAGGTAGTTAGAAACGCGTAGAGGTCGTCACCGTATATGCAATCATGAAAATGATATTCCCTTCTAACATCCTCTCGCAGCATAGTGCCGTGAATCACCGTCATAGAGAGCCTTTCCAAGGCATATCCTATTTGCAGCATGAGGCAATTACAGCTCTTCACATACATCCTAGGCTTAGATCCTTATTTGGGGAAAGGCTCACTAACAGTAACGACGGCTTTCTGACTATCAGATCATTTAGTAGGACGCCTTAACCATAAGAATTCAATCTACGGAGCCTCTCCCGATCCAGCCAGCCAGGTACCTACCCCAATAGCCGCGTCCATGTAGCCGGATTTTATGTACGTGCCTCACAACGAAGCGTTCTTCGGAAGAACCCAACGTAATGGTTTCAGGTCTCTCTCAGCATCTTAATTCCTACGCGCGTCATCTCCAACGCCTCCCACGACGTTTAAAAAGGGCGCCGCGCCGTACTCTCGCAGAAGTTGAATAGGGGAAAGATTGCCTAGTGAAGTGGTATCGTGCGGCTCGGGCTAAGCTTTAAGCTCTGACAATCTTAGTCAGTTACTAGGTAGTAACTAGGAATTAGACGCGCGACTTAGCAAGGGCTCGGTTAACGTTCAGCTTCCCTATAGGTTCCCGTAGGCGCGACGTGTCATGGATTACATACTTACAGTATGACCTAGCGGCTGGCTGCTGAGCCTCACGCATCTAATCGATATTAAGTACCGCGGAACTAACACCGGTCTGACACCTACCTAATGCGGAAGTAAGTCCAGATTACGTACGTACCTTAAAAAGCTATTCTGGAAGCTCCGTAAGCCGCACAGACGCGTTCCGTAACACTTGCCGATGAATCGAGGAATTGAGGCCCTGGCAGGGAGGGGTAGCGTTATGAGATAACGTGGCGCTGACAGGATGTTCATTAGCGCCGGTACATAATGCGTATCTAGGTATGTATGCGCGATGTACGTACGTAGAGTAGGTACAGTAGATCACTGTAGGTGCAAGGTTCTATACCTAGGTCGGACGTGCCGACGGCAGACAGCCGAATACAACTAATGAAGAATTCCCCTTGCAAATCACGCGCGTTTCAAATCTGCAAGTGTACGCGATTGCAGGAATTAGTTCTGGGACTCCTTCGATCTCTCTTCTGTACAACCCGGAAGGAACAGCCGCGAAGGGGGGGTGGGTGGTTGATTTGGGGCCGGTGGCGTTTGCGGGTCCGTAGACACTTCCGCGGGGCTCTTACGGGGTAAGAGCTAGCCCGAAAGGTGGGTGGCGGTTTCCCATATTCGGCATCGGTAAAGAACGGTTTGGTCATTTAGCTGTCTGAATGCGGCGCGCTGGTGGTTGTTGGTGGGGGAGGCAGTGCCGGGTAAGGAGGGCAGGCCAATTCTCTTTTTGGGTTTGCGGATAGGGATCCTGGGTTATTTTTACTCGGAAACTTGGGAAACTTCTCGGGAAGGAAGTTGTCAACCGACTCGGGTATGCCAAGATGCAAGGGTGACTGTGCGGCGCACGACGGCATTCCAGAGTGCTAGCTCAGATAAGCTAGCTTTGCCGTATTGGATTACTGTTACGAACTGGCGGGAAACCTCTCCATTGTGCTTGTCGAGTCCTTCGAAGCAATTGGGCATGGTATAGAAATTAGTTCGGTCCTATGAAGTACCGCACTACCCTTGCAATTCTTGGCGGGTATCTGCATCGTCACCACGTGGGCGTGTAGGGATTAGAGGCAAGGGGCTCCCTATTTTCGGGTCTCGGGTTGAAAAAACGTGGGTGTTGTTAATCTTGTGCTCAGTGCTTGACGACGTCGGTGCGAAAGCGAATAGGTACGAAATAAACAGGGGTTCCGGATCACGCACACATCGATTACTGAGGCGTCGGCGTATCAACCTTCTTGTCCTTGGCATTCTGGATTTGGGTTGGTGCCGCACACTGTATAGGTAGTAGGTACTGTTGACCTGTCACCTCCATGGACAGTCTGGGCATAGGTAAGCAAGCAGGCAGACAGGTAGGTAGGTACCTGAGTAGTAAGTAGGCATGCAACGTAACGTGCCTGGTGTACCTGACATAAGGAGGTACACAGCAGGCACGAAATTATGTATGAACATACCTCGTAAGATATCATAAGTAATGCACTGAATCTCTTGCGTGTCAGGTGCGGTGAATGAAGATGACGGCAGGAGTGGAAGTGATCTTCACAGCATAAGTATTCTAAAAACGACATTTCCTAAGCGCCGGGATTTTGGTTGATTAACACCGCAAAGTCCTAGTAGTGACACCTTCTAGAAAGAGCGGTAGCGCCGCTCGTCGTAATGTTTTACCGTTGCTTCGAGAGACGCGTGAAATATTTCGTGCGCAATGTGTCCAAGCGGTGGCCGCTCGCTCGGCGGCATGCTATGCAAGTAGGTACCTACCAGACATGTAAGCAGATGGATAAGAGGTATGCATGCGCCCCTAGAGCCATCCATGATGCACGGGTACTTAGGGTTTGACAAGCAGGGCAAATCCCCATCGACCAAGTCCGGACGAGGGACTCGAGGAATTTTTAGGCGACGATCATTCCTTAATAATCTACAACGCAATAGGCAGACCTGATGCATGGCCGCCACGTGCTATCCTGGTCAACAACGTGCATTGACGTGTACCGAAATGAGAGCGGGAGGGGTCTTCCAGGGTCGCCCATTCGTCACATCTCAACCTGTCAGGATCCCAGGACCCTGATGTTTCAATTCATTCGTCAATTCTTGAATATGAGAGAATCATTAGTACGTTACAGGTAAGACATGCCTCTTAGCAGCTACCTAGACACCCCTTCCTCGTGCTCCATGGATGTTGCATCGCTACGCGCGTAGCGATGCATTGGAAGTTCTCTGGTAGCTCTTGATCGTTCCGAGGAGACAGGGTTCATTGGAATGTGTAAAAACCAATTGCTTAATTTGGACTTGATGTATTCAGGGGAACGATCAATCTTTTGTCAATAGGGCGGGCCGGATAGAAAGCCAAAGAGAACCACGTCTATTGCCATCAACCAAAATAGTAATAATCTAGACTTCAATTTCTTACTGAGGGCCGAAATGGAAAAGTGGTAGTAGCTACACCTTTCCAGTGTTATGATATCGAATACCTCACCTGTATGCGTCTAAGCTGCGGCGGCGCAGAAAAGAGCCGCAAAGATACACTCCAGCATCTTCAAAGGGCTGTGCTCAACGGGCCTTTTCTTTTTGCTGACGGCCCTGAGCATGTGCCTTAGGCGCCCGTGGGGAAATTTGGTCCCCCGCTGGACCGGACCGCCAGCCTAGGGTTACAATGCGCCGGTCTCTCCGATTGATCGGTGCGCAGTTGACAAATCGCCAAGTCGTGCCATGAGCCACAACCTCCTAACTTGAGGTCCGGGCTAGTCCATAATCATGAATCGCGATCTGGGCAGATTAGCTCTAAAGTTCCTTGCCGCATGTGGGGGGAACAGGGTATCAGCGTACTTATTAAGCCTAACAAGGGCATTCTAACGAGGACCTAGACAAGAAAGTCCCGATGAAAGGGTCCTAGTAGGAGTCTTGATGAAGTGCCACGGCGATGTTACTGATTCCTTTCTACATGTACATGTACATTCGTGGTTATGTCATATTACCGATTGTGCGATGCTACACTTAAAAAGGAGTCAAGGTACAGTTGTATTGATCTGCCGAAAGGGATACCTAGGTAATAATCCACACATCCTACCAGCACAAAATCTTCCAAGATGAAATTGAAAATGCACATTGAATGAAATCTTCAAGTGCCAGACAAAAACTACACAGGTAGTTATACATGCCAAGAAAAGAATCTCGTATTATACATGAAATCGTTATAGCGCTGTTTTGTGAGCCAGCATTTCCGTCCGCAATCGGAAAATAGGGGAAGTGGTATTTTGAAGGACTTTCTCGGATACATCAGAGAAGCTTTAGCGGGATCTTGTTGAAATCTTCTGTTGTACATCACCATCATGGCTTGTCCATGTTGGCTAAGGAGTCGGACGAAAATATAGTAGTTTAGAGTGTGGCCTAGCTCGACGTAAAGGTCGTTAAATCGTCATGCGTGACAACATGGCCGTTGTTTCAAGTCGTTAATTTCCGTTCGTAGTTGTCGGGTTGTTAATAGTTGCCGTGAGGGCAGCGATCCTTGCTTCCAGGCTCGCTCTATGGTCAGAAGCGGTACCTGTGCCGTTGACGAGACGATCGGTAACATTGTCAGTTCCAGGTTGTGAAACTGGCGCGAGGCGTTGGGCTCGCATATCTGCGTCTTCGACGGTCGAGGTCGTTGATTGGTGACTAGGAAGACCTTAAGTTAGCTAAAGGTTAGGTAGCTCGTAAGTAAAGGTGACTGACGGGTTGGATTGGCAACTGCTAAAGTTGAGTCCAACCGATGACGTTCGGCTAGCCATCTTGGACGTAGAAAGTGAGAAGAGGTTTGTTGAAGTTTGGTGAGATATGGATGTGGTAGACTGGGCCACGGGTTGATAGTGTGGATGCAAAAGGGGGAGTCGTTGGTAGGGGGTTGGACTGATTGTATGATTGGGAGTATAATGCTGTTCCTTAGATCTTCTAGGTTCAAGTAACCGAAGGGAGTGTCTTGGAGATCATAGAATCAGGCAGGATGAAGACGTCGAGCTAGATAGCGAGAGCTCATATTTATAAAGTATGGTCCATACCTAGATAGTCTACTCCAGAGATCGCCCCAGTCTTAACCATTACTTACGGCCCCGAGGAATCGAGCCGCGAATTTTGTTAGCGATCTACTAAAGCCGGTACGCATCTTGGTGACCCATGCGCCATCCACGGTTGACGGAAAGCTTGTTGGGGGAGGTACTATGGGTGTCTTGCTGTAAGAAGACAAATTTTGCTGCAAGAAGACAAAGTGGGCAGTCTATACAAGAAAGGAATTGAGCGTGCCCCGTACACGCAACAACCCTGGTTGGCATGAGAAGGGTCCAGAATTAGGAATCGTCGTAGCAGGTTGAACTGATCAGCTGAGATCGGTGCCCCGGGTGCAAATTAGGGTGTCAACCGACTTGACACCGTTATCAGGGGACCAGAGGGGTGGCCAGGGGAAGTGATGTGCATATACCATGTTTGGTTCAAGGTATAATTGCTATGATAAAACCTATCAGCGAAGCTAAGATGATTTGGCAATACCAGTAAAAGATAATTTGGAAATACCAGTCAAGGATAATTTCGTAATACTAGTACGTACTTCGTAGGAAAGGTAGGTGAGGTGAATGAGTGAGTGAGTGAGTGGGGAGGGTGTCTCGTTAGATTACCCAAAGCCAAGTACCCTTTGTGTAGCTATTGGGGGTCATATACCTAATCTGAGATGATCTTGCTGACATTTAGGCCGCTTGGTTCGCCAAGGCAACTTCAAGGCTCTCAGCCTTATTCCAGGAACAGGTAGTACATTAACAAAGTACCCTTCTCGAAACAATCTCGGATTTCGCAAGTTTCCGCGAAGTCGCCCAATATTCCGCAACATTCTTTAGGGCTTAGCTTAGGCCCTTACCCGGCCTCTTCGCTCGACGGAGCAGCCTGGTTATTGGAGTTTGGTGGTGGGCCTAAGAGGGAAAGGTTGTCAACCGGTACCTAGGTAAGTGCTTACTTTTCTCAGTCGCCTCAAAATAGTATACCTGAAACGAAGACTAGGTCATTATTTGCCAAGACGATGAGATAAGTGTAAAATACATTTGCTAGTGAGATTACCTACAAATTGACCCAGGAAAAATAATTCACGTTCGACTGAAACATGCAAGCAACCCTTCGAAACGTTCATAATTAAGAAGTAGAGACGAACTTCTAGGCGTATTTTGGACCTATTCGTGTCCCGGGTCCAGGGTGACATCGGGGGGGTGTCTTGTCCTAAGGGTTTGTATTTGGACGTGGCCTACACCGTGGCCTAATTGCGACAGGTTGATGTCAGCATGCTAAAAGAAATTATTAACGGGCTGCAGAGACACAGCTGGGATGGCAGTTATCCAATCCCTGTAGTACTTTCGCTTCTCAAATTATGCATCCAACACTAAAAAAATTTGGATTCATACTTGTTTACCTAGGTAAGTTATTTATTAAGAATTTTAAGATTTTTTCCTGAAATTTCAACGTTAGCCATGCCGCATGACGAAAAACATGGTAGAACTCCACCTACGTGCAGTTCTTTTCGCAGTTTATGAAATGAGGTCTAATTTATGTTGTTGGATGTAGTGGTGCATGAGACCTCGATTAGGCCTCCTGCATCTGCTACGTCTCCTGGACGCCTGGCTAGTGTGAGGCCGAGGGAGAGAAAGGAATGATAACGAACCTTGCAGGGGTCGATCTCGACATTGTGGTCACCGCTTCAGGGGCCCCGAATCTTGGATTTGGGAGACCCTGGTATACACATCATTTCTCTTTACCGCCAAGAATGCCAGGCTCCAAAGTTGCCGAATATCACTTTCTGTCATACGAGTTAGTCGGTTGCCTTCGGCTCCATGGTAGTCATTTACGAACCGACTGGACTCTGCCCTGCCGCGGGTGGCAAGGCACCCAGAGGTGTGTATTGAAAGCCGCCATCCCTGTAGACCCAACTCCAGACTTCGCTGCGTAAGTGCTCACCATTGGCATCGATTAGGTCCCATAGATGATTATACGCTTCAACAACGCGGCCGTGTAGCGCCGTGTCGGTACAAAACGCTAGTTGTTCGAATTCGCACCTCCCAAGCTGCTTCTCCAACCCTGCAGCCATCATGACAAGTTGCCAACTCCAGACGACCGTGCCGTGATACGCGCTCTCCGTGAATTCCTTTATATCTACAGATTCCTCTCCGTATGCCGGGTTTGAAACGACCAGTCCGACGGCAGTGGAGAGGCCGAGCGGAAAGGGGCGTAGTATGTTGTCGGCCACTTGAGAAAGAAAAGCGGAGAGTTGGGTCTGGTCGGTACTGTTGAGAAGAAAAAGCCGGAAGCAGTCGTCAGTGTTCATGACCTTGACGATAGGTTGATGGTTTTTGCCATCAAGGGCTAGACCGTGAAATACGACCGGTGAGTTTAAGTCGGAAAAATTGACATCGCCGGGAAATCTCGACACGTCAACATAATTCTTGACAAGGTCTTGAGCTCTTTCGGCCGTAATATTGATTTGGAAGAAAGATAGTGTCTTGTCTTCCCAAACTACGGCACGTTTGTTGGAAGCCGTTTCCCAGTCGTGATGCGAAGGGAAGAAAGCATTGTTCGACAACGACGCGATTGACCTAAGTGCTGCAGGCACTAGGGCCGTGTTTACATCGTACGGTATACGACCTCCACCTAATCCGTCACCGCTGTCGCGCCACTGTCCCACCGTTTGACCCCTATTGAGATGAATGAGGTTCTCCCGTACGGGAGATTGCTCGAAGTCAGCGGTCAACCTCATGACCTTCTCCGCAGTAGCTAATACAAGGTTTCCATAACTGAGCCCGCGATTTTCGGGTAGGACTGATGCGCTTCTAGTGAAGAATGCGTCGCGGCGAGTTTTTCCGATGGCGGAATGGACGAAATATTCGTTGATAGCAATCAGGAGGAAGAAATCGGTATCAATCATCTTGTAATCGCACAAGGGGTCTGTGCTGTCAATACCTTGCTGTTCGTTCAATATCGAAGCATAGTCGCCGATGGTCTCTTCATGACATACACTACCATCTTTAGAGTTTATACGCTCAACAGCCGCTCCTAGAATAGCTTCCACAGCTCCACCGTCCCCTTCGCTCAGGATGGGCCGCAGGAGAAGAAGCGAGATCAGACTGTCACGCCCAAAGTACGTTAGGAATCTCCAGGCACCAGCAAGGAACTTTGTCTTATAAGAGAGGAAGGTAAGCGAGTGTATATCCGATGAATTTTGCGGGATCATAGTTCCAGAAGCAAAGATATCCTCCGTTTCAAATTGGTCAAGTTGTGGATAATTGGACCACGCGTTGAAGACATAAGTACCCTCCTTGAAGCGAGGGCGGCCATCCCGAATAGAAATTGGTGTTTGATTAAGGCTGTGAAATGTCAAGAATGTCTCCGTTGTTTTATCAAGCCACTGGCGGTTGAGCTGGATGCCTCCATCAGGCAACTGTTGAATCTTGATCGCATCTTGAATCTTAGGCGAAAGAGAACTTGGACCTTCGATAAACTCCCTTATTGTCCTGATACTCCCTAAGATGGCCAAGTCTAGTATTGCGGATGAGTTAAGAGTTAAGAGACCAGTGACACCGCCGACAAGCGGGCCTAACGTTCGATTTTTGTTGCTTTTCTCAAGCCCTATGCCGAGCGTTCCGTTGACACGATTTACTGGCGAGAAATAAGCCACAATGCCACTGTTCCCAGCCGGCCAAGCAATCTAGAGCGTGTCAGTATCACTACAGGTATGTAGCAATTGAATGAACTAATTGGGCCATGATTCTCACGAGTAGTCTCGGACTAATGATCTTTAAATCACTACCAACAAGCGGACTTGTTACGACGACTTGGCTTGCACCACTACAATCGTAAATGAAGTAATTCTCATATGGAGGGTCGCTCAAGTGCTCATAGAATTGGGAACACGGCTCAGGACTAGTGTCTTGAGTTGGGGGTTTTTCGCTTGGATCCGGGGTCTGGACCTGAACCAACTTTCCATTATCGCAGCTTTAATTTGTTAATGGAAGTATCGGAAATCCGTTGTAGATGGAAAAGCTTACGAAAATTCGTGAAGGAGATAGCAATCATTACCACACTTCAATGTGCGCTTTCTATCAATAACCGGACACAAGAAACTGCCTTGGTAACATGTGTGCTTCTATATTTAGAAATCGTCTAGAGCCCGGAATGGAGGGTAGACTCACATTGTTAATTGAGTAGCTTGAACTGCCGCATGGCAACAAACCCTCATAAACTTTGACAGGAGTAGGAGCGGGTGGGGATCGGCGAGGTAACAGTATTACCAACAACAGTCCTGCTAGTATGGCAAGGTAAATAACGAGCTCACATGATCTACTCCGCCTTGAGCCAGTATATTCACGGATCCGTGATGCTATCTCCGGCCGCCGATGAGCTGGGTGGGGAGATGGGTTGATAGTCTCAAGCGGGATGCTTAGCGGATCATCTTCTAGTAGAGCTCTGCTGTCATCGCGCGTGCGGCGACTGCCGCTGGCCTTCTGAAATATGGAGCTTGCAGACATATTCTTAGGTCAGACTTCGCGTAGTGTTGCTGACGATAATGGCAACTCATAGGACCTAGAACGAGCAACGTGTCATCAAACTTGGTATATCGTGTACCTATTGTAGATGGAACTGAGGAATTTTGAAGAATTACTTGGGCGATAACAACAATCATTGGGTATTACATATGGACGTCTTAGGTAATACGTTGTTGGACGGTTGAAGTTCAATCCAACGCTGATAGCGTGTCGAAACGGAAATTACAGAAGTCAGGTCCACTAAAATAGCCGGCCCCGGACCCGGTTTTCAGGGACTGCAGGAGCCCCCTACAGAACCCTAGGTACCCGACAGATGGATCCTTACTCAGGTATCCCGGATTTTATGCAAAAGGCTGGATGGCTAAGCGAGTCTATAAGTATAGTTGGTCAAATTTCACTATACTATAAGTATATCTATACTTATTTGATGGTATTTACTATACTTTTAAGTTACATATGCGCACATATTATCTAATAGCATACACGCATTACAACCCTTCGTGTAAAGAAGATAATTGCCTGGTATTTGTGAACCTGTAACCGTCAAAAGAACCCTTAAGAATCGCTTCTGCCAAATACTTGGATTCTCTACTTATTGTTACAACGAAGAGAGCCCGCCACCAGGAGACTATATTAAAAAGCCAAATACACACTCCACTCAATGAATTCATTTGTAATCCCCTAGCACCGAGGAGATAAGCAAGTCCCTAGCCAGTCAAACCTCACCCCCGAGCATCAGCACCAACAGCCTCCCTCAACCTCGCCAACCGCCCGTCCACCCAAGCCTTCTGCCACGCCTCCACCTTCCCGCCCAGCACGACGCACGTCGCGGGCTCCAGCAGCAGGATGCCCCTCGCCACCGTCGCGCCCCTCTTGATCACCATCTTCTCGCCGATATTCATCGTGCCGACGCCGATCCGGTCCACGCGCCTCAGCTCCAGCGCGTGCGCCTTCTGGCCCCTGCAGTCCTGCAGCACGAGGCGGTGCGTCGCGCCCTTCGACGCGGCCGCCGCGTTCGCGTTGGGCGCCGCGTCCCTGCCCGTCGCAACCTGCTGCTGCGTCGGCGCGTCGTCCCCGCCATCCTCTCCGTCCTCATTACCCGTCGGAAGCCGGATGATCTCGCGGCCGCGGGTCTGCTCGCCGCGCGCCACGGCCTCGAGCTCCTCCACCTGCTCCCACTTGCTTTTGGACAAGTTGTCGATGTCCAGGACCTGGACGGGCACGTCGCGGGGCAGCTTGGTCTCCTTCACTTCCGCGTTGCCCAGCAGGTTGGCCGGGAACGCGGGGCCGGGAGCCTCGAGGAGGGCCGGGTTGGTCAGGTCCGCGGCGAGGAGCCGGGTTTTCACCGTGGCTACGAGCGCGGGCAGCGGCGGGAGCGGGTTCCGGTTGGGCAGCGCGCTTTGGATCCATGCTAGCGACGGGGCGGGCAGGCCCTGGCTTTGCAGGCTCGCGCGGATTTGTAGTGCGAGGTCTGCGCTCATGGTGAATGGGGTATGGTGACCTTATTGGTGCAAGCCCTCATTTTTCTGACATCCTCGCATATATGCATAAAAGCGTATGTTTTAGGCTGGTGACGTTGATTTAAAGTGTTGCCCATAAAGTTACGATATAATGAACTAAACCCCTGGAAAGTGGTATGATGTAAGTTGGTAGGGGATTCGGTAGCAAACACTTGGAAGCAAGGGCAGTAGCGGATAAGCTCCCGCCACAGTGGCTTCGCGCGCTATGGCCGCCGGGAGATCTGCCACTAATGCACTAAAGCCTCACTAATCCTCACCTAGCCCGAACCTAGATCCGTGATCTGTAAACTTCAAGCAACATCACCACTACGATACCCCTATAGGTATTTCCTAAACCACCTGTTTACATAATCGCCCGCCGTCATCACCAAGGAAACCCACCACCCACCTACTGCAAAAATGTCCACCATTGCTTCCCCCCGCGATCCCCCGCGGCGCGTACCCTCGTACCAAGGCACGACGCCGACATCCTCGACGCGGCCCAGCCTCGACGCCTCGCGCTCGCCCATCGGCTCGCCAAAACTCACCGGCAGTCCCAACCTCTCCGGCGCCCCCTTCCCCTCCTCCGGGCCGACATCCGCGCCGGCGTCCACCACCGGCCCGAGCAACAAGAGCAACCGCGCGGCCCTGCGCGCGTACTACAACCTGAAGAAGCAGACGGCGGCGGCGGCGCCCGTCGTCGAGGTGACGGACCCGTTCGGCGAGACCTCCGGCGGCCCGCAGCACGAGCAATACTCGGAGGTGGCGCCGAGCGAGATGGACAAGCCGGGCTTCGACGCGGAGGCCTTCGTCAAGAAGGCGCTGGCCGAGAACGGCATGGAGGAGCTGCTGCGGCTGTACACGCGGGTGCTGGGCGAGACGCGGGCCCTGGACGCGGAGAAGAAGGCGTTGGTTTATGATAATTACAGCAAGTTGATCACGGCTACGGAGACGATACGGAAGGTTTGTGTCTCTATTTTATACTGACTTGATTGGATACATTTAAGTTGGATTGGGTGTAAGAAGTATTGAGGTGCTGATACTCCATGAAGATGCGAACGAATATGGACCCGTTGAACCCGATGGCTTCTACGCTCGACCCGGCGATCACTCAGATATACTCGCAAGCTTCGGCAATACGAGATTCGCTACGGAAATCAGTCGCGCCACCGGATGCAGCGAGGACCGAGGCGGAGGAGGCACGGAAGCGGAGAGCGCGGACGAAACAACTTGCTACCGAAGTCTTGGATGCCCCTGACAAAATACGAGCACTTGTCAGTGAAGGACGGTTGGAGGATGCAAGACAGGCGTGGAAGATGCCGCGAAGGCTTCTATTGGTATGGAAAGAGCAAGGTCTCGGCGGCATTGATGTGGACGCATGCATAGAAGACGGCGAAGCAGCTCTTAAAGGTGAACCGAGTAAAGGCAATTGGCGAGATACGAATACGAATAACTCGTGATTATCGGGTATCTACAGCTGGTGATGTCCTAACCATTAAGACTGATGGCCTCCATCGCCATCCCACGGCTTATTTCATCAAATTGGGCAAATTTCGACAAATGGTACATGATTGCCGCGTCTATTTCAACTTCGACGAAGTCGGCACGTCCCAGTTCCGAAGCTCAAGCTAAATCTCTAACGTCAATCACCTCGTACGGGTCACGGTCCGCCTTACTGACGATGACACGCGTATCGCCAAACGCCGTGGTCTCCAATTCGACTTCGAGCATGGGTTTAAGTCGCGTCTCCAGGTACTTGCGCTCCGAGTTGCTGTGGAATACGGTCACCACAATCTGGCCGAGTTGCGTATGTCTAAGCGCGTAATGGTGAGCCATCTCGCCTGTTACTAGTACTTGGGCATCGGTATTTTTGAGTACATCTGCACCCGAGCCCGCGCAGACGGCCACCTTGGAGATTTCCTGCGTGTTGGTAAGGCCCTTCAAGGTTGGCGGTAGGGCTATCATCATGTAACGCTGGTCGCCTATGCCGGCAGAGAGCCGTTTTAGGAGAGTTTGCAAGGTCACGGGTCGGCCTAGTTCGACCGTTCTTCCGTACCCGGTATATTCGTGCCCTTCCGGTAGAGGTCGGGAAATAGGTTGGACCACTGTACGCTTTACCTGGTGTTCGCCGTCTAGAAGGATGTCACACAACCAGTCGTTCAACCCTCCACTGGCTGCATCCATGGCCGTGTGGGGACAATAGACCGAGATCCTTTCGGCGGCTAGGCGTAAGAGGAGGGTCTGCATGGGGTCCTTGGTGGTAAGGGATTTCAGGGGTCTGAAGATGACCGGGTCTGTGAGATGTTGGTTAGTGGTATCATTGTCCGAAGCGGCATACGTATTAGTGAGGCGCAATTCATACGGTAACAAACGATCATCTTAGCGCGCTCTTGTAGAGCCTCATCGACAACAGCCGACGTCAAGTCATTCGTTAGCAGGACTGTGCTACCAACCTCCTTTTCGGTTTTCTGTGACGGCGGCAATGGCGCTTGTCCAAGCAGTACTACGTCGGCGTTAGTTTCAAAAATGATATTATAGATCATATAAGCTAGTCTTACACCCCGTGTTGTCCCATGCACTGTCTGCTAGCTCTTCCGGGAAGCTATGTGTAACCAACACGTTAGTCCGACGTATGGTTTAGGTAATACTATGAAAGGGGACGATAGAGATTACTGACAGTGTTTTCATCGCCGCAACCACCGCATCAGTAAGAGAAGCTGCGGGTGGTGCCGCCATGACTCCAGAAGTGCTAAAGCTCCTTTCCTGTTGTTTGAACATGTAATGAGCTTTAAAGCCCCTGGTTTGATCTCGCAGTACAAGGCTATGACGTCCACCGATGTTTGCGATATTGGATATCAACTTTGCTCTCCCGATTTTATAAGTGGGAGTAGGAGGACAGTATAATGAGATATGTTTTGGTAGAATCTTTAGGTTATGAGACTGTCGATAGAAGAACATCGCATTCGGAGCCCGCCCTCTCTGAAGTGATCAATCACTAACTAGCAAGTTTATTAGATAAATTAGCCTTGAACATTGATGGATGTACGTAGTATACCTTATCTTATCGGATGAGACACAGCAAACCTGTGCAACGTCAATAATAGTGGGTTCCAAGCTTCCACCTCAGCAGCTTCAGCCACTCATCCCCACACCCCACACCCCACTTACCCTCCAACATCGGACTTGTGTGTGTATTACTAACCGATATATTATTTCATCATCGCGGGGCAATCGTCGCTTTGTCATTGTGCGCGCGAACAACCAGGGCCAACTTATAAATACCTCCAGGGCTACTTTACAAAAGTATCGACATAATCGAATTGCTCACACACATCCGCCCAAGATGAGTGAGTCGACAATCACCGAGACGTCGCTGAAAGCGGCGCTCACCGAGCGTCTCCAAGCAGTTCACGTCGAAGTCACCGACATGTCCGGTACATCATTCGCTCCTCCCTCCTCCGTCAACATCCCGCTCCCATCCTCCCAACTGCTCCTTCCTATTCCTACAACCCGTCCATATAACCCATCTCTACGTCCACTCTCTCCCATTCCTACTTTCCCTCTTCTCCCGCGCTAACTATCCACCCCTTTCTCAAACAACAGGCGGTTGCGGCCAATCCTTCTCCACCCTAATCGTCTCCCCGACCTTCGCGGGCCTCAACAGCCTGAAGCGGCACCGCGCCGTCAACGCCGCCGTGAAGGACGAGATCGCCGCCATCCACGCCTGGAGCGCCAAGTGCCAGACGCCCGAGGAGTGGGAGCGCGACAAGGCCAGCAACGCTAAAACCGAGGGCCCGCCTCTGGAAGGCACCGTGCAGGGACGAGTTGACGGCGTTGATGCTTGAAGGGGGTTGGTTGTGTATGGTATATACATATATGGGTATGGTTCGATACCTAGTGGCATGGAATAGCATGGCATGGTATGGCATGGAGACCCCTGTGTGATAACTGGCCCGAGTCTGCCATGTCAAATCACTTTCTAAGACCTGTACGATAGGAAGAATAGGGGATGGCGTGCGATGACTTGGCTTAGGTCGCGATTGGAGTTGAATAGGTAACTACGTGGCTGGATTAAGATACCAATGTTAAACGAATAGGCGCCTGAGCGAAATGCCCATCGTGGGGAAGAGACGAGGTCTTCACAGGAGGCACTGGGACTAGCTTGCTAAAGCAAGAGGAATGGAGCAATGGACATTGATTGGCATAGGGCATAACTAGGCGCCCAACACCGAGCTTGAAGAGACAATAGTCGGCAATACTTCACGTCATGATTTCTCATAAAATAAACTGAGCCTTGGTCTGATTGCCAATCAAGGTACCGATATTTTAACTCTTCCTTAAGGGAACCTTCCCCCCTGACAGGCACACTGCCACTATATCGTGACACCTTACGAAGTCCACTCTATCGCAAATCCAAGGGGTCACCCTTCCCCTTCCCCTTCCCTCGGCTACTATCAGCCCAGATATTTTGGATGTCAGCTTAGTGAAGTTTTTGGCCTCGCTTCGCCTAGAAAAGACCCAGTAGATCATCATTGTTCGAAGTCTTCTGCTCCGTACTTGCGCTTCCGCTTGCGTGGCCGAGTTGCACCCCCGCGGGCGGAGGTTGACTCGACCCGCTTAAGTCCATTCCACCGAACCCGTTCATAATGTCGTTGACACCACCGCCGCTAGTGCCCGCAATATTGCTTTGAGGCGCTGGAGCGTCGAAGAGACCCATCATGTCTGCCATTCCGCCGGATGGGGCCCCGGCGGCCGGGCTTGCTACGCGCTCTGGCGTGGCAGATGCCGAGTTCTGCTCCTGCGACGCCGGTGCCGCGCCGTCGAAATCGATATCCAGCAGATTTTCGATGTTGTTCTGTGACTGTTGTCCGTTTTGACCAGCCGCGGCAACCGACGCGGCGATCGGATTCTCGGCCGCATTTTGTCGCTGTTCCTGGATAGCTGCCCGTTGAATTTCGTCGGCGCCAAATCGTCCCTTGCCAACGAACGACTCAGGGGGCTTGTGGTAGACAGATGCTAACGTTGACAGCTCTCCAAGAAGTTGCTCTAGTAAAGTTGCCGGCAAGCTTGTCATTGTTGTTGTGATGGCTGGCTTCGGTGATAGAATGATGTTCTAAAGGTCGTTAGCTTGGCAGCCAAGAAAGTAAAAGGGGGCCAGGGACTATACCTTTGCGATATCGAGATCCCCTGACAGAAGTCGCCAATAGACATACGCTCGATCTCGGATATCAGGATTGTCGTTCTCAGCTGTCGCCGCCTGCAAAACTTTCTGCACTAATCCCTGGTTGCTGCCTGGCTTCTTCAAAAACAACTTGACAACGGCCGTCAAAATTTGCAACTGTGTCTGCGTAAATTCTTCCATGAAACCGTCCACGAAAGTTGCCAATATCTCATCCGCGTTGTTGATCTTCTCCGCATACTCTCCGACAATCCATATCAACGAACCTCGCGCATTAGGCTCGTCTAGCTCGTCGATGTGATTGCAAAGCGTCGGGATGACCCCTTCGTAACCAGGATACTTCCGGAGGATGTCCTTGATGACCACAATAACCTCTTGAACCACGTAGTTAACTTTGGTAGCAATCAGGTCTAGTAGCGCATTGACGCATTTCTCGCTTGCGCCCTCGATCTTGATCGCGACCTGCCCAATAGCCTTGACGGCTCTTCGAACGAAGTCCATATCTACTTCCAGGGCGTACTCTTTCAACTCGGTCAGGAGTTGTTCATAATTCTTCTCATTTGCTATCCTCACCATGATCTCGAGCTTCTGGAGTTTGACATACGGGGGATCGTTGTATTTGCAGAAGAATACTCTCAGTTCCTTGCTAAGGATGTCGGGCTTGGCTTGCAGAAGGAGATCGATGTTCCGTAGAGCGACGTATTGGACTTCAGGGGCGGATGCAACGAGGGTGACTAAACATATTAGTAACTAACTCAGACGAGAGCACGGTTTACTAACCTAGAGGAGGTGCCATCTTTTTCAGGTACTGTCTCACGAGATCGCCATTAATTAATCTCATGTGAATGAACACTACCTTGACAGCAGCCAGCACGACACTTGGGTTGACATGTTGGAACTGCGGCGCTACTCTTTCACAGATATGCTCCGACTCCTTCACATCCTGAGGGGGGTAGTCTGCCAAGGTCGAAAGGATCGTCACTCTGCCCCATTCCGTGCACTCGTTGAGAGCCATTAGCAGCTTCTTGAGTGTTGCTGGTGTTATAACCAATGCCCTCGTCTCTGGTGCCGTCTCGGCTATCTCTGCCAGCGCTTGTACCGAATTTGCAACGACCATGGGATTCGGGTCGCCGATCATCTCTTGGAGAATCTCCAGAAATCCGTTTTCTATGCACATGGAGGGATTCAAGTCGAAGAGTTTCGCGACACAGATAGCGGCCGTTTTCCGTACGTACGGCGACTCGTCTCGTAACGTTTTCCGCAGAGGCTCTTCCATGTAATCGACCATCTTATCTACTCGGATGCAGCCCATTGTCCTAATAGCAAGTGCTCTTATAAGGGGGTTCGGGTCTTCTGAATCTTGGACGAACGTGTTGACAGCGAGGATACACAAGTCCGGATGCGACTTCGCATAGTTCCTATCACTCCCATAAATTTACTGTTCTAATGGACTTGCGGAGCTAATGACGACTTACATGAGATAGAGATAGACTAGCTTCTTTTGGTCGAGGTCGCCAGTCGCGATATTCTTCAGGACATCTGGAAATAATTGGGACACATCTTTGCCTAACGTCATAGCCATAATAGTCTTCTGGATTGATTCTTTCCTCTCCCAGGCATATTGAGATACCAGACCAGCTCGCAACTCGAACGTCTCGCCCTTCCTAGGTACGGCGAAAGCGCCGCGAATGCGACTGACCGCCGACATTTTGACGTAGCGATTTATGGCTTATGAAGTGCGAGGTAAAAAGAGGCTGTTCGGAGAATAGGAGGCCCTTCCAGGGCTTATAACGGTATATTTGACCTCTTCCTTGTACAGGGTTTCGCTGTATATATCCGTTTGTATGGTATGGATATGAAAGAGCGTCGGGTTGGGTGAGGATAGTTGAAAGTTGCAAGTTGAAAGAATGCCACCCATTTGAATCAACCCCTGGCCGTTTAACTCGTTTAACTGCCACCGTTACAAGGAGTTTCCTGATGCCTGTACCCGCTAAAAACTCTCAAGCCACAAACGTGTAACCCATCAGCCACACTTCATGCTTGATAGGACTTTGCAAAATGGCCCAAGCTCCTAGGTACCTAGACTCTACTACGTACCTCCTATCTCTACAAGTGGCAAGCGGCAAAGAAACTTATATGAAAGCTGTGAAGCAATACAATTGTAATTATCAGAATCAGATCCTCCGAGCTTAGTATCACATGGTGAGCTTAGACTATATCTACTGTCTAAACGTATAGCTTAGACTACCTGCAGTAGCAAGCTCATGCAATATAGGCAAACTTCCCCAATCTCCGCCGGCTATTCATCGAGGCAAGGTCAGATGACGAAGAGAGAGAAGTTTCACGTCGAGCTGTGAGTACTACCATCTATAGCCCATTCAATGATTACTATCATCTCTTGTAAGCCAGCTAACATAGGTGCCGTAGTTTTACAATGCTGTCTTATTCATGGGCTCAGTTGCCGTCTTCAGTCTCGTAGCTCAGAAGATGAATGCTAGCAAATAGGGATATCTGCAACATGACTCCACATCCTCATTAAAACCTCTTCATAATATGCCCAAGGACTGACAAGCTTCGCCATTTGCCTGCAAGAAATGCGTGCCTTATTATCTCCCTAGTCCGACTCGCTATCGCTTCCAAGGAAAGCCAGATCAGCCATTCGTTTAGACACTCGCGGGTTTGCCTTAACTTCGTCCTCATCCTCATTATCATCAACATCATCATTACCATCCTCATCCTCGTCATCTTCAATATCTGCCTTCGAAGGCTTCTTGGTAGCCTTGCTTCTGGAGGCGCGCCCACCGCTTCCGCTGCCCCAGTTGCGATTCATCTCGGTGACTGCTTCCAGATCCGCCATAAGCTCTCTCTTCTCCTTAATATCTTTTGCCTTGGCTTCGGAAAAGCGACCCTCCATCCCTATGTCGCGGAGCATCCCTCTTAGATGTCTGATCTTGGCTTTGTTGTCGTCGCCGTACTTCTTTAGCTCAATACCCCATATTTTGCGAATTCCGCACTTGACTAGCTGCCCCTGTAGCTTCTTGATCTCTGCATCGTCTCCCGATACCTCCTTCGTCTGTTTTGGCTTCGATGCTCCTTTGGACTCTCTAGCCTTGCGCTTTTTCGGGGGCGGCTCGTCTAAGACGGATGATAATGAAGAGTCTGAGTCTTCCGCTTTTGCCTCTTTGCTATCCTCATCATCCACACCCTCCGTTTTGGTATTCTCGTCCGGCTTTTCGGGCTTAGGTGCATCTGTGGCCTTTGCTTCCAAATTAGTCTCGGCCTTGGTATCATCATTAACATCTGAAGCCGCTTCATCCTTCTCGTCGACTGCTTCATCCTCGCTAGCAGGTTTCGCTTTAACGCGCTTGGCGGTGGCCTTCTTTGTAGGCGCTGCGCGTTTGCGCTTCTTGATTGTGGGCGAGTCTTCCAAATCGCTGGCCCCCTCATCTTTAGCTTTCTTAGACTTGCGACGGGGCGCGGCCTTTTTCGAGCTCTTCGCCTTCTTCTTGGGTTCTTCCTCCGAGTCTTCCAGGTCGCTTAATTCAGACTCAGACTCTTCTTTCTTAGACTTGCGACGCGACGTTGGCTTCTTCGCCTTGCTTGTCTTCGGTTCGTCTTCTGATAGGCTGAGATCGCTCAGTTCGGAATCCGAGTCTACCTTTTTAGTTGCCTTCTTTGTAGTCACTTTCTTCGGTGCCTCCTCGGGATCGCTCATGTCATCTAAGTCGCTAAGTTCCGATTCAGAGTCCTCTTTCTTAGGCTTAGTCTTCTTAGGCGGCACGGCTCGAGCGGCTTTCTTCTGACGCTTTGGTATGGGAGATGGCTCCTCGCTCGACTGGCGCTTCACTCCATTCTTAGATTCAGACTTGACCTTAGCTACAGGGGAGGATGGTGGGGCTTCTTCCTCTTCGGCTAGTAACTTGGACTATATGTCATATATGAGCGGCTATATACAATAGAAATAGTTAGATATTGGGTATAATCTTTGCACTTACAACAAACTCCTTGATGATCTTCTTGCTTCGCGCGTCCCACTCTGGTTCCTTGAAGAACCCTTTCTCCAAGTCAGCTTTTTCTTCGACATATTGGCGAACATTGTTCACGGTCACATCGTCCCAGCCGCGTTCGTCGACGATGGCGCGAACTCCGTCGCGGAGATCCTTCTCGATAGCTTTGGCGGATGGTGACATAGTATTGAACACTAGGAGGACAAGAACAATTGGTTCAATAAGTACGTTGGGTGGTGTTGTTGATTAGTGCCTTATCTCCTAGGATACCAGGTATTACACTAGGTCATGTGTTGGATGAACACTTCTCGATTCTTGGAAATATTAGCTATCTAACATTGGCTAAATGCGCCTATGTACCTAGACAGATGATATTTTTGATACGGGGTTGGCGCGTCTTGAAGGAATTAGGTCGCGTGGTAGGTGTATGTGACTCGTGAGTGGATGAGTGGAGAAATTGAATCTAGTGGGACGACTGGGCGATCACCTAGGTTCTTTAAGTTGGACGAACGGATTCAAGACAAGGATCCACTCCACATTTACGAGTCAATTGACCAATGGAAGCTTGTTAAATGGAAAAGAGGCTGTTTTAGTCTCAAAGCCAAGACTCACCAGTTCTCTGATATATGCATATACATATTAAGTACATAATATCCCGTATCTTACCTTACACTCAGCAATATCTACCTATTATGCAGCTAGGATACTGATATTTACATAAGCAAAATCTTCATGATCGACGACATGGCGTTTTTTATATTGCGATGATTGGACCGGTAAAGCCAGTTGCTATCTTCTTAGGTGAAGTTTCCATCCCACACGCAACATATTCCTCAGCCCCAATACTCTCATTTAAACCATCTTCTCTACATAGGTACCTACTACCTACAGAAAAGGATGTATACTATGAGTCAGAACTGTAGCCGTGACAACAACAGCAACTTGCCGAAGATTAAAATATCCGCATGGCATGGATTGGTCACAGCAGGAAGTATTCATATTGTCTTCACCATAACCTCCAGTCATTTCTTGCCTACTGCCTAGGTACTTCAGTGAGTACTAGTTAGGTACCAGCCATCCACTGAGCTACCCTCAAGATTCCTCAACGCTGGTACTTCTTATAACCTATCCCTTCAACAAGGACAAATCCCTGAAATGATTGTTTACCTCCGGGACTTTTTTATGCAGATCTTTCCAGACTTCTTGGTATGGAAGTAGGACAAGGCTTTGGTCAATATCTTATCCACGTTAATATTTACCTGTCATAGCCTCGCATTGAAATACTTCACTATGACAACTCAACGATTGATAATCGGGCAATTAAGAAGGCCACATCAAGGAAAGACGCTATATGCAACCTGAAGTGGGTTAATTATATGCCATCATACGTTTTCCTTTTCCGAGAAGTATTGGGCAAGTGATTGGCTGGCCCCTTCGCACATTAGAGCTGAATGTGATAGCTCATATGCCCATGACAGCTATTATTTGGGGGCATCATGCAGTTTACCGGCGATTTATCACACACGTGTAACTAATAAAGAGATATCAGATCTGTATATATTCTCAAAAGTGTGAATACCTTGGTACCTAGTTAACTTGTTTCTAGTCTCGGTCAGATATTACAGTTTGTTTGGATTGGATTCGGAAGTGCTACAGTTGATGCCCGAACCAACTAGGAAATAATTGGGCGCATAATTAGGACTTTAACGTTTCTTTCTATATCAATCCCTCACCCATGCATAAGTAGTCCACGCAGGGCAACTTGGCACGATTATATCCATATGATAGCAAGGTATCCAGAAGTACAGAAGCCTGTTAGGTTGTAGTTTGGCAGTAATCAACCTTCAACTGCCAGGTAGGCGAGATACAGCTGCTCCCAATGGTATTTGGATATTGTATATACCGTTGCCTAGCCACAGTACGGATGCTTGCATTTTACCGTAACCAACCCTCAAGTCTCCGTTTGCACACAAAACTATCTCTCTACAGCTTATGACTCAGGCCTTTTTTTCTCACACTTTTGTTGACCTTTTCGCCCTCCTACCTATTCACCCATCAACACGACTTCATCCATTCATCACTCCTCACTGAAGCTATTACTATCAAGCTTCTGCTTAGAAATTCCCTCCCAATTTGGGATATCAATACCGATATGGCGGCATATAGTCACAACGACTATATTAAGTCCGCCGAACAGGTCCGCTACATCGTCAATCATGTCTTCCTCCCGTCGCAGTTACCTCAGAAGGATGACTACAATGCAGGACATGAGGAAGCTCTACTATGGGCAGTAATCGAAGCTCTTCATGACTTCAAAGATCATACACAAGACTATGAATCGGATTTAATCGATTCGATTATCAACTCCTTACAACCTCTACGATTGTCCACATCCAATGAGAAGCAACTTCTCGAAGCATTTGATGCTTTTCTTATCAGAAACCGTCAGTACTATCTTTAGAAACGTACCTCTTCAATATGATAAATTTACTTATATCCATTCAGATGGCACGGTCGTGTTTCATGTCAAGGAACAGAATGCAGGCATCATGTTCACAAGATCAGACGCGTCGGTGCACGCTGAAGTCTTCGAGCTATCTGCCAATAATAGATCTGTGATGTCCACAGAGGGAAGACTACTACGGGTCTTCCCGGGGTCTTCCTCAGCTATTCCCTTGGAGACTTTCCATCTACCCGAGTTTCAAGAGTCGATAGCCCATACGCTGGACAAGATGAGCCACCAGAGAACCTATGATACTAAACCAAAGGCTCGAAAGAAGGGAAAGATGCATGATGAAGACCGAGATACCACCCACCCGAAGATGGTCACTGATTTTTTCTCCGCACTTTTATCGTATCTGGGGAGTCCAGTAGAGGTTGACAGCATCATCAAGCACACACGCGAAGAGATTTTCTGGAAAGATTGCAAGGCGCCGTGGCATAGATCAGCTTTGTGGCTGCTCATTCGTGTCGCATTGCAACTTCAGTTCTCACGGTCGGCCACGTCATACAAGTGCCCCGGACAGGCTTACAAGACGTTTATGCTGTTCTTCATGACTAAGATCTTGATGCGGGCACACGTATGCAACCTTTCAAGTGAGCTATTGTCAGCCATGAATTCAAAGCTCTCTCGTCGATGCCAGAAGGTTGCTGGGTTTGCCCCTGAGAACATTGTCGAGTCTGTGAAGTCCTCTCTGTCGGCGACTAACCAGATCCTCCAAGAGAGATGGTCTGAAATACAGAGACAGAGCCATGTTTCCCACAATATGGAGCACCTTCGAGATATGAATCTTGAAAATGATGCTCACATTTACCTTCTGGAGCTTGATAACTACATTAGGTCCATAGATCACCGAGGACAGGGTAGTGGCGCTTCACTCTTGCGACTGTCCACTCCCTTAGAATCCTATACTTCTTCTAATATCCCTTCATTCACAGCCCCATTAGACGATTCAGACATAGCATACACACTAGCAGCTATCGAGTTTTGGGTCGCCGATAGCCTCCCAAAATGGATAAGAGAGAACGAAAGGGGCTCTATGACCTGTCGTTCTTTGATGTCGCTGATCGTGGACTACTTCAAGGCAGCACTTATCCATTACCAAGGAAACCCTGAGATGACTTCCGTAATGATTCTCACTATCCTAGAGCTATGGGTTGCATCCGACAAGTCCGCGGTGCAGAATTGTGCATTGTTGGAAAAGTACAAACCAGGTGTGCCCCTGGAACTCTTGGAGAATCTAAATCTGCCGCTGAGTGAACAGATGGAGAGGCTTCAGGAGATAGAGACGTACTTACTCAGACGTGAATCCAGAGCTCCCTACACTTGCTACGATGTATTTTTGAGCTATGGTAGCGCTCGTAGCTTCTCTGTGTTGTATTTCGATCAGTCAATGCAACACCGGAATTTACTTGCCACGATCGAAAAAGATGCAAGGAGAGCGAGGGAAAAGAAGCGCCAGGAATTCCGAAATGCTCGACGCCAATTTGATGACTTAATGCAGCGTTCGAGAGCGGCTGATCACAAATACACCACGACCGAAGATCCAGTAACGGGTGAATATTCTGACCATCACTACAAATGGGATTGTTTAAAATGTGGCCTTGAACAGCAGGCATACAGCATGCAGATAAGCATACACGAATGGCCATTACCGGAAGACAAACTTGAGGCCAAGTCAACCGTTTTCGAGCTGCAGGTTCCTCCCTTCTTCGGCTACTGGCGTGACACTACAATGTTCATACTGTTCAATGTTCTCGGCTCTCGTTATCACGCCGCGAAAACGACAGACTCTAAGAACTCGCTGAGCAATCCCTTGACAAACGACTACTTTCGACCTTTCGATCAATATCAGCGGATAACTTTGCGGTCTGGGGCCAAGTCCCACACGCGCACACATCGTAGCGTGAGGGACCTATCTATCCAAAAGGAGAGTGAGATCTGCCTTGAGAATGGTCTCCATTACAAGTATTTCGACACCACGGAGGACTGCTTCGTCACCCATTTAGGGACTACGCAAACGGTCCCTGAACTATGTACGTACTCTATATCGGATAAATCGACTGACCAAATATCGCCGATCCAACAATTCATCAATCGTCCGGCATCAGAACCTCACGGTCCACCTCCAAATACGGTTTTAGCTTCACAGTCGACTTGCCCCGGTGACTTATCACTGGAAGAGTATAAGGCACTTACGTCTCTTCCCCTAGGTTCTAGCATTCAATGGCAGAATATCTTGGTGCAGCTCGCAATGCCTAGCATAGACTTCAAAAGGGAAGAGACTATGCTCGTTATCCTTCAATGTATTTTCCAGGCAGGTCCAAGAGATGGCGGCAATATACTAAGAACAGGTCATAAAGTCCTCAGCGATAATTCTTTTGCCCACGCACTACTAGGTCGTCTGCACGAGGCACTTGGAAGGGTCCAGGAAAACTGGCAATCCTTCCAAGCACTAGGTATCTTCGTCGCTCTATCTAGACGTCTGCTTTCCTTGGCACCAATGGAGGACGTTAAGCATGAGTGTCTCAGATTCCTTGCTACCACTCGGGAAGTTGCTCTAGACTGGATCCGAGTCCTCGACGAAAAGATTCAGAGTACCACCGACGACGATATCAGGAAAGACTTGCGGTACAAGACAACCAGGATAGCATTGATTTGTGCGGATACTTTTAATGTTGATGACGAACAGCTTCGTCGACTTCTGGCCTCGCCACATGATGCGTGTATTATGATACGGTGCGCTATTGTTCTCCAGGAAGGGCTATGCCACGTCACAAGAACGGCTGAAGGTATAGAATTCATCATGCGTCAACGCTGGGATCAGCTCTCGTATCGAGGTTTCAGCATTTTTTCGAATCAAATAGTCAACAACAACAACCCTGCGCTGGAAAATGCCATTAAGGAGTCTTGGCCTGTATTTCGCCCCATCAACGCGTGGCGTATCAGGAAGAGGCCCTATCATCACTGGCTCGAGATCCGTTCAGCACGCGAAGAAGGAAGTGGCTCGCTCGAGGTACACTTTAGTACATTGACAGGAGAACTCCTGATAGACGGCAGCCCTTTAAGTCGACTCCCTAAAGAATACGAGCAGCACTCTATGTATTCGACCTTGTTTGGAAGAACGGTAATAGAAGTTAGGCCTAGCTCTATTCCTGGAATGCGGTATTCTTCCAAGAAAGCGTTTAGTGGGCATCGTGTAGATTTTGGGATGAACTACCAGGACAAGAATATTCACATTCGAGCAGCAACCAACGGTCAAGTATTCGAGCTTATCCCCCGATATATCCTTCATGGCTCCTTTCCGGCAATGTTTGTGAACAACTTTGTTCATTGGTACAATAAATCCGAAGGTTACTTGGAATTCTGTGCTCAGGAACTCCCATGGGATCACTCGGAGAAAAACTGGAGATTGTTCCGTTCAGGGTATACATGGAGACTAGCGAAAGGAAACTCATTCCTTGTCAGCATTCGAAGTGCCACCGCAATGAGAATATCCAGCATACTAGGCTGCCTTGAGCCCCTCCCTTGGATTCACATCATCCTTCGCGAATACTCCCTAGATATTGAGCTCCCGAGATTGAAGCTTGGATTCTACACAAAAAAGGGAGGGACGTCCATATCTTCTCGCCAGTTTCGTGGAATGGTTGTAGACGAGGATCAATCGATTGGAACTCTTACCGGTCTTGAAACTAAGCTGGTGCTGAGAGGGCAAGATGGCGGCCTCCGACGCAAGGTTATTATCCCTAGTGGAGTCATTAGATTCTTCAGGAGTCCTCATATCCCCGAGACGCTGCAACACGTGGTAGTCCAAATTGAACATTGTTCGAATACGAGGGCTCATTCCTACGAGATTGACAACCTACTTGGCAGACTTATTAACAATAGCAGTCTGCAGAGTAGGTTGTTGATATCGTATCTTCATGCTCTCACCTCTTTCCCCTTACCAGACCAACTTACCGGGAAAACAGGGACAGAAAGTGCGCTTACTATCCTGAACTCTGCTGCTGTTCGGTCATTCAAATGCCTCACAGAAGAGGATATCGACTTATTACAACATATGGCAGCGCTCACTCCGAAGCGAGTCTACTATCCACCGGATGAGCAGGATATGCAGACTGTGCATTGGTCCTCGGATCTTGGCTTCTTAGCTCAGCATGGAAATTTTTTCGAGAGCGTGGATTCGATATACAAGCAAGCCAGAGAATCCGAATTCCTTTATCCCGAATCGCACGTCGCCTTACCTGATCTACAGGATGTCAACTACACTTTGCTACGTCGGGATCTGATTCGTTCATCAGTTTTCCGTATTGTCGGATTCGGCGCTGAGGCCCATACAGACAAATATGACGTGAAATATCAGGCTAGGGATCGCGAGAAGTACTCTTCTCAGGCTTCACAAGCCGTCGCCTTATCCAGCATGCTGTTCGAGGAAGACTTCACTCTCCGGTACGATATCAAGGGTAACGTAGGATCTGTTATATGGGATTTCATTAAAAACCATGTAAAAGGTCCTACACGTGGCCCTTCCTTTTCGTTGTCCGCTTCAGAACTACAATACGATTCTGGGTTACTTCTGAACCCCTACCCATTCATCGCCGAACAGTGGATTCCTCTTCACAGACTGTTGAGCAATCCGGGGGCTAGACCAAACAAATTTCAAATGATGTTCTGGCTTGCTGCCATTGCGTATATTAAAGATGCCGAACTGAGCATTCTTCAGATTCTAGCTTCTTTCTACGCGGCACCCGACATGGCTTTGATCGCGGGGCCAAATGTCGCAACGTTCGACTTATCCAATGGTTTCGATATCAGGACTACGAACTTGTCAGGACTTTTCGAAGATTGCTGTTTGAAATTTCACCAAGTTCCAGAATCAAACTTACCTAGGAACTATGGAGAGAACAATAGTAACTACAACAACCGACGACGACGACAGCATAACATTAAAAAGAGCGAAGCTATATCCACATTAACTTCTGCTTTGAAAGCTCAGTGGCCTTGTGGAGTCCCGGCTTATCCAGACGGCACGACCTACGCGAAACTATGTACGTATATTAATATGACCTCGGCTATGGAGCGAGCCAGAGGTAGGTTCAAACCTTGCTTCGACAATCACCTGCTCGTACTTTACTTCGAAAAGATTGGCCGGAGTATCACGCGGGAGACCAGTACGGTTGAAGTCGAGAGGGGAATCCCGTTCGCTTCGCTCCCTAGTCCCACGAAGTTTAGACTCGTCAAGAATGACGACGTACTTTCCTCTTCGGCCCCTGTGATTTTGCCGTATATGGCGAAAGATTCTCAGTATCTATCTTACAACGAAAATAACCAGACACCCCGTCTCCCTTCTCTACTATCGAGACTCGAAGAGCAAGCACAATCGGGTTATGAGAGACGTTATGTCGAAGACCTAGGAAGTAGCGTGGAGTCGCTTCAGAGTTGGAGAATGGAATATAGGTTGCCGTTGGAAGCGGAGGAGCTGGAGCCGCTTATAATTTCCCATCAAAGCGCATGCCAATCAGTAGTCGACGAAATCTATATCACCATGCGGGAATCGGTTGAAGAGAGCCTTCGGACTCGAGAGGCTTCAAGCCAACACTGGCCGAGGATATCCCCGATCTTCTTCCTAGAACGCCTCTCTTATCACTACTGGGAAACTCTCCCAGAAGGCTGGAGAATATGGATCGTTCATTATGGAGTTGCTATTTCTCACCTACAACGCGCACAGCGCCTACTGAGGGCAATCAACAATCCGTCTGCCTTAATCAAGGAACTGCGAAACCCTGGTCACATAAACTGGAAGCCAATCGACCAACCCGACTCCTTGCTTCTGGAAATCGAGAGCGATCTTATGATCAGGGAGGTCCAAGAGGACATCGCGAAGCATATGAGAAGCCCCGAAAGCGGGAAAAATTCGGTCATGCAGTTGAACATGGGCGAGGGAAAGTCATCAGTTATTGTTCCCGCGGTTGCCGCAGCTCTCGCAGATGGCGAACGACTAGTCCGAGTCATTGTTGGGAAACCACAGTCAAAGCAGATGTTCCAGATGCTTGTATCGAAGCTAGGCGGCTTGTTGAACCGACGAATCTACCACATGCCCTTCTCTCGTGCTGTAAAGGTTGAACGTGCTGAGATTGAGGCAATGACGAAGATGGTCAACTCCTGCATAGAGAATGGCGGTGTCTTTTTGGTTCAGCCAGAACACATCCTTTCCTTTAAACTCATGGGTATTGAGTGCATACTAACAGGAAGAGAGGAAATCGGACTCCCTCTGACGCAGCTTCAGGCAAGCCTTGACGATTGGACGCGTGATATTGTTGACGAAAGCGATGAGAATTTCAGTGTCAAGTTTGAGTTGGTGTATACAATGGGCACACAGCGACCGACCGAATTTTCTCCTGACAGATGGATTTGCATCCAGCAGTTGCTGGATATAGTCAGAAGTGTCATCTCGAAGGCACATTCCGAGCTCCCAGGTTCGATTGAGCTTCGCTTCCAAGCCTTCGGATGCTTTCCGTGGACTCGAATCATAAAACCAGATGCTGCAGACCAGATTCTTCGTCGTATCACGGAACGGGTTTGTGCGACGGGCTTGAATGGATTCCCCATTACAAGACAGCCTGAGCTTATACGTGGAGCTGTGTATAGATACATCACAGAGGTTGAACCCAGAGCAGATGACATCGCATTAGTCGAGGACGAGAGCCCGAATGGGTTCTGGACGGGCGCCAAAGATACATTGCTGCTGCTACGCGGCCTCATAGCCGGAGGAGTTTTAGCGTTCGCCTTCGGACACAAGCGCTGGAGGGTTGATTATGGACTTGATGGGAACAGAAACCCAAGCACCAAGCTTGCCGTGCCTTATAGAGCCAAGGATAGTCCTTCACCCCGATCCGAGTTCAGTCATCCGGATGTTGTCATTCTCCTTACGTCCTTGAGCTATTATTACGGCGGGCTCAGCGACGAGGACTTGTTCTTGACGTTCAACCATCTCTTCAAGTCTGATCAGGCTGAACTCGAGTACGGGATGTGGGCTAGGGCTGCCAACGATTTAGCTCCTGCTTTCAGACAATTGGTTGGCATTAACCTCGAAGACAGCCAATGCACAGAGCATGTGTTCAAGAATCTCCGATATGTTAAAGGGGTCATCGATTACTTCCTAGCACACATCGTTTTCGCGAAGGAGATGAAGGAATTTCCACACAAGCTCTCCGCGTCAGGTTGGGACATTGGAGAAGTCAAGGATCACCCGACAACAGGATTTAGCGGCACCAATGACTCTCGCAAGGTGCTTCCTCTTCATGTTGAGCAATTAGACCTCCCAGCCCAGAAACACACCAACGCATTGGTGCTCGAGTATCTGCTCCAACCCGAAAACTCAGTCGAGCTCATGCCACCACGACGAGAGATGGATGTGTCAGTTGCTGAAATGCTCCTAGACATCATCACTAGGATGGAACCTCCAACTAGAGTTATATTAGACGTGGGAGCTCAGATACTCGAGCTTGACAATCTAGGGGTCGCCAAAGCATGGCTGCGAAGAAATTCTCACGACGGACAAATTCAAGCGGCCGTTTACTTCGATGACCATGATGAGCTCTGTGTTATCGATCGTAGGGGACACTCTGAGCCTCTCCAGGCATCACCGTATGCGACACAGTTAGACACTTGCCTTGTCTTCTTAGACGAGGCTCATACTAGAGGCACTGATTTGAAGCTACCGAAAAATTATCGCGCAGCAGTCACTCTAGGCGCAAACCTGACGAAAGATAGACTGGTACAAGGTATGTCATATCGCTATATTCCAAAGCTAGGACCGAAAGCTGACGCACATTAGCATGCATGCGGATGAGAATGTTAGGCGAAGGACAGTCTGTGGTGTTTTGCGTACCAGAAGAGATTCGGGCCAAGATCCAAGCTCGCAAATCTGACCCTGATCCCTTCGCCCGTGAAGAAATCTCCGTCCTGGACATCTTGGCATGGACGATCGGGGAAACCTGGCAGGACATCCACCGGAGCATGGGATTGTGGGCTAACCAGGGCCGCCGCCACGAAGTGCACCTGAAGGTGTGGGAAGCAGCTCGGGCAAATAAGTCGATTGATAGGGGGTTTATATTTGAAAAGTCTCTCGCCGAAAAATATCTTGAGGATGAGTCGCAGACATTGGAACGTAGATATCGCCCTCGCAAGAAAGGTACCAATAGCCTTGGAATCCTGTCCAATGAGAACACCATGGATCCAATCTCCAAGCGCTGCAGGGAGTTCACCAACCTGAACCTCGACTCAGCAGCACTCCAAGAAGAAGAGGAGCGAGAGTTGTCGCCGGAAATCGAGCAAGAAAGGGAGGACCAGAGACCTCCCGCAGCCAAGCCGGACATACACTCGATACACCCACATGTGGAATCATTCGTAACCTCAGGTACCATCTACAGTACGTCTCAGGGGTACGGACCTGCATTCATGGCTTTGCAACGTACCACCGCTGGAGCTCTCCTCAAAGTACACAGTTTCCAACCCGGCTTGTTGGCCACGATTGATTTCGAACGAACTATTAGAAATCATCGCAAGGGTATCGACGTTTTGGATTTCTATCAACGCAGTGTCCAGTGGATTTTGACGAGTGGTCGTCCTAACGACAAATTTGTCAAGCATATGATGGTCATCAGTCCGTACGAAGCACAGATGCTTCTTCCCAAGATCCAGGCATCCAACGCCGTTGCACTGCACTTGTACGCGCCACGGTCAAGTTTAGGATACCGCCCGCTAGACAAACTGGACTTGTACACGGTCCCTGAACGGCTGAGCCAGCGTCAGATACCGCAGCGGCTCATCACGCAACTCAATTTGTTTGCGGGGCAGCTCTACTTCGACTCGTTCGAGCAGTATGTGGACGCGTGCAAGTTTATGGGTATCAGCTATGACACGCCTGGCGAGGGAGAGGAGATCGCAGCGGATGGATTCATACTCCGCGATGCGTTTGGAATAGTTGGCGGTGAGTCGGGTTTGCAGCGTAGCCCAGTTAAGTTCTTCAAGGTGCTTCACACCAAGATCCGACGCAACTGCGAAAGCATTAGCAAGACACACATGGGCAAATTGCTGGATAACCAGCTGCTTCGGCCGGAGGATTTCGAGAACGATGGATGATTGAGAAATTGAGGCCAAAATGGCAATTGAGATTGAAATTGAGACTAAAAGTGGGACCTTAAGACAGATTCGCCAAGTTCGGCAGAGGGACTAAAGACTTGTACAGTAATTGTAGTTTATTCTGAGAGATTGTTGCCGATACCGTATTGATTCATGCTAATTCGTGACATAATAGTCCCCCTTTTCTAGAGAGTTCAACTACAAGTGCCCAGTTAACTGAATTGGTGTTAATTACGAAGTAACCAATTGAATTGGACGACCAGAAGACGTGAGACGGAAATGGATCACAACTCTCTTCTGTGTGCCGAAATTCGAGTATCGTAAGTAAATATTTTCAATAATGACCAAGTAAGGGATATATCTAAGAAATTCGCATGTCACATCAGCCAGTTACAGAACACCCGTCCGAAAACCAAACCCAGAACGCACCACTCATCCATGCAACCCAAAGCTACCTTTTTCAGCGCCGACCCAATCTATGAACTTATCATAACCGCACCAATTTAGCTAGAGAGAGTCAACTTCTTTACTCTATCCTTCAAAGTCTCCTGGGGCCACGCCCAATTACTCAGGAATTCGGGGTCAACACCATGCTCAAACGAATAGTTAGAAGCAGCGACCTGCTGGCTCTTAAGCGCATCCCGAGCTGTTGCGCCACGATTGCCTAGTTGCGGCATGCGGTCGATGGCGTCCATGGCCAGACTGAATCGGTCGGTCTGGTTGCGGATGGCAAGTTCCAAAGGCGTGTCGATGTTACCTTTCTCCTTGTAACCTCTGACGTGAATGTTCTGGTTACCCGGTCGCTTGTAAGTCAAGCGGTGGACGAGCCATGGGTAGGAGTGGAAGTTAAAGATGATGGGTTTGTTAGCAGTAAATAGGGCGACCCAATCCTTATCAGTAAGTCCGTGGGGGTGGTCTGTGTGATGGATCAACTTGAACAGATCGACGACGTTGACGCAACGGATCTTCAGATCGGGGAAGTGCTGCAGCAGGAGATCGATAGCGGCTAATGACTCGCTAGTGGAGACATCACCGCAGCTAGCCATGATGACATCGGGCTCTTCACCTGCGTCTGTGGAGAACTGGGGCCAGATGCCAATACCTTTCGTGCAGTGCTCAACAGCTTGTGCCATGGTGAGGTATTGGATATGGGGCTGCTTGTCTGCGACGACGACGTTCACGTAGTTCTGTGATCGGAAACAGTGGTCCATGACTGAAAGTAGACAGTTTCCATCAGGCGGGAGGTAGATACGGACGACTTCCGGACTCTTGTTGCAAACAACATCAAGGAAGCCAGGATCTTGGTGCGTAAAGCCGTTGTGGTCTTGTCTCCAGACGACGGCAGTCAAGAGGATGTTGAGTGAGGGAACTTTGGCACGCCACTCAACCTCCAGACACTTTTCAATCCATTTGCAGTGCTATACAACAGGTTAGTATATGCTTTTTAAGTGAGGTTAGGGTGTCGATAAACGTACCTGGTTGACCATGGAGTCAATGACGTGGATGAAAGGTTCGTAGCTGTTAAGCATACCATGCCTGCCACTTAGGACGTAACCTTCTAACCAACCCTCACAAGTGTGCTCGGACAAGATCTCCATAACTCTTCCGAAAGGTGAAAGGTTGCCACCGTCCTCATCTTCTTCGAAGTATTCGCCCATCCATACCTTCTTGCCGGCTTCGTAGACGGCGGCGAGTTTATTAGACTCGGTCTCATCGGGGCCCATAAGACGGAACGAATTGGGGTTGTTCTTGATGATATCACGTAGGAACTTAGCGAAGTTGGCCATGCTGCCCTCAACTGTAGCGCCAGCCTGTTCCACCTTAATTTCGTAGTCTTTAAAGTTCGGCATCTTGAGAGGCACGGAAAGTAGACCACCGTTGGCTATGGGGTTTGCGCTCATACGTCTATTGCCCGTGGGGCAAAGAGCCTTCAATTCGGCCGAGATTTTACCTTCTTTGCCGAAGAGGCGCTCGGGTTCGTATCCGCGCATCCATTCCTCAAGCGTCTTAAGGTCAGCGGGGTTTGTGGTGGTACCAGTGATTGGTACTTGATGAGAACGCCAGAAGCCTCCGAGATAGTGGCCATTGACCTTGCGAGGAGCGGTCCAACCCTTCGGTGTGCGTAGGACGATCATAGGCCACCGTGGACGGAAGGGCTTGCCAGAATCACGAGCCTCTTTCTGATACTTGCGGATTTCTAGAACACAATGTTCAAGAGTAGCGGCCATTGCCTGGTGCATGGTCTCGAGCTCTTCGCCCTCAACGAAGTACGGCTGCCAGCCATAACCAATAAAGAGCTGTTCAAGCTCCTTGTGCGAGATACGAGCGAGCACGGTGGGATTGTTGATCTTGTAACCGTTAAGGTGTAAAACGGGAAGAACTGCACCATCGCAGATGGGGTTCAGGAATTTAGTGCTGTGCCAGGCCGTAGCTAACGGGCCGGTCTCGGCTTCGCCATCACCGACCATGGTAAGGGTGATTAGATCCGGATTATCGAAAACGGTACCGAAGGCATGCGAGATGGAGTAACCAAGTTCTCCACCTTCATGCAGACTACCGGGGGTCTCGGGGGTTGCGTGTGAACCGACACCTCCTGGGAAGCTAAACTGCTTGAAGAAGACCTGCATGCCCTCCGGGTCCTCAGACTTCTGAGGGTAGACTTCGGAATAGGTACCCTCAAGATAAGCCTGAGAGATGACGGCGGGGGCACCATGACCTGGACCGGAGACGAAGATAGCGTCAAGGTCATACTTCTTGATCAATCTGTTGAAGTGCATATAGGTGAATATCTGACCGGGAGCAGATCCGAAGTGGCCCAGTTGCCGCTTTTTTATGTGTTCAACTTTCAAGGGTTCTCTTAGAAGAGGGTTCTCCTTGAGATAGATCATACCAAGACTGAGGTATAGACTAGCCTTGAAGAAATCGGTGTACTTCTCGATTTCCTCCTTGGATAGGGGCTCGCCCTGTATAGTCGAGCGAGCCTTGCCGAATGGCCGGATCAGTTCGATCTCGGCTTGACGAGTATCTGCCATTTTGGATTTTGGTAGGGGCGCTCCGACTGGACGTTACTTGTCGGAATTGCCAATTAAAAGGGTGAAACGATTTCAAGCTTGAGACTCTAGGAAGTCTGGAAGTAGCTCAAGCTATGTATAAGATTGAAGTTTGTTGTGATGATGGTTTATTAGAATAAGGGGGCAGAAAAGAGTTGACGATGGTGGTACTTATAAGACACGCCCCAGAGACACTTACGTAGTATACGGTAGGAGAGGGAATAAATGGATTACGACTCTAGGGTGGCAGTTGGGTTCAGCTTGGGATTCTAGGGTCTAGCCATCGCACGTCCAATTCGTCTCATGTGAGTGACTCTGCCTAGACGAGTGCATGTGGTTGTTATCATTGGACCCGGCGGAATGCGATATTGTGGAGGGGCATTGGGGGGATATTGTGATATTGTGGAGGAAGAAAGCTCGTTGCGAATACTCAACCGGCCCAAGACGGCGGATATGCAGCCGAGAATTGAACCAGAATAACGTGCAACTATGACATTATAGCGTGGTCATAACCTGATACATAACAGTTACCTGACGTTCCGCAGCGGTTCAACGCGAAGAGCATAGCCCTGGAGGTAGTGAAAGTCTAGTAGTTACACAGATTCGCATCCGGAGGACGGCATCTTAGTGAACCTTGCTGACGGTTAGTGGAGGATTTGATGGAATGGAACCACTGAGTGGGCTGATTTTCCACCCCAAGCAGTACGTAGGTACGCTTCAAGATACGCCAACTTTACGTCATGGATTATTTATCCTTTCTTTCTCTAGGGCGCCGACAACTCCGAGCAATCGAACTTCGAGACTTCCTCGTTTATGCAATTCGTTCTTATCGATTACCAGGTTGGTAGGCTTTGGACCCAGTCGTCTTCCTTTGTCTCCATTTTTCTCTTTTTCAAACCCCATTTCGGTGCAGCTTCGTTCATTGCAACCAACCATATCGTTACATCAACACATACCCCAGCTGTAACCCTACTGCACCGAATCCCTTCAGCTGGAATCCAGATTGCTACAGGCCCTACGCATCCTAATCCTACAATACCGATCTCTTCGATCTAGATTCCCATCCTTACCAGGTATAGGACGGAATCGGGAACACACGTGGTCTCGATATCTATTCTCCTGCGAGTATGAGTCGACTTCACATGATCTGGCCAGCAATACCACTTAAGTCAGGCTTAAAGCCAAGTCGGATTGTCACTTATGAATGGGCATCTTCTCATTCGAACCCCGGCTGTAGGAGATGTGCGAATGTTGCGTCTAGATCGACTTTGCATTCTTGAAAGAACAGAAGAACATTTTCTTCTATTCAGCATCGTCGATGGTTGCGGCCCGATTAATTGCAGTCTTAGTGTCCCAATGTAGGCAAGCATTGAGACGAAAAGCGTATACGAATGATCCAACATACGATTAAAGGGAGACCGATTTGAGCCTCGGTTCCATTTCTGTATGGCTTCTTGCCTCGGGGAACGAACACCGCTAGTTTTGGTAAAATCCCAACTATTCCCGTGGACAATTCAATTTTCGTCTCTTTTTCAAAATAGCATCATTAATGTCTATCATTTGGAGACTCACATTTCCTCGCCATCTTTTCAAAACTTGGTGCTTACTTCTAGTTCCTAATCGCGAAAGAGTCAAGCTACGTTACCTACCTACCTAGGTAAGTCCCTACGCATCGCGATAAGACCTGATTACCTTAACCGCTGCAGGGCATTTTACCAGGCTTGGAGCGGCTGCGAGATCGAGGATCGGTCCAGAAGGTCCGGACGAATGGCATGAAGGGTTCTAATGTTGGCAGATGTGAGAAAACACCCCTTGTTGGAATTGGCGTTTTAGTGTTGGGCTGACGGCCGGTGCCGCCGTGCTGATTCCTACAATTTATTAGTCCTGCGTTAACCACCGAAGAGCGACAAGTGAAAGCCGAAGAGTGACGAGAAACGGGTGACCCTGCACGAATAAGAACTTATCTTCCTCTTGCAATGCTTCCTCTACCATACTACAAACTTCCAGTTCATCAAATTATCGGTTTCGAACGCGCAGCAAGTTGACTCATGTCTCGACTACTTTTGCGAATGAATTCTAGTGCGAATTGGATAATAACCTTGGATTCGCACGGTCCCAAGTACACGAATTGAGCAGGGAGACGAATCAGCTACAGCCAGTTAGTTGATTTGTCGAAACAAACCCACACCCAGTGGATAGAAAATGAGGGGGATTTGACATTGACAAGATATCATTTGCGAGATATCATAGAGATCAGATAAATATCATTCAGCCGAGGTAAGTGGACCTAACTTTGGGGAATGCTCAATTTTTTGAGGCAAGAAACGCCGCTAGCACGCATAGAGCTTATTACAAGAGAATTCGGTGAATTCCCTCAAATCCTATGTGCTTTGAATCCGATAGCAGCTAAAGGGAGAAGAGCGACGGCTTCAACATTTCTCGGTTCTACGGTGTTACGCAAAAATCCACGGTGTTGATATTACCGCGAAAATTAGTCATTATATGCATTTACGAGTCGACATATTTTTGATATCAAGGTAGGTGATTCGAGCCACCTAAGGGTTCACGTGGAATTTTTCAACGCAATACTGCCTCCGGAAACTAGAACACTTTGGGATTAATCGTGGTCTTCATTCAAATTGACATTTAAAACATGAAACTACCTACATTTTCCTAATCTTACGTTGGACGATGTTGTAGTTTAAAATAGGGGCAAGGGTGGGTAAATAATATTTTGGCAATCAGGAGGCGGCACAAATAGTAAATTGGACCTACCTTTACTCTATAGTAGAAACTATTATAATTTTCGGTACTTCGTCACCTTGCGCGAGTCTCGCGGATTCTCGGTTACGTAGTGCTCAAGTTGGATGCGATTTTCAAACTTCTATTAGTTGAAATTTCTTCGTTGGAGGTTATTTGATATCTGACATCTCGTCATAACCAAGGACTATCCTCGAGACTCTGGCAGAGAACAGAATCGTATCGCAAAATTCTATTCTTTAGGATCCTGCCGTCATGGGCGATGGTTTTATGGACTTATTCATGAGTGTCACGGACCCCTATTCTACAATATGTCCCCTACAAAAGGCGTAAATGACTCCGATGGTGAGTCAAGAAAATATTAATAATAAATCTCCCAGAATATAATTAAGATCTTACGGCAATATCCACTACAAGTAGTATAGATATCTACCTAGTTAGTAAACTAGGTACCTAGATAAGTACCACGAGGTAGACAGTCTTATATTAAGGGTGAACCACATTGTATAAATGCTGGACTAGGCACATACGGAGTAACTAGGTAGGTATAAAGAGGGAAAAATACCTCTTTTGTTAATCCTTTAAATGAGCACCAGCCTGAACAAGTACAGGTTCTTCTCCAGATGAACTTTCTTCCCCTTCTCTTCCCGCATCATCAATATTGTGTTTCTTTAAACTATGGAGAATTCGTTAGTGACATAGCATTGAAAAGATGATAAAAGCAGATAACTTACTCTCTACGGTATAATAATAATGAGGTGATAAATCCAGCCCATAATAAAACTTGGAAGACCAACGCGACTGGCCATCCAATCCTCCATCTAGGAGCGCCGTTGGGACCGGCAGTAGGAAATAATAGGAGAGGTACCCAGATATTGAAGGAGTAGCCGAAAGTCATCATAGAGCCCATGATAAGAGCTCGCTCTTCTGAATCCCCCTTGACGATTGTGTTTACTGTGGAGTAGAGAATAGGACTCAGACATCCAGACACTCCGAAGATGTACCACGCGACAAATCTAATCTTCTAGTTAGTACAAATAGTAGGAGTGAGGGAGTCCGTAGCGTTTTGACGGCACATACTTCAAAGCTTTTGGAATATTCCATACAATCATGCATATCGCTGAGAAAACCATGCCTCCCGTGGCCCCCGTATAGATAGTCCAGGACGGGTAGATAGTTGCTAAAGTTGTCCCAAGCCACGACGCCAAGATATTAATTGCGTAAGTAACTGTCGGTAGCTGGTTGATCTGAACGACAGAAAAGCCCTCCGCTTTCAACCAAAGATTCATGTATGAGACCGGATACGAGCTGATAATCATGCAACTACATCATCCGGATGAAAATCAGTCACTATCCCAATAATTGAGGTAGAACATTAATGATTGGTCACTTACATATAACAAAACACGAATATCCAGATATGCCAACGTGCAAGGGCTCGCTTGAAGACGTCGAGGTTCAGCGGTCCAGGCTTGCGAATCTTAGCCCGAGCCAGTCTTGCCCTCGCGAGGGCGATATCGTCAGAAGTGAAGTAGAACGGCTTTGGCGAATCTGGGACACCGGGGAATACTATGAAACCGAGTAAGGCGACTGGAAGAGTGAATATGCCGTCGATAATGAAGAGCCACCTCCATCCTTCCATACCCCCGACCCCCGATAAGTTGGTATAAGCGGCAGATTGAAGGTAGCCGCTAATCATGGATCCTAAGGGGTTACATATGAACCAAGTTCCAGCTCGCTTGAAGAGCTCTGGCCCACTATACCAAGAGCCTGTTTGTTCTGTTAGCCATAAATCCCGGAAGGTAAAGAAGATCTGGTTAGCAAACCTAGGATGAAATGTGTCCCAGCAAAGACCGGGGCTTCAAACATGCCAACAAGGAACCGCAATGCGTAAAGTTGTTGGACATTCGTAACTCGACTTTGAGCGAAGGTACAAAGTCCCCAAAGAACCTCGAGTGTCGGCAATAACCAGCGAGCCCTATAATAAACTTAGTTTTGGCCACTCGTTGTAACGAAAGTCCCATTTTCTCAGGACGATTAGGTACGTACAGTCGAGGTCGCGACATAAGAAGCAACCCGGGAACTTGGAATACTACATAAGCTACGAAGTAGCATACGTTAAAGTAATTAAGTTCATTTCCGTATAGGCCTAATTCTTCCTTGAGACCACTAACATATGCATTGCTGATGTTTGTTTGGTCTTTGGAGTAGTGTCTATCGGTTAGTTCTATGAATACACCGCTGGTCGGAAAAGGGGTAGGCGACGAACCTAAATATTTTACGAAAACTTTCTTCTGTCAGAATTAACATATTCTTAGGTTAAAGGTTTAGTAGACTAACAGCATAAACAAGCGAAGACAAGAATTGATAAATCAAGTTTGAATAGAAGCCTATGATCTGTTAGTATTCATGCATGAATGAGTGCTTCGATAGGTACTAGGTATTTCTTCTACAAGAGGGTTGGCTTACTTTCTCTCGGTTGCAGGATAGCTCGATGGATACCAATTGAATATCTCCTTGAAAAGGCCTAATAATGAACTTCCTGGCCTCTGCTTGACATCGGCCATGGCGACGGGAATCTTGAAGGCGTCGTCAGAAGTTGGGCAATAAGAAAACCGCCTCCCTTGAATAACACTGGCAGACTAGAACATGTACTACTATTGAAGCATAATTCTTATATCAAATATATTTAGCCCCTTTTAACGCGCGACTTTCAGTTATTTCAGCTGACGTGCTCATAGTACCCATATAACGCAAAGGTATTAACAATCTTTCCTAGCATAATAACTAGGTAGCTATCGGCTAAGAAACTAAATAGCATCTCATTAATTCGTGGCTTTACCCTGGTTCATCGAATTCAACTAAGCAATGGCATCGTCGTGTTGCATTGCTCGGGTTGAGGGACCCGATGCGCGATGATGTGCGATGGCGTGCTCTCCGTAATTAGGGGTAAGTGGAGGTCGTAGGCGTAGTCGGAGTCCATAACAGACCTTCATATTACCACGCGGACGCGTCGCCCGTCACGTCCCCTCATACATCATATCCACCCCGAGTTGCGTCATAGTATCTCTTCTTTCTATTGGTAGGTATCGCGGAGTATAGTCTATCGATAGAACGTAACCCCCACCAACATTCGGATATGGATAGCTTCTATCCAGAGAGATTAGGATGATAGAAGCCGAAGCATAAGAGATATGAATAAGAAATATTAGATCTCTCCGTGTCGAAACGAGAGTGACTTAAGTAGAATAAATATAAGGTCCCCGGTAGCTCAGACCCTCACCAATTTCCTTGGCCTCCAAAGTCGGGATTACTTAGCCATATTAAGAAACAACAACGAATAACATCGTCTAAAATGTCAGCACAAACTATCGAACGTTACGAGCAGGTACCTGTTACCAAGGAAGACCGTAAGCTTCATCTGCTACATATAGTGGATAGATTCAATTTTTAATGCTTTCTAGTCGACTGGGCCGAACTCATCACTCTTGACTTAAGTTTATATGAGCAACCGGGGGGCAAGGAAGAATTGGTGAGGCAGCTTGATCATGCAGTTCGAAATGTTGGTATGTTGGTTCTAACACATTACCTCACTCTACACACCCTCTAACGTAATCAACGTAGGCTTCTTCTACGTCAAGAACTTCAACATTTCGCAGGAGGAAGTTGACAGGCAGTTCGCTCTTGGGCGAGAGTTCTATGCCCTTCCCTTAGAGGAGAAGCTCAAGTACCACAACCAGGCAGACCTAGAGAACGGCGAGTACAATGGCTACAGACCAGCAGGCCACCGAGTGTAAGCGTAACAATTCGGAAATTCATCTCACCTTACTGACACAACACGTCTAGTCTCGGAAATGGCATTAGGGACAATGTCCAAGTGTACAATATCCCGAAATTCGATGGCTTCCACGCGCGCAAGCAGCCGGCCATCCTACAAGACAACATCAAGGAGATCGAAGCTTTCTCCAGGGTCCGTACCAACATACACACCCCATTTCCCCGCTTCAGACTAACAAACATGGCAGAAATGCCACTCCGAAGTAGTCGTCAAGCTCCTGCGCCTCTTCGCCATCCTGCTCGAGCTGCCGGACGAGGACCAGCTCGTGCGCGACCACGTGTACGACGCGCGCGGCGAGGACCACCTGCGGTACATGCACTACGCGGCGCGCAGCCCCGAGGAGAACAAGCTGGTCGGCGACCTGTACGGGGTCGGGCACACGGACCTAGGCACCGTGACCCTGCTCTTCCGACAACCCGTATGCGCGCTGCAGATCCTGAACGCGCAGGGCCAGTGGAAGTGGGTCAAGCCGCAAGACGGCACCATCACGATCAACACGTGCGACGCGCTGACCGCCCTAACGGGGGGGCTCATCAAGTCCAGCGTGCACCGCGTGCACGCGCCGCCCGCGGACCAGGCGCACGTCGACCGTCTGGGTGTGCTGTACTTCGCGAGGCCGAATAATCATGTGGTATTGGACCCGATCAAGAACAGTCCGCTGCTGAACCGGCTGGGATTGACGACGAACGTGTTCACGGAGCTGGGCCAGCATCTGACGACGGAGCAGTGGGTCAAGGCGCGGCAGACGCAGCAGCAGCGGCCGCGCGTCGAGGCGAAGATCTCGGACGATGGGAAGTATACTTACGAGAAGAAGGATTTGGAGATCTTGCCTGGGCTGCATGCTGCTATTCATAATTGAGTGCGCTTACTTATCTAGGGAGGGCTTTGGTGTGAGTGAGTTTATATTGCTGCGAGTATATATTTGGTCACTTTATATATAAAGCCTTTTCACTCTCAAGTCATTGCTTTCCAGGGTCAGTTTATAATAGGAGAAACGTAACATAAATTACAGGTATGTATTTTGCAGATTAACGTATTTGCAGTAGTTAACTGCGAATACATCCTGGAAGAGACATCAAATTTCATCACTACTGTGCTCACCAGGAACGTACCCACTCAACGACACCCTACACGGGAACTCGCCCCGCGGATGCGCGGCGCCATGTTCTATAAGATACGCCTTCTCATTGTCCACATTCGCCAGGTCTGTCTTCTCACCAGCATAAACCTCATCGTAGCACTCCTGGAAGTCGAACTCCCTGCATACCACGGCGAGGAAAGCCTTCACTTCCTTCAAGACGAGCGCCTGGCCTGTGCAGTTACGCACACCATACTCAAAAATGCGCCACGCGCCTTTGCCTGGGTAGAGCTCGTGGTCTGGACCGACGAGGAAGCGCTCTGGTAGGAACTCGAGTGGTCGAGGCCAGCATTCGGGGTTTCGATGGATGCTCAAATGGCTGGTTTGCACGCAGCATCCTTCGGTGGGATACTCGTTCCCATCACGATCCTTGAGCACTAGGTCCCTGCACCCCATGCGGATGCCGTTTGCGGGAGGGAAAAGGCGCATTGTCTCCTTGATTACTGCCAAGGTATACGGAAGAGAGTTGAGAATGGAGGGGTTTTCGGTGATCATATCTGGGCAGGCTGCGACGTTTCTTCCGAAGACCTCGTCATGTTCGGCGCGGAGCTTGGATAGCACGTCGGGGTGGGTCCAGATCATGTAGCAGCAGCTGACCATCGTGCTCGATGTAGAGTCATAGCCGGCGAAGAAAAACATACGTAATTGAGCACATAGACTGCTCATGAAATCCTTATCGAGAGGGTCGGATAGTTTGTGGTCTGGTTGGGAGTAATAGGTTTCAAGAGCTTGGTCGAGTATCGAGTTGAAAGCTGACTGCTCGTGTCGCGCCTTAGCTTCACGAAAAGCGTCGGTCCGCTTCGCTACTTGGGCACCAATGTGTCGATTTAGAATGCGACTGTTGTTCCAAACACTGAACGCCCTGAGCGGATTAAGTTGACCAATGTTGTCCATGACGTTGCTCGCACCGAACTTCAAATCGAGCTGATGCAGCATGGCCTCGGAAAGGGGATGAGAGCCGGCTGTTTGATTTCCCAACTCGGTGTTGAAGACTACGCGGCCAATGATGTCTTTCATGAGCGAGAGCGTCATTGGTTCCAGACGGAAAATATCTCCCACTTCAACTTTCTTCCGGAGAATATCGCGAAAAACAAGCATCTGCTCGATTATAATAGGCATGGTAGCATCGAGATTGCTATTGTTGAAGAAGGGTAAGAATAGGTTATGGTCGTGTTTCCATTCCTGATCATTTTGGGTGAAGAGGTTGATACCCCCTTTTCCTGAAATGGGTGCGAACCATTCCGTGAGGCTTGTTGGCTTCTGAGCAGAAGTCCAAGGGTGGCCGGTGACTTGATTGGCAATGTACGGATCTCTTACCATGAGCATAGGGATGCTCACAGGGTAGCTGTCGAAGTAATATGCTGGCGGACCATATTTCCCATCTAATTTTCTAGCTATGCGGTCTAGGATATAAGCGCTGTGAGCACCTGGTGGAAGCTCATCGCTAGCAGTTTTCGCAGCGAGGAGATGCCCTAGAATACTACTGTGCGCGGGCATCGGCTACAAAAGATTTGTTAATACACGGGGTATTAAGATAAGAGACATTCGGAGTTCATACCTTCCCCATTTTCTCCAATTTCTTTATTAATGCTCGGTGCTGCCATAGTTCGGAAACGAAGGCAAAGGTTCGTACAATCGCGATAGTCAATAAGACACCGCCAAAAGCGTTCAACACCAGCCAAGAGGAGTCCATCATTGCTAAATCGCCTCCTAAAAACGTTTACTATTCATGAAATTCAGCAATCGATCAAGAGTTTTATATTCACCAGAGGGTTCGACAAGGCACGGGTGCCGCCTTGCAGGGCTGACATTCACGTAAAATGAATATTATGTTCATTTCCCCGATCGTCCGCGATTTTGTTGTCCATTCATGTTGGCAGAATTGGAAATTAAGGTCACACCCCAGTCAAGTCCAAATTAGGAATAGGGGCTTTCCAGCAAACATAAGAGGGGCAGTGAATAATCCCACTGATCTAGCAGAATTCCACGCGTTTTTCTTGAACATTTACATAGGAAGACATGTTTATAATATTCAAATTTCGTAGCTGTAATGATAATCGTATTTTTTCGAGAGCTTTTGTCTTAGCCTTTAGTTTGAAAGTCGACACCAAAATGGTTGCATAAGATGGTCTTCGTTCCCCACCAATCACAATCGCCATATCGAAGGAAACTTACTGAAATTGGAACTGGCTATTTTCTTGAGACCTTTTGGTCTTAAAGAGTTGCAGGAGTCAAGTTTATTACCAATCAACTACCTGGCATTTAGTAAAACAGTTACTAAAGACATTAGGTTCATAAATTGACAGTGTTAGATTCGCATTCGTTGGCAAACACTGACTGGCTAGCTTATATGGAAGCTGCTAGGTTCTAGAGTAGATGATTGATGACTGATGCTTCTGATAAGTTGTAAATGCTTCACAATTTGAAAGTTTTCAATTTTCATGTTTGATAGATGACAGATGCAAGAGAAGAGTTGCCAAGAAGCTAGTGCAGGTCATATGCAGACTAATCCCATTATGGTAAGACGCATCCAAGTAATTGGACAACGCTAAGATAAGATCGTTATCAGCGATCTCCAGAAAAAAGATTTTGGTGTTTTGCGATGCAAGCTGGGAATTTGTTCAACTTCAAGTTTTTCGGAACCCCACTCGATCTGTCGCGACCAGAACAATCGCGATGCCGAAGCCACGAACCAAACGCCAGGCCATCCGCGATGAGCGAAAGGCAAAGCGCCGCGAGAAAGCATTGGCAGCCAGCGAAGAGAGCAAGGCTGCCAAGAGACAACGACTAAACGAGGCCGATGGCGATAACACTGGCAACTTGGAAGCCAAGTTTGAAGATGGATTCGAACAACCTAGAATTGGTGGTCCACCACCCGCCGATCGCGAGTTCTTTGGCATGTTGTCGGATGAAGAGCAGGAATACTTTCGATCGGTAGATGAGCAGCTCGATATTGACGACTTTCCTTCTCAAGAAGAGCGACAATTATACCTAGCTAGTGTCTTCGCCGAAGCTCAAGGAAAGGAACTTAAGCTAGCATGCAGCCAGTCATGTTCGAGATTGATGGAGCGGCTTATATTAATGTCGAACACGAGGCAGAAGAAGAAGCTATTCCTACAATTTGCAAGCCATTTTCTGAACCTCATCCAACACCGTTTCGCGAGCCATTGCTGCGAAACCCTGTTCTTGCAATCTGCCCCAATTGTCACTAGAGAGCTCGGAGGGGAACGCGACGATGTTCTTACGGACCAAGACGATCCGAATGAGCAGCCTCTGCCTTTTATGGAAGAATTATTTCTTCTTACACTCGACGAGCTCGAGGGACACCTTGGATATCTTCTCGCCGATAAATTTGCGTCTCACACTCTTCGAATATTACTCATCATTCTCTCCGGACGACCTTTGGAAGAGTCTCAAACTAAGTCCCTTATTCACAGCAAGAAGAAGGAAAAGATTTCAGTCCCTTGGACATCCGATGACCCAGCCGATTTGAATTCTCAACTTCGGGCCGTGCCCATGTCATTCAATCTAGCCGCCAAGAAAATCATCGCCGACTCAGTTTCTGGTATGAGTCCCACAGAAATTCGCGTGCTAGCAAAACATCCCACTGGAAACCCGGTTCTGCAGCTGTTGTTAGAGCTGGACATTAGTTTGAATTTGAAAGCGAGCGACGAGTCCGAAGACATGGCTGTGCTGTGGCAACTCCTACCTGGAGCCCCTAATTCGCTGAAAGATGGTACTAGCCCGGCGTCGGATTTTGTCAATTCGATGCTGTACGACCACATTGGATCACGACTACTTGAGACCCTTATTATCCATTGTCCCGGAAAGATTTTCAAGCCTCTGTATAAACATGTCTTTGCAGATCGAATCCATAGTCTTCTTCGCAATGACATCGCCTCATATCCGGCCATACGCGTTCTGAATCGACTCAGCAAAGAGGATCTGGTTACGGCAGTTAAAAAGAGTTTGCCTGAGTTTAGTAAGCTCGTTACGCTATCTAGGTTTAACGTGATTAAGACCTTGTTTGAGCGATGCCAGGCTCGGGAAGCTAGGGACGAGATTGACAGTTTAACGAAGGCCCTAATCGAGGCATTTGGATCAGACCCTAAATCATTGGTTCCAAAGCTTTGCCTTCCACAGTCATCGGAATCCGATGATAAGAAGAAAAATCATGAACCGCCACAGAAGAATCGTTCAGCATTAGTTTCGCATGGCTCTCAATTAACGACAGCTATGCTTGCCATACCCGGACTTCCCTCAAGCACAATCCAAACATCTCTATCATCTCTACCTGAAGAACTTATTCTTCAACTCGCAACATCATCAGCACCTACATCTTACGTCCTGATTAATGCATTTTCCACTCCAACAAGAAACAAGATATTTCACAAGGCACTGGTTGCAGCACTACGACCCCATGCATTTCAACTCGCTATGTCAGAGTACGGCAGTAGGGTCTTGAATTCTATTGTTTTCATACCTTCCAAGAGCGATAGTATATCTGTGCCATTCCACATCAAAGAATCAATCATGGAGCTGCTTGGTCAACATGAACAAGAATTGAGGGAATCCTTTGAGGGCCGCCGTGTGTGGAGAATATGGAAAGGGGACCTATGGAGGAATAGGCGTAGGGAGTGGATCTCCTGGGTCAAGAATCTTGACACTATGTCAGGGCAAACATTATCAGAGGACCAGTCAAGGGGGGGAAAGGGACTAAGAAGTAGCAATGACAGCAGTGCAAAGAGTACAGCAAGGACTAATGACTTTCAGGCAAGAAAACGGAAGTGGGGAGTTGAAGGAGCCTCATAGCACGGTATGTCATTGTTTGCTATTCGCACAGTTCAGATAAGATGGTATTCAAAGTTTGGAGCCTCTCGTGATTCCCCTAGACATTAGATAGAATAACGTACCCAATGACCCAAATACCCAAATATTACTCATATACCTAACATGACAATCACTCTGAACTTTTATTCATCCCATCTGCACATTATTTCTATTTAATGGACATCAATCATTGTCGTGCTTTCCCAGGCATCACAACTTGCTCGCCCATCTTCATTCTCTTCATCCAAAACCCCCCTATACATGTATCTCGTTCAACACCGCGACTTCCTTCGTCTGTCCTTTTCCTAGCGATTTTCTATAGCACCTTCCCGCCGAAAACCCGTGCCTTCCCTGCCGGTTTTAGTTTAACTTTCTCGGATAGCAGCCTGCTCTACTTGCTCAGTATAGCTTCCTCCTTTAGGGGTCGTGATTTCCACTTCAATAGAGTTCCGGCCCCACTTTTCGGATTTCTCCCCCGGTTGACAAGGACCCTTCCTGCCGTCGACGATATCTTCCTTCCTCAATGTTGCCCCTGAGGCACACATATCGACGTATATCCTCTCTTTTTACAGTTTTCTACTTCGATTCGCTGGCTCTTAAGTGGGCAAGATCAGATCATCTGAAATCTAGAGTGAGAAGGTTGGTGGAGCCCTACAGTATTAGTCCCATCTCCCAGCTTTCCTCCCAGCTTTCTTCCCACCTTAATCCTCTTCAACCCCCCAGGTTTTCTTGGAACTTCCACCTTTCCCAACTTTTCAACTTCTTCATCTTCTCAGACTTCTCATACTTCATCCACCTATGTGATCTCTCAGTGGCTTGGGCAGCTCAGCTGCTTCAACATGTCTACCTCTTCAACAGCTTCAAGATATGCAATAGCTTCAACAACTCAGCTGTTTCATCTACTCTACTTCTTCTATATGTTCTACAACACCATCCCAATGGACTTTTTTGTTCCAGCTGCTTTTTCAATTTCTTCAACTTCTTCAGCTTCTTCTTCATCTTCCTGATTATCCACCATCAGTATTTCCAACAACTACAACCTAATCAAGTTATTCAATAACTTCAGCAGTTCAATCTATTCTACTCATTCTCTTTATCATCAACTTCTCATTGGAATCATGCCTTCAGTACCTTCAACTTCTAGGACTAATACATTGATTTGCAAGGTAACAACATGTCTGGTCGAAAGGGCTATGACTTATCCAACCTCTGCATGGAAACTAGACCTCGTACTCGAGGACCTGTTCATTTACATCTTCAAGGACCAACTATATCCAACGACAATGGCAAACCTTCGTCTGTATCCCAGTCACCATTCCTTTCTGATTCTTCTATTCCTTCCTCATTCAACAACAATGCTGCTGTGAATAACAGCAATGTTAGCAATCAATATCCCATCCATCCTCATACCAATTCACACACTCCTTTAGAACAACATCATGTTTCTGGAGAGAATCCCCAACAGCCTCTACGCTTAAGCCCTGGCTATACTAAGACATTTGGCCAATACACACTCTACAATCAACAGACCGGTCGCGGTTGGCGACGCGTGCCTAGAGGCACAGATTGTACTTCCGATCTGACTCAACACAATCCAACACATTCTAGTCATAAGAGCGTCACCAACGGGAGCAGCAAGATGGAAAAAGCGGTTGGCTCGGATGTCATTGCACTTGCCCACTCCCACAACATCGCCGACACTATGAATCTTAGCACTCCTCTTGCAGGTTACAAGACCGAAGGTATGCTTGACGCCGACATTAACAAAGCAACAGATGCTAACGTGAACCTAGCAAGCACCGGCACTAACAGAAGTGCAAGCCAGAACATGGAGTTTGATGTTAATTCCCACATCAACTTCGACATAGATTCCGCCGTCGCTGCTGCCATGAATAGTAGTATTCATGCTAGTCTGGGACATAGTAAGGGCATTACCAACCCCCCTTCCACTCACCACAATGCCAGGGGACGGCTCCGACTTGACAGGCCAGCTAGAAGAGCCAGCAGGAAGATACTGCGTTCCTCATCACGGCGTGGCATCACATTGTCGCCGACTATAGTAGGAGGGTTCCTAGCTCCACCATCCACATCACCAAGTCTTTTGCATTCCCGCTCGTCGCGACTACCTAGTCACCCTGAATCTAATCTTCTTAGCCCCGCCATCAGCTCAGCCTTGAACAAGGGCACGGCGGATTCACACCCTGATTCACCACCACCAAGGTCAACGCCACAGATAACTCTGACTGCACCCTCAGATGATGAGGATCAGACAAGTTTTCCAGTCACCAGGGAGTGATGGGCTCACCTAGTCGCCGATTCTCTATTCTATGTAATCGTGCCGACTAAGACCTTGCAGAAAGACACATACAAGAAGCTTGTCGCAAGAGGCGTCAACTCTGTCATTCGGATACCCGGAATAGGCGACCCGGAGGGGTCATTCCATGTCCTGGGAGACATGAAGACGTACATGGACCAGATCTGTCCAATGCATATAGACATATCTACATAACAGGGACGCTGCCCCTGTCTTTGCGTCACTCCGACAGATGGTGGCCACCAAGCCGAGTTTCACTCAATCCTTTCCATATCGAACACATCAACTCACTATGGAAGTCAATTCATATTGGCCTTCAAGGCGACTCATAGCAGCTCATCGCCGATGCGAATCATCCCAGGCTAAGCTCAGACAGCTTCTGCTTCAACCAAACGCCTACGGTTCTTCCTACAATGGCCACCCCGGCACCTTCATTCATACTGTCGCGGCCTCCCTCCAAGTCTTATTGACGACGATGAATTCAGCAACACTAGCCCTTGGATTGACTACCTGGTGGTAGATCTTCTGCTCCTGTATATGTTTCCTCATATCTATGTCCTTATCAGAGCATACCGACTCTACCAGAACACAGCCTGTTCGCGTGTCACTAGCAGACCGTACCAAGTACCCAGCACACTGAATCCTTTGATTCTCAGCTCCCAGATCGCTGGCCCTTCTCGTGCAGACAGCTCATGCGGGACTTGGCGCCGTTGCAGGTACACTCAACCACAGTGGCCGGCACCTGGGTGTACTACACATCGGGCATGTCGGGTCCTTGAGTTCTTGCTTAGACGGTCTGAGTCGCTGTCATCGCCTTCTCGTCCCTGTGTAGCTCCGGCCTGAGAGTGTCGTTGTGTTGGCCACACCCGCACTCACATCTAAGTGGGTAATAAGCGTGATCCATTCATTCTTGACTGATCGGATCCCTTGCATGGCTGTGGTAGGCATGGAGGCTGATATTGGTCAGTCAGGGCGACTGAGGGTAAGGGGAAGAGTATGACATACAGGAGGCCATCCATTACCATCTCTCCAGCGCGATTCCGCGACCACTGTCCCCTTCAGAGCCCTTCTCCTGCAGTTGCGACATTCTCACGGCGCTGTGAATGCCTCCGCCGTAGCAACCACGAAGATATACACAATGGAGTCACACTCGTGCACGATGGAGATGAAAAGCAAGAGTTGTTGCCTGGGTACCAAGAATGGTTCGAGGCCGTCGAAGACAAGCTTCTGGATGTGGCTAACGCCAACTCCCCCGTCGTGCTCACCTCTCTGGGTACGGCTAGGGTGCCGATTTGTTGCCAGCACATTCAAAGCTACGCTGAGATCTTCGGGTTCCTCCTCCCTTCCCTCACTTAACGGCGGATTGTGAAGTGGAAGTGGACACCATGGAACCGTTATCTGTTGAGGTATTGAATGGGGTACCTCTTGCTAACGTGGAACTACAAGGCAATGGCTTTGTGCGGGAGCCCTTCCTAGCACGACTCTTGTACAAGAGCATGCTAGGCTATCTGCCAGGCATGCCTGAGTAGGAAAGGGCAAAGGCAAAGACATTGATCTCGTTCTCGCTATCAATGGGTAGTTCAGCACAATGAAGAACATAGACATCAGCTGCACGGAGACTGATTTCTCCGTGAGGGAGTACTCACTCGTCTCCCCGTTCACGGTTCGTCGGTTGTGTTCACAACAGTTAGTACCTGCATCAGCGATACATATGGAGCCAGTGACTAACATCTTCCTGAATAGTTAGTATGACTTGGTCATTTAGCGTTGATATTACCTACCACTGGTCATGTCCGTCTGTACCTATGTAGGTATGACATGTGGACAACACATGGACCCACTAGCAAGATGGGCAGTAAGTATCTAAGTGAATGAATACCTATCGATTTGTTAACTAATATCTCTATAGTTGTTGATATTACTGATATGGGAATCCCCTTCCGCCACGCGGAACTGTCACCAGTCAAGCAGAGAGAAGTATTGGACTGGACACCTGGGATCGTGACCGCGGCGGATTGTCGGCAACCACGGCGTTTTCCACAGGGGTCGATTACCCCGTGGTTTCCTACTTCGCTTACTTTGAAAGCGCCAACTATGCTACGCTGGCCTTCCCCAGTACCGACATCAATTCTTCCCCTGGCGCCCAGTCAGCGCTATACTGGGGTGGTTGGGTGCCTGATGGTATGGTCAACCCTACTGGAGTGTCTTCATGGAGACGGGATCACATTGAGGTTTGATCTCTGGGTGGGCATTGAGCGAGTATGACCATGGAGATTGGTCTGGGTGTACTACATTGGGGTACCCCACACTCACGCGCCCTCATTGCCCATTTCATGGCTTTGTTCAATCTTCTCCCACGATGCCCTACTTACAGGCGGTGGTGTGCATTCTTCTCTCGTTAACAGTGCACCTTCCCACGCGGGACAGAAATAACTTGATATATCTTCCCCCCAGAGACAGAATTAGCTGTCGACTACTAGTACTATCGCCGATATTCGTTCGCCATAGAAGCGACGTGATCTTCACGTCGGCGAAACAGATTTAGCTGCTAATGGTGCGGCCTTGTTGCCGGTATTTATTGGCCATGTGAAACGTATGGCCTCGAACAGAGTCCGTTTCCAATTCAGAACCAACTCGAATACAGCTGCCGAGAGCACGCCTACCCATTCATAGCGGAAGTTATATGCTATATTCTCACTAGGCACCAAGACACGGTCTGCTCGCGCCGACTCGGACACGCGGGTGATACCCATCAGCCACCATACTTATGGAGGCCTCGATAGTTGTAGCGGTCGTTAATGATGGATATGACACAAGACAGAGCCCTGTATTTGGACCTACTCCCTGGGTCAGGCATATTTCTAACACAGAAAGCCTCTCGCGATCGCTTTCTCCATGTTTGCCGTCATTTCAACATCCTATAGTCAGACGGGCGCAGCATCGGTCGCTTGCAACATGCTTGATACTGGTTTTAACACACTTGTCTAAGGACTGCGCAGTCTCTTGGGGAGAGAGAGCTGGTCCACGTGGAGGCATCTGAGGCTTCCAGCCAGTATCCTGACTCGGGCCAGGCTAGTGGAGATTTAACCAGGATGAGCTGGAATATCAGTCGGCGGTGAGGACGGGTAACGGTTGGATGAAGTACAATTATGGTATATCGATTGATGTTGAGGGTATGATGCGGTGCAAAGATCAGGAAGAGTACGCAGTTGGACTTGGATGTTATCCCTCACGGCGAAATGGTGATATGGGTGCTTTGAATCGCGAGACTTCACCATGGCATGATGCTACATAAGGTTCATTACCTTAACACCAAAATATAGTGCTGTATAGCCATCATAGGTCGTGGAGTGTTGGAATATCAGGTGGCTGGAAGCCTACGCACTGTATCTCAGAGGTGGATATGTGCTATCTAATGCATCTCTACCTACTCCTAGTAACTTAACCTTTTAATACAAGAAGTATGAAACCCATAACCTGCGTCTATCTCAATATGGAGCATTGGGCCATTCTATTTTAAATGATCTCAGCTAGTGAGTGCGATAGAGAGAAAGGGGGGATGACCCACCTCGAGAGAGATAAGAGGTTCTAATTATTGTCAACAAAAAATAGTCGTCAGGGGAAGTTCTCGCGGATGATTTATTGTATCAAGCCGTAGTTTCAAGAAACTGCCCATCAAGGTCATGCAGAACACGGTTCACATAGCGCAGAACGGGATCTCCGGAGGTTACTAAACGATAACCTCATCCTTCGACCTCGATAATCTTACCATAGTTACATGAGATCTCCAAAATAATCTCCATCTTATGCAGGTCGAAACCTTTTACACTTAAATTTATGCTAGCCTAGGTATAAATGAATGAATGATTCCACTGCGTGGCTCCTATCATTTCAAGTGTTCCTCCGCATATAAACAACCTATATAGGATAGATACTCCATATTTGTGATCTCAAAAAAGTGATATCCGCCCAGAAAAAAAGAATCGGAAGATGGACTAGGGCCAAGTCTAGGATACGGCTCCAATTAAGCTTTGGATCTACGTATAAGTGTACATATAGGGGGAACCTTTCTGGCAATCGTAGAACTAAGATAGGTGCGGAGTATAATTGATGTGGCTGAAGTAAACGTTAAGCACTAGGTAGCAACTAGGTAGTGAACGATTAGGTTCCTTTCTGAATTTTTTATTTTTTAAACTTCGTTTAGACTATTTTCGATATGTCCCGGAAAGGGGCCATTGCTATTGTCTCTCCAAATCCTCAACATAATCATCCCAGAGGATCTATCGCCTGGGACAATTCCAACTACTTTCTGTCGCAGGTATCATCAAGAGCTAATAAAAGCTCTCTCCCCCTCCAGTGCCCTGGTTTGAAGTGTGCCTAGCAACCACTCCGGTCTTATTGCCGAACGTATGACTCCTTATCTCTTAACGCCATAGGGCATTCCAACCCATTTTGCCATAGAAGATAAGCAACGGACATTCGTAGATGTATCCGACGCTTATCCATCCACCACCTTTTAGGATACCTTCTCCCATCCAGTCAAACACTTAAAATGCTTCGGAGTCGAATTCAGTAGCCGAGTGGAGATCGTGACCCAAAGGTCGAAGTCATAAACCATAGCGTTGCCACCACCATCCAAGATATTCCCTTGTTTTCCATTGGTATCATGAAGATATTAAACCATGTAATGAGGTATGTTGCAGATTGGGTAGCCCCAATCACGAAAAATAGCAAATGATGCTTGCCTCCCTAACACCTCCAAGATTGTATCGTTTGCGTAGAAGTCGTAAAAATCAAACATTGGGCCTAGGAGACAGAACGCTTTCATGCAAATCAAACCAGTAACTACCGACACCCTAATAGGTACAGAAGAAGTGCATGGCACGTGGTATCTCCGATATGATTGCCAGGTCGATCCGAGGAAATGTTTAAAATAAATATGCGTAAAGAACTGGGCCTGTGTACAGGCCACGTTTCCGATGGAAATCGGGATAGATTATTGCTCCGATCCGAAGTCGACAAAACTCTCCCAACTACCATCACCTCCTGTTCCACCAACAGGTGTGCCTATTTGGTCATAGCCCTCATTGTGGAAGTCCAGGAGGTTAAATGTGTTATCCGTCATAGAATTGTCCGATGTTGGAAAGATATCATCATCTGGGATATGGGCTTCATGTGGCGAGAATGTAGGAACTTCCTGCTTAATATCGACTTCGGAATTTTCATCCTGAGTTGTAGAGTCGCCAGGGAAGGGACCAAACATTTGATAGGTTGAAGGATCTCCCATGAAGTGCATCGCCATTGGGTCATTCATGTCGATGTTGGCCATCATCTTTACCTCGTTAGGTAATTCAGAAGTGAATGCGGATGACGAGGTTGACTGTTGCGCTAACTGTGGGTCAAGATGAAGAGGTGGGAAGGCCGATGGTGTCTGAAACGGGGTCGCTTTCGACTCTGCCGCATCAGCATCCGTCGAGGTGGATCCAGGCGTTAGAGCTGGTGGCGACGATATAGTAGTAGCCGAATTGGGCGCTGGGCTTCCAATCGTAGCAGAGCCTCTCCGGTCAATTCCGTCAAATAGCGACTGCGAAGACACCGAGTGTGTGCGGGTGGCAGAAGAATCTTGACTGGACCCAGAAATAGATAATCGGTTCGAAAACCCTGCGTCGTTGTTCATAAGTGATGCCATATACGCGGAGCTATTGAGCTGCTGCTGCTGGTTTGTCATGGCAGTCGGAAAAGATTCGCTGAAGAGTCTGTTAATCTCTTGATAGCGAGCCATCGTAGCCATTGCCGTCTGCGTCGTGATGTACGCATTCACCCGGTGATTCATGTCAGGTGAATTCGTTTGAAGATGCGCAGTAAGGAATTTGTAGTGGCGCGGTAAATCATCCTCTTCTTCCTCATACATCTCCTCCTTCAGTACAATCTCTTCACTAACTTTGAGACCTCGTCCTGTTCGTCTCCGATGAATTTCAGATGCCTGGCGAGCGGACTGCACCCTAGCCTCCAGACTTCGGTCAGCTCTTCTTGACGCAGCAATGTATGCCCTTTCCTGATTCTCTTCGTGGGATCGCTCTGTCTGTTAAGATAAGTCAGATTCAATAACAGTTAAATATAAGGGAAGGCAATGCTCGCCTTCTGGACCTTGACAGGCGGGATTCGTTGGTTAGCCGACATGGCGGATGATGTATCAAAGGATCGCTTAGGCATTGATTTGAACTTCAAATATAATGATAATAATATTGTTAATTAAAGGGCAGAGCTAGGGATGTCTGTTTATATTCTCAATTGTTGATAAGGTGGCGGGAATATGCGTTGAGCCTTCAAACTGTGTAGCTAAGGCTGACTCGTAGCATGCATGTAGGATAATGTGATTCCAGGGCCGATGCGGATAGTAACACAAGTCGGACAAGCGGGGTTTCGGGCCTTGCTGTCATATGCAGCCACAAAGGCAAATGGAGGTTGCCGTATGCTTGTTGGATGGAGCAGCAGGCGAACTTCAATGTCAGGCCGAAAAGAGGCTCTCTTGGTATGGTAAGTGTTGGGATATTGTGTGGAAAAGATAGTTGTCGATAGCAAAATTGAGAACTAGGTTGTGATTTGGGTGTAAAGTTGAATGTTCGTTAATTGTTCGGTGTTTATTTTTGAGTCTGTCTCTGCTTCACGTTTATAGCTTAATCTGTATTGTTTGCTTGGTCTGTTTGTCTGCTGCCGCAGTCGTCCTATCCTAATGCGGAACACCGACTTATATGGAGTCGTCGGAAGTATGGCCCGTATAAGGTTATCTTGTCTTCTAAATAGTCAAATAAACTGTAGACTCAACCAAGGACTCTCTGCAAGTAGTCGAGATAGTCGGGCCAGACAAAGCAGCTGTGAGATGTTGACGGTTAACTGCGACGTTGCATGTGAGATATAGACTGGAATTTGTTGATATTGACAAAGGACAGTGAGGGGATGATAGTTGTAGAAGCACAAGTTGCTACTTGGGACTGTAGTAGTTGTAGTAAGAGACAGATATGTAAATCTGAGAAGATGGAAGAAGAAATAATATACATATACAAGAGACGGGAATGGAACTTCCCCATGCTCGGAGTCGCGAGGTTGTAAGAGGTACATAGTGTGGATAGTCCATACTGCGCAACATGGCCGCAACGAAGCGTGTCTATCAAAGTACCTAGGGACAACATAGGAACACAAGCTCCTTCGATTGAAGAACAGACAGGGATTCAAAGCTTTTTCCTGATGCGGGAAGAATGTGGAAGTGGCGATCGATCGCGATGAGACCTCGTAGGAACCAATCACTTTGCTGGAGGGAGCTTCCAGATACTACAGGGATTGTAGTGCCATAGCTTGGTGATAGCGTTCTAAGTAGTCCTTAAAAGGGCTTAGCTCCAACCTCTTCTGAGTTTAGGCCCATACCTACCCCGCTCTTTCTGTACACCATACATCCATGGATACACGTATTTGCTAGTAGCTATAGCTCTCGTCGGGCCTAGCTTTAATGTTTACTAAATTTAAAGCTAAGCATCAAAGATCCTTGGATCTCTTTGCTTCTGGAGGCGAGCAGCTAATCGTAACTAAACAGTATAGTAATCATTTTGTGTACGACAGACGCCAGCGAGTTATATCCTACATATGGACAAGTGTGTTTTCAACAGACAGCCCGCGTATTCATATTTTGTAGCTTGGATATACTTCTCTTGCTCAGGTCTACGTGCGTAGTCACACCCGGTTGAATGGTCAGATCTACGTGTATCTAATGAATTTCACCCAAATGATGTAAGTCCGCCGCGATCGACGGTTCGCAGCACGTTTCGAGGTCCAAATTATTACCCGAGGATTGGGCAATATAGATGTGTAGGTTACATAACCTGTTATTCAGACGCATGTATGAGACAATATGGAAATCCAATCATACGCGGATATGTTGAGATTCATGGAGGTATATCGCTTCGGTATAAGCGAATCTGACATCCGGGTACCTATCTAGGAAGTCAGCCGAATGTTATGACAAAATGATGTAAAGAAAAACCGACAGATAACATTCGGTCCTTGGAGGTCTGTAACAATATCAAACCTGACAAGGCGCAATTGTTACCTAAGCTTAACGTCAATTGTGGTACAAGCCTTTTATGGATGTTACGCCTTAAATAAGCGTCGATCGGCTAAATTTTAACGGGTCTCCGCCCATCCCGCTTCGTTTCCGCCAACTCCACTGCTCCACCCCCTGGCATCGTCTTCTTCCGGCCCTAAACGCCTGCGTGCATTATGTTGAAAAACTAGCACATTCTTCTATCCAATATCTAATACTAGCAAGATGATCTGGGATCTCATGCTACAGATTTGCAACTTGACTACTTTATAAAATTCAAATTCTGTATTTCTAACCATGCCGTTACCCATCAAAAAGTTAAAATCGTTAAGAAAGGGTTAATTTGACGCCGGACATCAGCTCCGTCCTTAGGCTTTCTAAGATTGAGCTTACTACCCAATTTCTTGCCTTGATTCCTCAGAGGAGTCGGGCCAAAGCCTTGTGTCACCTTCAACACCTGTTTGGTATTGAATCATACCTATGCTAGCCATTGTTACAAGCTTAGCACCGGAGCTTTTGCTGCGAACTCCTCATATTCCACACCGGCACACAAATAAGCATTTCCTGCAAGCATCTGTATTTTGAATCCTTCAAATATTCTCGGGCCTTTGTTTAGAATCTGATAGAAGACTGGATTCTACCTTCAGCCTCGAGGTAAACCAATCATGTCTCGGAGCATGCAAAGACACCGTGACAATAACTCCACTAACCCCGGGGGACGTAGACAGACTGCTCGGGGGTCACGACTCTATCTATTTGGTGGATTTCCAATCATGTTCGAGAGATCAAATACGGGAATAGCTCCTCACCGACCAACAACATGGCCGGTGCTGGTCTGCGCGTGCCAGGCGTGCGTGCTATGAGCGGACGCGTCTACCAGTCCCTAGTCTCGCATGAAGATTTCAATCAGCTGCAGGGGGTGGCTCGGAGAATATTCGATCAAGGCATTTTAACGATTACCATCATAATGTTCGATGAGTGACATCAGCCGTCAAATCCGAGAGCGGAGTCTGTTGGCTTGAAACGGACAAACCAAAGAGAAGAGGTGAGACGGACCTCTACCTGGGTACTTAGCCCTTTTCCTTTTCAGGAAACATCGTCGTTCTTTGACTTTGGGGGTTGTCTTGATTCTCCGGAGCAAACTTTCCGCAGGCATTGCTCTGACTGGTTCTAGGCACAGATACTTTAGACCTTAACAATTTTTTCTGAGGAACCCCACTTGCAATTCTCTCACAAGCCATACGTGGCGCTGTGGCTAATTACGTTGCCCCTTTTGTCGCATCACACGGGCCCAACACTCTGACGTAGCGATGAACGAATTTTCGGGCGCTCAATTGGAGTTCAAACTGTTCAATTAGAAATCAGCAAGCGCAACCAGCTATGTATCAATGGACTGAAGGACTAAGGAGCGGATATCCATGGATGTCTTTCCCCACTGTCGATCTTCTCCTTAATCCTTAAACATTACCGCATACCTATGGGAATTTCGCCTCATTTGCCCGAAATCCCATCCCAACAAACATGGGATTTTCTTTCTCTCGTCCTATTTGACGCCAAGCCTTTTTTGATTAATTGCTGTCTCGCCACTCTTCATGTCTTGATACCTTTGGAGCCCTCTCCGAACCATCGAATTCGTCCAAGGGAGATTCCGATTAGGAAGTTTGTTTACCCTTCAATTTTTATGTCAGCTCTCCCAGGGAAACGCGTCCCACGACTATCTGTTTCGACGCGTTCAGGCCATCCTTATATGACTCTACAGCCTTGGAAGTCCCCATTCAAAGCATCAAACCAAGGCTCAATTGCCTGAGCTAATCAGGTGGACAATTGGAAGTTCCTTGCGATGTACGGTATACCCAAAGTCAGCGAGAGCTTCTCGGTCTGTGAGATGCTTGTAGTTTCACAATCCACAATATTTCTAAAGTTAGGTCATCACAACATATCCATCTTCGAGTGATAAAGCTCCCCAAAGGACCGAAGGGCGGCTCTCCTGGTTTGAAGCCGAACTCTGGTCTAGACATATCTAATGATGCTACTAGAGATCCCGCTAGATTGGTCGTTCTCACATCAGTGCGAGATCTGGTCGAGCTACGAGATACCTGAGTCTCAGGAGTTGCAACGCGGTACACCATCTAGATATTTAGGGCTTACCGATCTATATTAATGAGATCTACGGCAAGATCCTTGGGACTAGCACTGCCATGCTCTGTGTAGTATTTCTCCAAAATGCGCAACCTGCATCCATATAATGGTTCACTCTAGTCTATTAGTTCCTAGTAGACTGCTTTCCGGCTGTACCTTATCCACCCCAAAGCTAGAAGGGTCGACGGCCTTGACAAAAATCGTCATTAGACGCACTAGTAGGCAAAAATTATTGCGTGGATTACTTACGCGTGAGCAGGACGCCCGTCACGTTCAAGTCCGGTTGAACCTTGTCCAGTTTTAAGCCTTACGGCACATTAACTCGGAGCTACCTCTCACCTACGATACCGAGAGGTGACCGAACGGGAACAAGGCTAGCGACAGAATCTCCAAAAGCCAAAGAGCATTTGGGAGAACTAATGATGCTACATACAACAAACTTTAACACAAATCGATGTTCGAGATTTAAGGGCCATTCTGGAACTTGATATTTCTAATACGTCTATCTACGGAGCCTACTATGTATTCAGTTTACGGATCACGTAATTCATTTACCAGCAAGACTACCGCGCCGCTTTCCCAAGAAAAGGGATCATCGGTTCCCGAGACCATGTGCCGAGGGTAGTTCCAACTCTCTTGACTCAGTTTTCAAGTTACCTACTAAACTATGTCAACGACCCATATCCACCTATCCTACTTACTCTTTTCATGAAACCATCTCGACAATTTTACCTCTAGTACTTTTAGAGCTCAACGCTGTTGGCATCACGAAGTCACCTCTACTTTACCCTTTTGTTGTTGGCACGTTATGATCGCAATTCCTTAACCTCAGCACTAGCATAGGAATCGTCACTAGATCGCCCTGACTAGACGCGTTTGGGGTAGTTTCCGGCGTTCCAATCGTCGAAGAGCCCTCAAGGTGGGCCTCGGCAGTCCAGTATTCAGT